GCTGGTCGAGTGTCAATGACCTGCGACTTTCCTTTTGGCTTCGGATGCTAACGAGCACGTGAGGCAAGTGTACCGGAAAATGAGCTAATTTGTGCTGCTTTTCTTTTGGCCAACTCCACCGGCCACGTGTGGGTCCCCTTTCCCCAAAACTACCACACCAACTCGGCAAAGAAAAAGTCAAGAAATTCAATTGTGACCATAAATCATGCCCGAGACGAACATGCAGGACATCAGACAGGATGAACACGCAATCAGCTGTTTGTCACAAAGCATATCGGGTGAATAGAGGATGTGTTCGAGTGAGTGAGTGACTGGATGTGGAATGGATTGGGGCTTTTCACTTGTTCGGGGGGCATGTCAATCAAGCCACAAGCAACCACGCGCACCCACAACCTTGGCTGCACCACCACCACCACCCAAACACTGACATCCCAAGAGGGGAGTGATCTGAAGTGAAAGGACCCCAAAACGGACCACTCTCAGAACCATGCTGTGGGTGTCAAGTTCAGCTTGGGTTGACACGACTGATATGGTACCCTACAAACTTTGTAAATATAACAAATTAGGATATAAATTTCTTTAAAAGCTTATGCTTTTTGAGATATTTTCGGATCTTTTCGATTAATAATATTTTAGTTTAAAACAGGAATATTATAAGTAAATGGGTTCCTTTCAAGAACACTAGCCATATACTTACAGTTGAAGATACTTCAGGTCTTTAGTCTTTAGTCAAACCAAACTGCCAATAATCCAATAAAACTTTCTTAAAGGGTATCACAAAAGTCAGACTTCCTAGAAGCGATTTCATCGATGACTCTCCAAAGCGTAGGCGATAATTTATTTAACAATGTGTGGCATGCGTTTTTCTGGGGAGCCCGTAGAGTCGAAGCTTTTGTCCATTGAAATGTAAACTCTTTGGGATGTTGTATCCTGGCCAGCTGTGAGCTGGCTCACTGGGAAACATTTGTTGCCCCGGAGGCAAGAACAAAGGATAGAATCGTTTTTATCTGCCACAGCATTCACTCCTTTATTTGCCAAGTGCAAATTGCAAAATGATATTAGAGGGGTGGATTCTTCTCGCTGCACCAAAGGGGGTTGTGTCCCCATTATCACGGAAAAAGTGGCAGAATCGGCAGGGTGAAAGTGGAAAGTGCGTCCGGGTCCGAGTCCGAGTACGGTACCAGTCAAGCCGAGCTGGCAGCTCGTCCGAAATGAGCACGAACAAAATTAATGTGATTTGTGTCGAAGGGTGCAACGACTGTATTATCGAGCTGGAAAACAGGATAATACAGGAAGCCCAATGATGCTGGTATTGTGGCTGGCAGCAGATTTCTATTTGCACTTGTAATTGGCGCGTAGGTCTGGGGGTCCAATACCAATCTCCCAATCCGTAATCCTAACACTCCCCTCGATTTCACTGCACAGTCATCGACTTTAATGAATAATTGAGCATACAATTTTCCCAAAAAATAAATGTGAAAAATGTTTGATACGTGAAAATTTTCACATTTTATTGCTATTTTCGGTGTGGGGTTGGTAGACGAGTTCACATTTTATCAAATTAATTCAATTTCCTGGGTTCTATAAATAAATATTTCATCACAAACATTTATTTTAAAATACTCAGCATAAATTGGATTGTTTTTTATTGATTTTTGAATGCGGTTCTACATGTGTTATTCATTTTAAATCAAAATAAATGATTTGGAGAGAAATAACTTTAATGAAACATATTGAATGACTTAAAAATAGAAAGTTTGTATCTTAAAATCGGTAATAAAAAGTGGAAAAGGGATAAATTAAATTTTATACCGTAAAAGAGTAATATGATGTTTTTAAAATAAAATATAGCCTTTCTATATTACTTCATAAATGTCCATTGTCCATCATCACCTTCCATTTAATACACATCATGAAGATGATGAATTCGTTATTGAAATGACCACAGCACTTGACCGTAACAACTTGTCCGAAACAAAATGCATTATAATGATTTATGGACACGGCTCCCTGACCAAAAAATCCAACCCTCTAGACAAATTAACAAGGATATATGATGATGATGATGCTTCTTCCTGCAAAAAACACACACCCACCCAGAAAAACAAAGGCTGTCAAAGCCACAAAGAGACACTCGACCCAACTCGACTCCAAGCCGATGCCCGAAGGTGTTTTCCCAACCAAGTTTAAACAAAAATTAAAACACCTACCCTCCCCCAGTCGATGATGTCCACGACCTCTCAGTCCCTTTATTCTTGTCTGAACTTGAAGCTAATCAAAAATGTTGCACAAAAGAGCGAAAGGAAGGAAAAGGAAGCTCGGATTTTAGCTGGCTTACCACGAATGCATTTTACACTATATTTTAGAATATATTTTATATAAATTATTACTATTTATATCATGTTTTAACAATAGTAACCAGATTTGTTAATATTAACACTTAAATAATATTAATAGACTTTTATTTACTGATTTTAAATTAAAATAAGTATGTAAAAACCTTAGATTCTTTTATAATAAATATTAGTATACTTCTTATATAAAAACATAATTTTTCCAACTTAGTTAGGCTACCCTAAAACCAAACTCTGCAAAAGGGCCAAAAACTTGTGTTAAGCGAAAGTGCAAAAGTTGTTGAAGAAGTTTTTTTTCTGGCGAAACCAACAACCACCAAAAGAAAAACCATCATAAAAAATGTTGCCCAACTTGGATGGTTACTTTTCTTGTTGTAGTGGCAAGAGAGCCAACATTGTTGCCATGATTAGCATTTTATCAGCAGATCCTTTGGCTCATCATGCCGTGTCTTAGGACAAACACTTGGCCATCTTTATGGTAATTTAGTTTTTTGCCAAGATGCGGCAACAGCTGACAATGTTGCAGGAATGTACCGTGTTACATCCCTCCACCAAATATATAGTAAGAATAAGAAGCTCACTCCCTTAAAGCCAATAGCTGGTAGGCAAGTACTACTTGCCACATGAGGAAGCTGCGTGTCACATAATCAAAATTGAGGCAAACACAACCTGCAGGGTGCCTTTTATGTTTTTATATGCGGATCCCATTAATTTATTGCCAGAGACATTGAGACACCTCCAGCCGAACAAAAGGCGACATTATTATTTCATTATTATGCCAAACGCATCAGGATCTCGCTCTCCCCCATCTTTCTCCATCTCTCCCAATGCACGTGGGCTGGCTCATATTACACACGGTGTGGCATCAATGGAGGTTGGGATCTGGGAGGCATGGAGGCATTTTTCGGAGGTGGCAGATGATTCATGCGCTGGCAAATTTTTTGACGCCCGCCACATAAATAAAACAGGCAGCCCGGGGAGCTCAGACATATGTTTGGATAGTCCCCGGGTCAAAGGGCCCAGTTCGGAGGCTGTAATATTTACTCGTAAATATTTTTATAGGCACTAAGGTTTTTCCGCCGGCTACGGTTGAACAAAGCGCGAAGAGTCCACAAGGGCAGGTGCTCTATAGAATTAAATTAAATATTTGTTACCAAAAAGGAAGACTTTTTTCTCTTTACTTAGGAAATAGCGGCTGAATCACAAACTTAATATTGTTGGAAATTTTTTGTTGTTAAAAATTGTAATTAATTAAGTCTGTGGCATAGATATTATTATCTACTTCTCGCTATCTACCTTTCAAATTTATAAAACTATTTTAAGTATAAGTTTAGATGCTGTTTTTATATTACAAATATTTATCACTTTGGCCCGATATTTTTCACCAGCAACAGCAGAAAAAATGAGATGACAACTAATTTAATCATAAAACTACTTAAAACTTGAAACTACCTAAAACTGGAGCAAAAGTTTCAACGTAATTATAAAGACCCATTTAGGGATTATTGACATAGTATTGAGATTCTATAAACATTCATAAAAATCAATTTTCAGACTACAAACCATTTCCCAATACATTCATATAAAAGTTCGTTATTCCGATTGACTGCTTAATGTTCTCCGCTTTCCAATTTGTTCAATAAATTTCCAATTTGCCAGGAGAATCAACAATGTTAAATACCTGCCCAAACACAACCCACCTTTTTTATGCCAACGAATTTTTGACTCCTGCTGCTGCTAATCCTTTTGTGCGTGCGCGCTTGTGTGTGTGTAAACCATTTAGCGCCAATTAAAACATAATTGCGGCATTCGCGGATAGCGATCGGGCACTAAATCATTCTCGGGCCTTTTCGGGTTCCAATTTGAGCACGGCGAAAATAACGGCACTTCAACGTTGAGAAACCACAACAAATGGCAAAAAGCGCGGGCGAAAACGCGAAAATGCGAAAACACTTGGGCGCCGTTCCACCGCTTAATGGCTTCAATTCAATCTGAGGCTCACTTTAATCTTATTGCACTTGTAACGTTGATTAAAAACACAAAACCACCGTTGTCACCCGCACGGGTGCAAACATTTCATTTTTAAGGACGTAATTCCGACGAGAGATTTCTTTGGGCTTGAAATCTCGAGAGCAGAAACCACCCGCTAAAACCGCCACACTACGCCGGCTAAGAGCAATAACTGTTATTCCTACGGGCTCCTTTTGGGGAGTTCATCCCCGGGAGTGGTGAGTTCCAATCAGCTGTTATTGGGTTTGCGGACATAGGGGTGAAAAGCATTCAAAATTATTCGGTTATTTTAGTGGTGTATATAGGAATTTACAAACATTTAATTTACTATCCTAAAAGCTTAATTATACTTTTGTTTTGGGTGCTTTTGTATTTCTTGCGTTTTAAGTACCCAAACCAATTATTTTTCTTTAAGTTAGATCATTTAAGTGTATTTCAAGATTTATCTGATACACAAGCTATCTGACTTATTCATTTTTTTGAAGGGGCATAGGTTTTTAGGTTCCTTTTTTCATATTTAAAAAATAACCGTTTTTAAATTTAAATAGTTTATGCGATATTTTCTTTGCCAAAACACACTATATCTTGTCCCATCTCTTTCTGGTTTCGATGAAATTTCTGCAGATATTCTGAACGGTCACACTTCGCGTCACACATTTTTTGATCGAATCGAGTTATTTCGCCTTCTATTACTTCTACTTCCTAAACTTTTACCGAACAAAACGAAATGCCAGCGGTTGTGCGTATTAAACGTCGCATCGATGAGGAGCCGCACACCGCATTTGTCCTAAATGGCAAACGTCGGCGCCTCCAAAACGATGAAAACTCTCTGGAGGATTCGGGCGCGGTGGCGGGAGCAACGGCATCAGACAAAGACGAGCTGACCACCGTCTTGAAATTCGCCGGCACGCTGGAAAAGCAGGTAAGAAAAGAGCGATTTATTAATATATATGTGTGATTAAAATTAGTATAAAGGGATATTTGAAATATAGATGAAAAGAAACGGGTTGTTTGATAATTGTTCATCAACTTTTAAAAAAGTAATATAGTTCCGCTTATAAAACATTCTTAATACATTGCTTTTTAAATAGGTGTTCAGTCATTTTTTGAGTTTAGTTGAAATATCTTTATTATTCATAATGACCTTCAATCTGTAGAGTTCTTGAACTCTTATCTTCAAAATTAATGAATATAGTCAGCATTATTTATGGCCAAAAGACATCAAAGTACCCCCTCTATAAACAAACTCCCTGTTAAAGCTTTTACATATATATCTTATAACCTCTCTTTACTTTTAAAATCCTTTTTCTAGGACGACTGTGCAACTCGTCAGTTTGCAGCTGCCAGATTGAACAAAGCCACCGCCCGTGAGTTGGTGCAACAGCAGCGGTCCAATGATGCAGCCATTGCCAGTGCCCTGCGGCGCGATCGACAGCGGCAGGAGGCTCAGCAAAATGCGCGTGAGCAACGTTTCCGGGTGGTAAATTGCCTACGCAGTACTCTCGAGGATAATGAAACAGAATCAGAATCAAATAACCAAAATCAGGAGTCCACAAGTCAGATAACCATTGTAGACATTGAATCGCAACAGCAGCAGCAACAGCAATCGGGAACTGAAACTCCAGCAGTACACGATCAGGATATAGAAGCCATTCATGATCAGCAACAGCCCGCCGATTCCGATGTGGGTTACGTTTACGATCTATATGTTCCCGAGAATGAGATGCAGGCGGCCTACGTCGATTTGATGGACGACAACTATCTAAGGTTGGTCATACATATTGAGCCACAGAAAACGTTGAGCCTTACCAATTACTATATGTAATATAATATATATATAAATAATATGGTTTATTTGTAAGCGGTGTATCTGTGTGTCGGTGCTAGCTTATTTGTGTGGGTGTGCGTGTGTTTGTTTTCGTAGTCCTCGGGCCAAGTCTCATAATTTGCATATTACTTTTTATCATTTCGACCTACATAATTGCAATCACTGTTAATAGCTCAATAATACGATTCGTTCTCCATAAGGTTGTATTATCCGTTTAATTACTACAACAACTGCTACTGGTAGACAATTCATTAACAAAAAGATGAGAGAGAGCGAGAGACAAAGCCCAGGCAATTAAGAAGAGTGATGACACCCAACACCCCACCCACGACAATAAAAAAAAGGGACTGCAACTGGCAACTAACATCACTATATACAAGTTCATTAATAATCAGCATCTGATAAATGCCTCCAAAACTACCGATCGAATGAGATTAAAATCGCATGATTGAAAAAAAAACATTTTCTGTTAGAAATTACAAAGAAATATTTCAATCTTTTACCAAAACTGTGTTTGTGAGATTCCGTAAATCTTTTATAAGAATATGTTTTTCGCATATTTAAATGTAAAAATAAGTTAAAAATGAAAATAATCTTAACGTTTTATTGTAACATAATTATGTCACGTTTTTATAATTCCCTCTTGCCAAAGTATTTTAATAAACAAAACTATTTCTAAGTTTTCTACTTCTATTGTTATCACGCACAAGAGGTGTATTCTTTTGATAGAACTTTATGCATATGTCTCATTACCTTACGTTTCTAGTTTTAATTAACTATTAAATTAGTATAAATCACACGCACACACACACCGCATATTCTAAAACTCTTCACCGAGTACTTTTCATTTATTTATCGCCAGTTGTCAGTTGCCTTTTTGTGTTATTTTTCCATTCCGAAAACAGACGGAAAACAATAGAGCTGAAAGTCTAATTAAGTGAATAGTTTTAGTTTAATTTGATTGGGGTCTAAACGTTGCCTGATATCAAAAATAAACTGAATAAATAAATCGACTAAACTACATGACAAACTTAGCTGTGTTTCAATTTAAAAGTCCCCATTAAACTTTCGAAATAAACCCCATTAATTGTTTTGGCTATTCTACAGAGTAATTCCTGTGGGCGAAATTGTGCTAGAAGATTGCTATAACGATCAGGATGAGGACTACGATTCGGAGGACTCGAATCAGGAGAACTACTTCACAAATGATTACCCGGATGATGAGGAAGCGGGCGCTATGGGATCCGATGACGAATTGTGCCGGCAAATGAACAAATTTATGATTGGTAAGTATTGGAAAGCAGAACTGATTGTAGATGATTACTGAATTCGTGAATGATTCTAACATCCAGATGATGACGAAGATGAGTTTGCCAGTACCAGCGAGGATGAAGATCATGCCACCTACCGGGATCCCTATATCCACACGATTGACACTGAAGAAGACTCGTTTGTGGACGATGTGGACTTCTATAACGTCGACCGTGAAAGAGGCAGTGCCTATGAACGCTATAAGAGAAGAATTTTGAAAGAGTTGGAGGGTCAGGAAGACGATGAGGATGATGATGACTCATTTGCAAGTGCGGATGATGAATGAGTGCTTTAAGGACCTATTGATGCCCTTAAATATGAACCAGTTTTTAAATTAGAAATTTATGTTTTTTAGCTGTTAATTACATATTAAAACCAAATTGTTTTTAAGTTATGCATTGGATTGCAATAAATTGATTCGAATAAGTCAGTTTTCTAGAAAAGTACAGCTTTACTTTTTTCAATACAAAATTACTTTTTATCAACGGTTTTATTATGTGATTTACTATGGTTTTGTTTGTATGAGTTGATAACTTTTATCATCTATACTTTTTGCTGTCTTTAGTTTTCTCAGTCTTGATGTGTTGAATTTGAGGTTTCGGAGCACAACCCTCCATATACAGACGCAGGGTTTCCTCGTTCATCTTGTCGTTTTCCTTTGGAGGCTTGTAGTCTGCCACATGGTCGACCCTTAGGGTTCGGTCGATGATTTTAATGCCATTAAGATTGTCCACGGCCAGAACTGTGGATCTTTGGTCCTCGTAGCATAGGAAACAGAATCCCTAATAGGAAAGGAGGTAATTATTTTTAAACGTCATGGTAAATTTATAAAAATCTTACCTTTGACTTTCCCGTTTTCGAGTCTCGAATCAGATTAATGTTAACAACTTCGCCATACTGGGAAAACACGCAGATTAAATCTCCTTCAGAAAGGGTATATGGAAATCCCGCCACAAAAATCCATGCTGAGTCCCTGTACATATCATGCCAACTCTTCTTTCCTCCATGTTGCAGCTCATGTTCGCTTAATTTCAGCACATTTTTCATGTTTGTTAGGGGATTCATTTTGAAATAAATTTATTTGTTTACGTCTTTTGGTTGTAATATGGCTTGCTTATACTTATATAAAAATACCATAGGGCTTTTTAATAAAGAAACACTGCTTAGATACCACCGGTGGGTAACAAGCAGTGCAAGTTTAAAACCTGCTGTGTAGTATTTACACAGAAAGTCATTTATATTAAAAATGTTCTTTATCAAATAAGTAAATTTAGAATCAACGTTTTTACTTAATAATTACTTTTATTACTTTTAACATTAGTGCATTTTAACAATTTCATTAGCGCCAAAGAGGAAGAGAAGGAAAACAAATCGGTATATCGCATTTTGAGCACTTAACATTTCTGTTACTCTATGGTTTTTAACATTTTGCTCACTAGCGCCAATGTGGGTGATAAGGAAACAATCGCTATCGATACGCCTAACACTTGTTGTCGATATATCGATGTTAAGGAAAATCATATATGGTATTTTACCGAGATTGGGTCACACTCAGTCGTTCTCTGGTGCGCCGCACATTTGTTTTGTTGTAAAAGGTTTCGGAACCCAGTTATTTGTGCAGTCGGACTGTGGAAAAAAAATGTTGTAATATTACCACAATAGCACGGCCAGTGATCTATTCGGAAAAAAGAGGTGTGTACGAATACGAAAATTGGGATTACATAGCCCCCGTCCTGTGCCTGTGTATGTTGGAGTGCCCGTGCGTGTGTATGTTCGGTGGGCATGTTCGTGTGCGTGCAAAAGGAAAAAAGATATGCTGAAAAAAAGTATCTCTTCTCTATTTAAAAATGTGTGTCAGTGTATTGTGCGGCAGCAGCAACAACAACAGCAACAAAAATAATAAATAATAGCTGCCGCTACTGCGACTGCTTGCTGAAGATAAAAAACAACCGTTTGGCGTCTTTGGGGTCTTTTAATTGTGCCAAAGCCATTGTTTTATCATTTTCCCATCATCATTCAAGACGCGTTCTGTGCCGAATAACAGCGAAATAACGCCCCGTCTTTTTTCTTATTTTCGTTTCCTATATAACTTATTTTTGCGAAAGAAGCTGAGTGTTTTTCCCCCCTCTCTCTGTCTGGTAGACGCAACTATGTCTGCGCCTTGCTATTGGAATAGTTGGTATGTAAAAGACATAAGTGCGATATGTCCGTTTCACACTAAATTTTTGTCACCCTGTGCCAGCCGCACTCACACAAACACACACACACTCACCTGAGACAACTCCACCATATGTCTGTCTGTCTGTCTATCTGTCTGCCTTTCCTTAACACATCCACACACTCACATTCCACCCCATTGGCAATGCCTCTCTTTCGTACAGCTGCAGTCAAAATAATAGTAATGGGCCTTCGGTTCTACGGCCGTTACGTGTATCTTCCTGTGTTTTTTTAGAGTCCTTGAATTACCAATAAGGCGAAGAAGAGCGAACAAAAGCATTCATTCAAAGCTGTTTTCTTTTGTTTCCTTACAACTTCAACCCCAGAAACGAAATGTGCATTTTGAACCCTTGTTTTGAAACTTTACGATAATCCAAGTTAATTGTGTTGAAATTTTGAGTTTTAGTTTGAATTTCTAACCATATGCTCATTTGCTTATTGGTCTATCAAAATGCATTCTTACACTGAAAACAATAATAATGGTAAACAAAAGAATACAAAGACTACTTTCGCTTGACTCATAACTTTCAACCCCAAAAGAAACCAACCACATTTCTCGGCCTTTCCCTTAAACCATTGAATTTTGACAAGATATTCAAAAATGTATAAGAATTTGATTTTTAATTTATGTAAATTAAATGTTTCTTAGTTACATAAAAAAGCATGAAAATAATAAATCATATTATAAACTCCTATTATAGTATTTGAAAAATCGCCATTACATTTGGCCTAAATATTATTACAAAACGATTTATCTTATTGACCGCCAGTGTATGGTCTGTGGTTGTCTTTTTTTGTTTTTGTCCACGCGAAAAGGAGGAAATATGTATTTTTCTTTGCTTGTTTTTAATGTTTAGGTGTGGTCGTGCTTTAGTTGCGGGCTTACACACATCCAGTTGTATGTATTTCTTCAAGCGGAAGCGGTCGTAAAAAAGTTTTCGTGGCGCTGCCCACACAGTTGACATTGAACTCTCGCCTGCCTCTTAACGAATCTCGCTCTCTCTTCGGCTCCTTTTCCTGGCTTAAGCCTCCTACCCAGTTTGCCCCTTCCGCCCACTCGGTTAACTGACTGATATTTTCGGACCGCTCTGTTACTTTCCAAAAAAGCCAAACTCCTTGCCTTTCATTTTTCTCGCTTGCCGGCCACATTTACTTTTCTTCATACCCTTTTTTTGTGAAAGGAGAGAAGGGTGCGATGGGGAAATAATGTGTTAACGAGGCTGCAAAATCACTTAACAATTATATTTAGCCGAAGACTAATTGTTTAAGCGGATTTTATATAAGCTCTTACACTATAGGTTTGCACTACATATTGAAAGAGTAAATTATTCGGCATTTAATGCTATTCATTTCTTTATTTTTAGATTAAAATTCAAGAAACAAATTGTTTTTTGAAAAATGTTTTAATTTCATGAATGAATTTCTAACTACGAAACGTATCTATCAAATAGTGAGGTCATTGCCATTTAGTATTATGGTTTAAATGTGAGATAAATGTAATTCATTTTTAGCATAATAAAATAAAAAGTTTAAGTATACCATAAAGATTCCTTTTTATTTCTTATAACAATTAACTTCAAGTTCAAGTCAACTCATATAAAAATAAGGAACAAAAGGTTTTTTTTACTTTAAACCCACCGCAACCCCTAACCCCCTTCATCCTTGAATTCCCCTCCATAATTTGAATTATATCTATTCTATGAGAGCATTTTGGTTTTCATGTTGACTCATTTTAGCTTTTGAGTGCGGGGGCTTGTGGGGGCAAGCTTTCTCGTTATTATTATTACGAGATATGTACAGATATGTACTGGGGCCTCGTACATATTTATATAGACATATATATATGGGCTCCTACTGTGGTTATTATGTGGCTCACGTCTCTGGGAAAGATTCGCGCCGCGACTGCGCACGATTATGGCACATTTCGAGTGACGAGAGCAAAGTTGACTGCGCTGCGGCCGCCTGTTGCAGAAAACGTGTCAAGTTGGCCAGATCCATCTACTATATGTTTATATATATATATATATATATATGTATGTATACTATATGTGCAAGAGCATAACCAACCAAGCTGCCCCCGGTAAGAGCCCGATTTCGAGTTCGATTAATTTCGTTGCGCCTCGGTAACTGTGCACTCAACTCAAACATCCGCTCAAACGGACAGCAAGCTCTCACACTAATTCCAATGGGGAACGTTTACCTCGGCGTCGGCCAACCCATTACACCACTGCCCACATCTGCCAGTCCCCCGGAATTCCCTTACCATTACCGGCATACCTTCCAGAAGAAAAAACCCTTTTTATCTAGGGGAGTTGCAGTCACTCGGTTGACAACAAACATCTGTTTGGTCTGGGTCGGCTCTTCTCGGCTACACTAGACTGCAGGGCCTTGCTTCATTCAAATATGTGATATGATATATGATATGATAGGTGAGATATCAGATTTTGTTCTGTAACTAGACCTTGGTTATACCAGTTTTCTATCTATGTAGGCACGTTACGAAAAACTTACGAATTTAAAAAAAAAAAAAACTCTGATAAAAATAATTTACACTTGGTTTTACTTAATTTTATTTTCTGTTATGATAGGTTTGTGCCACTCCTAATCTGTCTGTTACCAATATATTATTTACGGATTTAATTACTCTACCACTATTTTGTTGAACAGTGTAAACAGCTTACAATAGCAGAAACCTAAAACATTTCAAAGAAACTGCCAACAGAGAATTCGCTGCTATACACTTTTTGCCTTGTGTCTTATTGCTGTTTACACCTGTTCATGCCGACGCCGTCGTCGTTTTATATTCGCACTTTGTTTTTGTTTACATTCATGTAAAAAATTCTTTTAAAACGCTCCATTTTTAGCGATTGACATGCCCCAAGCTTTTGCTATATAAAAATACTATATATATATATATATATGGGGGGAAATGCCTAACCCACACAAAGTATAAGAATTTTTGGGTTGGCGGGCTTTTGTAGCTGGCTGCTGATGTTGTGTTTCATATGCGTATCAAATAATTGAGCTCAATTGATTTCAATTAAAACTGACAAGTCGTTGAGGCTTTTGTTGTTGTTATTGTTGCTGCTGTTATGGTTGTTAGTGCTAAGTCATACGAAACAAAAACCATCAAAATGCCTCAAATGTGGTTGGTCTCTGTTCGCTTGATGAGCCGAGGCGAATTAAAAATGCGCTAAGAATCATTCGATTCGTTTGGAAAGTATTTCTAAGGTGTATGTTAGGGAATTCATCAATCTTGAGTGTACGGAAATATAGATGATTAATCTCTTAATGACATTCATTGTTTTCAATGACTGAATTATAGTATATTAACTATAGTGTATTTGAACACAGATTCCTCTATTTAAGTTACATGATCTTCGTTAAATAGAAGCATGATTAGCTGCTGATAAGACTAAAGCAATCAATAAAACTATTTCTGATTGTGAGATTCCCTTTCAACTTTAGTTTTTGATAAGAAAAACACATTTGGTTTTTCTTGTTCTGTTATTTCTATATTTACCTATTAATCCCAGACTTAGATAAGAGAGAAAGTCGCCACTTTTTTTTAGTGAATCATCAAAATGACACAGAACAATTTTTAATAATAATGTACATATAATTTATCCATGATTCACCTGCGCAAGTAGAATCAATGGAATGTTGCCTTATTTGAATAATTAGAGCTCGAATAGTTTTAATTGAGCATGTGTAGTTTATCGACGAACAGCAATTTTGATTTCCAATAAGCATCTGAGCACCTATCTATATATTGTAACCCAATAGGGTAAGCACCAAATTTGGAAAGCTGTGTCTTCTAGGGACTCGCCCCCGCAAATAGCAAATGCTATTATGAAGATATATTGGTCCATACATTGTGGCTTTGTACTCATTGTTAACAGACTTCCAATAACGATCGTAAAATTTATAAGGCATCCTGCTATAACAGGAAAATAAATGGCAATTCTTTATTTTTCTTGCATAATTAAATATTCGTATATATTCAAGATAATTTAAATTTTGTATTAACGAGCAAATTCCTTTAATTGGGAGCTTTGTTTATTTTTAGAGAAACAAAACCCCAAGCAATTCGTACGATCTAAACTATTTCCCGCTTCATTGCAGGAATAGAAGAGTTTAAGAATAGATCTTTAAAATACCAAATTCTTCTAAAGGATTTTGCAGTGAAGCGTAGATCAACCCCTCTAGAACTTAATATACCCCGCAATTCGTAGAGCACTATAGTCTATTAATACGAACAAGTTTTCATATGGCGGGATGGTGATATTCTGTGTATATTTTCGTATTTGTTTATGAATTTCAACGCTTGTGCCAATTGCCCCCGTTTATTAATGCCGTTTGTCTTATTGAAATTCAACACTTTATTTAACAATTCATATGCACGGCCACTCACAGTCGGTCGCGCTTGGTTAGAAATGAATAATAATTAAATTATATTGCCACTCTGCCTCTGCTTCTGCCTGTGTCTCTGGCTCTCCTCTCGTCTGACGTTTGTTTCTAAATATTTGGCCATTGCGCTTTCTTCCAGCAGCTGCTTCGCATATTTGTTAATGTGATTTTTATTGTACGAATTTTTTTTATTATTAGCTTTGTTTGTTTTTTTTCTGTTTTTTGAAAATTTGGCATGCCGGCGCCACGAGCCTAAGACAACCTAAAAAGAAAATATTGGCCGGCCGCGTGTGTTTGGCTTTGTTTTTTGTATACGTATACCCATATATCTATATATATATTTTTTTGATGCGCGCAAAACTTTCACTTCCATTAAAAAATATAAAGTCTGGTCTCGCAGAGGAGTCTAAATGTGTGTGTGTGTTTATGTGTACCTGTTTTGTCGACGACGTTAAATGACATTAGGCTAGGTTTTATAGTTCGCTGGGGGAAGGGGAGATGAGTTTGAGGGGGCAGGTGAAGCGCAGGCGAAATTCTGCACAAATGTCAAAGTAGAAAATTTACATGGGCAGCGGAATTGAACGATTTCGCTTTTCTTTTCTACCCTTTTGCTTTCCTATTTTTTTGTATATCTGATGAACGTCTATTTTAATGCCCTAACAATGAGATTTTAATGGTCTGTTTGCAGAGGTACTTTTAGAAATTCGCTGTTGGTACATTTCGAATGTTATGCAATTTTACCATAATAAAGTAGTTATGTTGGAATGAGCTTGTAACCGTGCATGACCAATTGGTATACTTTTCAGCGGTATTAGATCAACAGGTATAAGATAAACCATTTTTATAGTCTCCAAATTATTCAAAGTTGCGGTATTTGACCTCATAATATCAATGCTTCAGAGGTACTGCTCTTAAAGATTTTCAAAGACTTTTCAAAACAGATATATATAAGTATAAGCCTAATGCCTAAATAATAGTATAACATTAGCGTATTCAAAATTCATGGTTTTGATACCAATTTGGCTCTTTTCTGTGGCACCTGCACCAAGTAACTTGGCATTTGTGTATGCCAGAGTCCATGATTGTGTGAACGGAAGTTGAAAGCTCGACAATTAAGCTGGCCATGGGAGTGTAAAGTTTTGCCAGTAGCCCAGGTAAAAATTATAAAACGGACTTGGGCAGTCCGAACCACGAGCGTTGTTGACTAATATGCCGGTTAGACTAATTGCATTTCTCACATGCTGTGTCTAATGTTTTTTTCCTTTTTTTCTATGAGTCAGTTTGGCGACAGTGGGGTGTTGTGTGTGTCAGATATCGATTCAGGAGCACTCCCCACAAAGGGCTCTGAATAAAAAACCAAGTATTTGCTGGCTTGTAAACAAATCTGCCATATGAGTCAGCCAAGCGAGCCAAACTGATCAGATTTCCAAAAGCACAAGTGCCACGACGAGCTGTCAACTGGGGCGTAGATTGATACGGCTCTGTTCAACAGATTAACGGCAGCACAGCAGCATATAGCAACCGGATCAGCCTTGGGCTGCAATTTGTTCATGGTGCATAGTTTATAGGAGCGCGCTGGCTGGCATCAATTGGCCAGTTTAATGACTTCATGTTAGCCCATTAGTCATTCGGTCTGTCTATGAGTCTGTGGTGAAATTGCTTTCATTTAACATGGTCCCAGCTGCATATATCATTAGATTATATAATGCGGATCTGTCAAGGCCAATTATAGTGTTTTCAGTAGCAGTTTGAAGTGAGTCAGGGTCTAATCATCGGAGCTATAGATCTTAATTTAAGACTTCTTTATCCCGTTATCTTTTAGAATTTGAAAGTTTCTACTTAAAAGTTTTAAAATCCAAATCAATTGACAAATCATAATAATTTACGACCTTTCCATCAGCAAGTCACAGGATTCAACATGTTTTTAATGCCATTTTGATTAAAAACTAGTTTGACGTTGATCACTTGGGAAAATCTTAGCGCCCCATCCGTTTAGGCTAATGACAGCATTCCTTATCCTGCCATAAAGTGTGACATTTTAGTCCAATCCCCTGTTATTTCCCTAAGATAAATAGGTGCGGATCTTTTTAATTGTCCATCAGCGTATCCGTCTCATTTAGATGCACACCAGCATCGTTTAGCACTTGGCGGCTGTGGAGTGAGTGAGCGACTGAATGAGTGACTGACTGACTAGTTTGGCTAACTGAATGACTGAATGAATGTCGAACACACTGACTGGCAGAGTCTCAACAACTAGGTTTAAGCACATTATGCATGCATTTGCAGCCTCGTAAGTCTTTTATGGCCGACAACAGACAACCGGCAACCGACATCATTCACTGCAATTGTTCGCTCTAGAAACCAGTGAGTGAGTGACCCACTTTGGGCCATAAATTAGCACAAACAACAGCAGAGCCTAGACAGGCAACTTTTATTCAGCTTATTAAATACAACGTACAATGCAGTCTGTCTAGTTAGGAGGCTCACGTCTCTCTAGTTTTTCAACTCTCGGACTCACGCACTTACAATTCCAGTCTTGTTTTTATAGATCATTGTCATGTTTAGCTTTCGGTTTCTCGCTGCAAGTCAATTGGGTCAAGCCCGTGAAGCTAAACGACCGAACCACACTAAAGTGGAAAACTAAGCCTGAAACCTGCCATTAAAAAGCCATTAACTATTGTCCAATATTAAGTTATTTCATAGCATTAAATTAGCCTCTCTTGCAAAGCCGATTGAAATGTTTACTTGCTCCTCCGGTGCTCTAACACACTCTGGAGTCCGGGACATAGACAATGTTGTTTAATTGATTGGAGAAAGTTAGGCCGGCCGAACAAACCGATGGGAAAATGTCTTCATTGGGCTCGTTTATTTTCTTGGCCAAAGTGCAATGGGCAATCAGGAAAACTGAATATGCACAGAGTCCAAAAAATTAGCTATATTTTGTATCTTTTCGTTTTTTGTGCATAATTAAGATTAAATTCATTTGATTTTGTGAGTTTGAATAAGTTTTTAAGCAATCAATGTCTGCCTAATTATATATGATAATTTTCATCTCACAATCTGTTAAGTTTCCAATTGCAAAATACAACATCGTTTATATTTTTGGGTCAAAATCAATTGAATATTTTTGGTTATATGTTTAAATATTTGAAAGTGTTATTTATTGAAGGAGTTTTTTCAGGAATGTTAATATTATATTCATTTTCATTTGTATAATTGATAAAAATGGAAAGTTAAACAATAAATCTTGGTAAACAATTTGCATTTCCAAATGTATACATCATTAAAACCCAAATCGTATGGCTTATATCTCCAGAACGTGCTAACTTAAAAGAATTCTTCAGATATTGATGATGGGAGAACAACAGATTTAACAATAAAAGAACCTTAATTAATTCATAAGAATACGTTCAGAAAGCTGTCGATTGCGGTTAACGTGAATTGTTATTATCACACACCCATTCATTCAACCATTGTTGGGTAGCACTCGATTACAAGATCAATTTGATGACATCGTTTTGAGCTTTTGTTATACGAGTTTTTATTTTTCCCAGGTCGTTGGCATATGGTTTTTATATTTTGTTTTACCTGATTTTATATGCACACTTTACATTTCTGTCAGACTGTCGTTCGGTCTTTCTTTATGTGGCTGCATTTTGAGACCGTTAGCGTTAACAATTTTTAATAGATTTGCTGCGCTTTGGCTGCAAGTGATGGACGGCCTCACCACACCACCAGGCTCTCCAGTTTTTCCTAGGCGAGTGGAAAAACCCGTTTTCCTCCCGTACTCACCTCGAAATGGTTTCGCTTCGGCCGACGTTGTCCGTTGCTGTTGGCTTAATTTATGAAAGTTTAAATGCCTTCAGCCTGGCGGCGATTGCATTTCGTGTCGCCTGTAAATCAGAACTACCGCTAGGCATCCCATCCCATCCTCATCCACATCTTCCACAGTTGCATCCCCTTCCAATCGCAATTCGAATCCATATACCATTCCCAATCCCCAATCCCAATTCCCATTTCGAGTCCCAACTGGTTTGAACTTTATAAATATTTATTGTATATATTTATGGAGCCAAGTCGAGCCATACCCCTACATGTGCCACCACATCCTGCCGCATGTCTGAGCCAGTGACCTTATTTATTCCACTGCCAAGACAAGGAAAATCCACATCGGCGAGTGAGAGAGTGCAGCTTTTTAGCCCGAAAGTAGAACATTTTGGCCCGGGCGAGACTCCAGGTCGACTCCAGTTGATGAAAAGATCGCGCGTGCCATTAGAAAGTAAACGCCAATAAACGAGGCTTGAATGTTTAATTTGCCGTTGGGGGCACTTTGAATTAAACTGCACTCAATTTTTTGGTGGGAATTTCTACTTTGGAATTGGATCGGACGAAAGTGAAACATTGACAACTGTCTGGGATCCGGATTGGAGTTCTAGATTTTAGAATGAGAACGCCTTGATTCCAAGAACAAGTAGGCATGTCCTAAATAACTAGTTAGAAACGAGCTAAAGTGGCATACTTAATTTAATAAAAATTTGGTATTTTGGGAGGTGGGAGGGCTTTATAGTGAAATGTCTTTAGTTATTTATATAATCTTAAAAAATGTAAGACTTTAAAATATTCCTAAGAGTGGGGGCTGCAATTTAGCAACTTTAGCGTTGACTATATTTAAATCTGTAAATTGTTTATGCAAATGAAATCGAAAGGCCTGAGAACAGAATAATAATGATGGACATTGTGAATGGAAGACTAGTGGGAAGAAGTCTAGCCTTCGCATTGTTATTTTTCATGGGTTCATCGGTCGCGAAGGCCTAAAAATATAGTAGTGAGAAGCATATCCATTAAAAACTTAATGTTTCCCTTCTTTTTCAGATGTTGCATTTGGCGTAGAGTGATCGAGTGGCCCAACATGTCGGACAAGGTAAGCACATCCTTGGCAGCCCAACTCCATTCCCATGCCCTGGCATCGGCAGAAGGTGGTGTTGGAGTGAATGGTGGTCCTCCGGCCTGCCATGCCAGCACAGAGAAGGATATCCAGGCCCCATTGCAGTTCGAAATGGATGCACCGGCGGCTGCGATCAGTGCCCAGCTGAACTTTAAAATCGTGCCCGCTGATAGTTTGCCAGGACTGAGCTATCCGGACATGTTCGCCTCTATGAATACATCACAAATCTCGAATGCCTCCACGGAGTCCAGCTGCAGTCCGCCCATCCAGGGCGTAGTACCGCCTCCAAAGCCCAGTCGTCACATGGCCGTACAGCCGCTGAACAGCGTAAGTACTAACGATCCTCTCAAAAGCCATCAATTTGTAATCTAATCTTATCTTCTATTTTTAGAAATCCTGTCGATTTCCCAAGCTAGAGGAGTGCGCCCACTTCCACTACGAACGGGTCCAGCTGGGTCCACTATCCGTGCAGCTTTTAGATGACAAATCGGAGCACATGGGCAGTAGTATTGCCTCCCAGTCCATTGGCGGTGATCTGCCGCACAGCTCGCTGCGAAGCTTTTCCCCAGAGAGCTGTTGGTTTATCATCCGTGTGTGCCCACAGCGTTGCGAACCCTTTCTGATCAAACGGAGCTTCGAGAACATGCAGTTGCTGGACGAAATGCTTCATCGTTGCGTGTATGATCGGAAAATCAGTGGGCTCCGCAATATGGAAGAACTGGCAGCTGAGCTGCCCAGCGAGTCGGATGTGGAGTATGCGGTAGCCAAGTACCTAGAGCGTTTCTCGATGATCGCCTCCGATTCACTGACCTGCGGAACCATTCTCACTTGGCTGCAGTTGGACAATAAGGGAAGACGACTGCCATTGGCGGATGGTGAGACACAAAGGACCATCAATACCCCGGCAGTGGGAGCGGCCTATGGTGTGAGGCGCTATCAGGCTCAAGCTCCTGACGAAATCAATATCGAGGTGGGCGACATGATCTCCGTGATCGATATGCCCAGTCCGGCTGAGTCGATTTGGTGGCGTGGCAAGAAATCACATCTGCAGAAGTCCCTCTACGAAGTTGGTTTCTTTCCCCAATCCTGTGTGGCCACCATTGGCGATAAAGTACCGAGGAATTTTCCAATGCCTGCTCCTTTGGTTGGTCACCTGGATGCTTCGCCCACTAAACCGGTACTCCGAAAGCATGGCAAGCTAATCGCTTTCTTCCGTTCCTTCATCCTGTCGCGACCATCACGTCGTCGCTTAAAGCAAAGCGGAATTTACCGCGAGCGAGTCTTTAACTGTGACCTGTCTGAGCATTTGCTAAACAGTGGCCAGGACATTCCCATGGTTCTCCGCTCCTGCGCAGAGTTTATCGAGAATTATGGCGTTATAGACGGAATATACCGGCTCTCTGGAATCACTTCCAATATCCAACGGCTGAGGCGTGCCTTCGATGAGGAACGTGTACCAGACTTGGGCAATCCCGAAATGAAACAGGACATTCATGCAGTTAGTTCGCTTCTCAAGATGTACTTCCGTGAGCTTCCGAATCCCCTATGCACCTACCAGCTGTACGACAACTTTGTGGAGGCCATCCAAGTGAAGGCCGACGAGGCGGACGAGCGGTTGCGACTTATGAAGGAGACGGTACTCAAGCTCCCACCACCACATTATCGGTAAATAATGAGGCATCGCGGATAAATAATAATTATTAATAAACAATTTGTACTTGCAGAACCCTTAAATATCTGGCCGAGCACCTGTACAAGGTGTCGCAGCACCACGAACGCACTGGAATGACGGACAAGAATCTGGCCATTGTATGGGCGCCAAATCTTCTGCGCTCACCCGCCCTCGAATCGGGTGGTGTGGCTGCCCTGCGGGGTGTGGGCGTCCAGGCGGTGGTTACTGAGTACCTGATACGGAATTGCCATAACATCTTCGACGCTTTAGAGGATCACCCATCGCGGCACAGCATGGTGACGAGTACTGTCGCAGCAGCTGCGGTTGCAAATCCGGGTGGAGAACTTCGTCTGGAGTCGCTTACCGATTGCGAAAGTCTGTTAGTGGAGCAGCGGGAGCAAGATCAATCTTTGGGCATGGTAGAGCGACCAAAAAGCCTGAGCACCGGTGGAGCCAAATTGATAAGTCTGGAGGAGGCACAGGAGAGGCATTCTCGGGTAGAGGGTGCTGACCTGAAGCAGTCTCTGCCCATTAGTATGCTGACCAGTGCGAGTAGCAATGCTGCCTCCAACATTGGGTCATATATCGAAGTGGGCGGTGGTCCTTCCAGCTTGCCGGACAAATACCATACTGTGCTCTCGGCACCACGCAGCTGGCAAAAGCGTAAGCCGGACAAGACCCCTTCGTGGAAGTCGATATTCACGCGTAGTCAGCGGCAGGGCAACGCCGATCCCAGCCAGAAAATCACTACGGAAACCAAGGATTCCATTGCTTCTCGCGTGAGCTTTGTGCAGGCCTCGCAAGCGCATGCCAGCAAGGAACTGACAAAGAATGACAAACCCAAATCGATTGAACTTCTAGAGACGACGAGCAATGAACGAGATCCAAAACCAATGGACCTGTGCATTCGCTCCAATTCGATTGATAGTCTACGCACTGTTGGTCATTCGAGAAGCGTTTCACATGACTCTTACTTCGATCTGTTGCAATCGCCGCAAAGAGGTCACATGACCACCTGCCCATCGCGAGAACTCTCCGAGTTGGGTCTGAATTTCGATCGCGAGGAACCGGAAATGCGTATCTTCTCAGAAAGCGAGTCCTTGGTTAGCTCCCCGCGTGTGGGCAAAGAAAATGTTCCACCTGCATCCGGCTGTGCCACACGTCGCATAATGCGCGCCAGGCCTGAGGAGTTTTCCAGCCAAACGAATAGCGTTAATCCCAGTCCCAAGAAGCAGCCACGTCTTAATCTACTATCACCTAGCTCGGCCAGGACCATGCCGCCACCGCCTCCCACAGCAGCTGGTGCTGCATCTACATCCTGTGGGCATGAATCCGCTGGAGCTGAGAACTGCTGCAAACGCTACAAGCTGGAAGATCAGCTGTGTGACATTCAATTTATTGACTGTGGAACTCCGGAAAATGTGCCCACCACTCAACAGCAGTTCGCTAGTGTTGAAGTGCATCCGCCGCCAAAGCCTGCAAGAGCAGCCCAATCGCCGGTTTCGCCATCAACGACTTTATCAGCTGGTTCCTCTACACCTACCCGCTATAGCTATCCCTCAGTGCAGCTGGGAGCCAAGCGAAAGGAACAGCAGGCTGCCAAGGAGCGGTTTAGCTATCAGGGAACCTTTATGCAACCAGGACAAAAGCAGGAGCCTCCAGCTCCGAGGCCTGTGCAGTAAGTATAAATGTGATCACCTGATTATTCAGTATTTGAAATAGTTCTATCACTTGCAGTACAAGCAACAGCGCTTTATCAAGGAAACCTCGAGTGGAACCTATCGAAGATGGGCAGATCAAGCTCTCTGTGCCCACGCCTACAACTCCAGGCCGCAGTCCTCGTTACTCCCTTGTTGTTGTGCGACACCGAAAGCTCCGAGAACAGTTCGGCCGTAAACACGCCACAGTACGACATGGAGCCACTGATGTTAACCTCGGTTATGTCCGGCATATCCGGAGTTTCTTCCAACATGCAACAACAGCTTCTTTTAGGAGTGGATGCGGCCAGCAGTTACAATGGAAGCTCGCATGAAAGTCTGGGACAGCATGTAAGAAAATGCGTCTGCATTTCAAATGTCTATTGAAAGAAACTTTCCTTCGATTGAACATCAACTATGAGATTTGTGAACATTTTTGACATATTTCTTTTCTTGCAGTTCAACAACCTCCAGGATCCAGAGCCACGTGATATGAATGCTTTAAAACGAGAGTTATCTTTAGATCTTCACCCACTGCAGCCGCGCTTGCCGCAGCCGGCGAATCGAGCTGCCACATTGCCGGTCAAGGAACAACTGCAGGCAGGATCGGCGGCAGCCATGTGCTCCTCCCCCAATAACTCCAATTTTACGGACAACACTAGTCAGTCGGTAACGCCCAGCGAGTTCGGTTACCAGCATTTGCAGCGGCAGCCGAGCATGCACTCTCTGCTGGCCACCGACGACAGTTCACCAGTGTACGAAGACTTTCAACAGACTCCCGTTAAGATGGTGGCCACCAGCCCCATTAAATCCACCATTAGCATCACCTACAAGTCGCCCGAGAAAGAGAAGAAACCTCCGGCACTTTTAGAGACTAATTTCGATGAAAACATTGTTTACGAACAGGTGAAGCTGTTCCGAAACTCGGTCACGGAGGTGAATCAAATGTTACATGAGCGATCCAGTCTGAAGCAGATCGCCGAGGAGGAACAGCAGGATGGTGGTGCCTTTAAGGCAGCGGAAATGACGCAGCAACTATTGCAGCTGGAGCACCAAGAGCAGCCACCTGAAGAAGAGGTAGAAGATGATGAGCAGACCCAGTTGCTCTATGAAAATATCGAGCTCCGTAAACCAAAAACAGTTTACGAAAATCTACGTGGCGAGGAGATGAAATTCATAATAGAAGAACAGAAGCCAAGCAGTGATAGAATCGAACTCGACAGCCTAGACAGTTTGGCAGATAACATGGAGCAAGAGCAGACGTCACCCAGCAAGTCGCCCTCTTTCAGTGTCAAGGAGTTGGCCAACAAATTTGAGAGTTCGCCGGTGGAGCAACTGCCCAGCTTTGACTTCTCAGTGCGCGGCGGATCCATGAAGAAGCCCAACGAACTGAGTGTACCCAAAGCAATGCCTGCACCTGTGCCACTTAAAAAACTAAACAGCAGTGCCCAAAAAATAACGCGTTCGCTGGATGAAAACGCCTTCGTACGAGAGTTTGGCGGCAAGCAACTGCAGGATTTGTCTGTTTCGGGCAAGTTACCCGAGGTTATCTCAGAGGTAAACAGCCGGCGGAAGAGCTTTGACATTACGCGACCTAAAACCCTGAATCCACCTAAGCGTTTGCCGGGTATGAGCATCACCGAGGAGATCTGTCAAAAGCGTGGTGGCGAGCCAGAGCTCATTACCCCCACCACCGAGAATCGCATTTCGCTCATCCAGCAGAATAACGTACCCAAGGAGCAGCAGTCGGCAGCTAATCAATTCCTGCCCCCAGCGGGTCGAAAGAGCGTACTAACCGGTGTGATCTTGGATCGCGAGCGCATCGACAAGATAAAAGAGGAGCGTCGTCAGCAACTTACGCAGAAATACTATGGCGACACACTCAAATCTCGATCGCGTACAGAACTCAATGCAGAAGATAATTTCCCGGCCACAGAATCTCTACGCATCAAGTCGAAGTCCCGTGGCGATATGCATGCATTGCAAAAGGACATGGACATGAATCTGAAACAGTTGAGCCGCGTGACTGGTGGTGGATCGGAGAGCACACTGCACACGGGCTTGAGCCAGGGTAATGGACAGGAACAACAGCGGGTGCGCAGGATTTCGGACGAGAAGAATCAAAATTGTGATACCAGTAATGGCGGCGTAAGTGGAATAACTTCCACTTCACTGCTCAGCGTCAAGACGGCGGCGCAGAAGTATGGAAGCACCAGCAAGGCGACTGGGAATAAATATGAACGTGGCCAGCCGATGCCGCGCGAGCGTTTGCAGCGGAATTCTTTGGCCGAGAGCAATACAGGCACCAAGTAAGTATACATTTTACAAATTTTATTTATTAAACTTCATTAATTTTTGTTTTTCTTTTAGCAATAGAGAAAAGATCTCACCACAATTCTCAATACGCGACGTGACTGCGATGTTCGAATCTCGTTCACAAAACCAATAGGCTATAAGGCAACTTTAGCAACTAATTACATCGAAATAATGAGACCGCTACCTACATATAATCACAGTTCTGGAGCAGCAGTGTATATAGCGTATAAAAGCATATATATTTTATTTAGTTTTTAATATTTCTCTTAAGCGCATTGAAATTCTCGAAAGTGTTCTTTATATAAACATAAACGGCGCAAGTGGCTCCAAAGACATTCAGATTTATAACGCCGCGCTTATTATAACATTTATAATGATAAATGATTGATGATAATCATATTGACGACGCTTTGCGCCTTGAATCATATGCAAAATTCAATTTTGTTTTGAAGAAGCATGAAGAGAGTTTAACTAAAAGACCATCCTCATTGTACCCCGAAAGACCCTCGATCCTAAACAATGCATATTGTTATTGCATTTTAGACGTTTCTTTGCATAGGTGTTAAGTTTCATTCGTTTAAACTTTAAAATAACAAACAGAGAATTCAATTTTGATTTGTTTTTGCGTGATTTTGTATCTCGAATGTTTTATTTTCTTGTTTTTTGCAACTAAATTGTGACGCGTGTGTATCGGAGATGATAATTTTTTCTTAATTTTACAATGAAAGCATTTTCAACAACTTTGAGCAAGTTGTCCTAAGTTAATTATTATACGATTAATTTATATATTTTTTAAACAATAAACTCAATTGCATTGTCACTCAAGTACTCATTTCTTCAAAAAATTATTGTATATACTCTTTGGCTTTGCTTTTGAAAACCGTTGCTAACGGAAACTATATGCTTAACTGGAGATTTGAAAAGTCTGTGTACGCGATTTCTTTATAGAAAACAAGACTTCCGGGAAGATTATTTTGAAACTCAATAATTGTTTAATATGGAGATATTTTGTCAGAATGTAAAAAATTAAACTGATTTTCTACAAACTAATACTCACGTAACCTTTCGTGAATAATCAACACTTTTGAATTGAGAGTAGTGACACTAAAAAAAAACGGTTGTCTATTAATATATATGAATACCTTTACACTAACTGGTAACAGTTCGCTATAACAAACTGGATATCTAACTATATAGAGAGATTCATTAAACAGAACAGTTATCTACTATTTAGAGCTATAAAGCATGTAACTAAAGTTTACATTTTAAGTAAAAAGTATTTCAATAAGTTTTTATTATTCAATTCGATTTATTTTGTATTCTTCAGAACAGTTAAGCTTATTTGATTTAGCTTGGGGGATATAGTATTCCTGAAATATAGACGTATATGGCTGGAAATCTGCTGAATGATATTTGCCAAAGGCTGTAACAATATTAACAGGCAGATTTTTAGATCTGACAAATTGATTAGCTTTCTTATCTTTACAAAATCCTTGGAAGTCCTTAGGCGCGTACGCAGCAAGAATATACTTAAAATATACTATCATTATGACCAATAAAAAGCACATCTGGATGCATAACTAAATCAAGAATTTTACATGTGGCTAGTGCTTAGATTGGACTTATAGATAAATTTGATACTATAAATCGTGCGTTTGACTAATAAATCAAGAACTTTATTTACCTTTTAAATAACTCCAGAGCAGCTGCCAAAACTTTTTATATTTCAAACGTATCAAAATTGTTAAAGGAGACGTAAGAAACGGAAACTACAAAATGGAAGCATACCGGAGATTAACAGAATTGTAATACAATAACTAAATAGAAAGCTTTAAAAAATAAGTTAGCATTTGATATATTTTGATAAAAATAAATGAAACCCACAACATAGTTATAAAAATTCATAATGACTGAACCAACAAACAGGCGAAGAAGATGAAAATGATATTAGAATCATAACCCATTTACCATGACATACTTACAATCTGGATACGCAATTATATTTAATAGAGCAGAGATCAATCAATCATTAATATGAACGGGAATATGAAAAGTATATAAGATGAAACGTCATGCGATGAGTTCACAATTTGCATTAACATTTTTATAAGCCACAACATACAATCTAAATAAAACAAAAAAATACTACTTAAACGCATTTAAATAAAACAAGAATATTAAATCCATAAAATTGTTTTTCAATGGGTAAATTATTAATATTGATTAAGATTGAAAGTGAAATAATGCAGCATTATATCAATCTAAAGATTAGAGACTACTTTATGGTTTAGTATAGAAATGTTAAAGAGAAAAGTTACATAATTATAAACTTCAAACTGTACTTCATGTATTGGCTTCAGAATCAGAAAATTTCAAATGTAGAACGTTTTTAAAAGAGGTAAAGCTACTTTATTTTTAAATTAGCCTTCAAAAAGTCCCTTATTGTTATTTACGAGCCCTAAATGATTAGCTATTTTTATTACCCAGTATTTATGGAAACTGATTGTTATATAAATAAAGCCAAAGCATTCCCGCTGATCTTCTCTGGCGCATAAAAATAAGTTCAAAGAGAAGGTGTTGTACCACCCAAGGTTAGGCCATAAAGTCCATAATTTTATTAGCCAAAAGCTTTGTCCTTTGCATTTGTTTGAAAACCTGCTGGGCGGCAGCAGAAAAGAGCACGTGAGAAAATTAATTTGATTAAATTGCCATAGAGATGCACAGCGGGTCAGAAGTGTGACAGGACGAGTAGGGGTAGCGTTATGAGATGTCTTATCGCTGCATCAGTTGTTGTTGTTAGCCGGCTACTTAACGCGGATGCTGAGCCACCACCGTAAGGACACACATCCTTCGATGCGGGTTCACATCACAGCGGTGAACGCACTAAATGATGTGCATAAGTGCGAAAACGTTTTGCACATGGAATGCCTGCTTGCCGCCTCCTCGCCTCTGTTGTTTTATTTTTTATTTCATATTTTTGGCCGAGATTCTCGTCTTTCCTGGGGCTCTCTGTTTGGGTTGATTGACGCTGATAGGGCACGTGCTGGCAATTATTTTAGAATAAACATAACAAGCCTCTCCACGGGCCCAAATCATCAGATGACTTCTCCTCCTCAGCTTCTCCCTCTTGGGCACGGATAAAAAATATTTTCTTTAAAGAGATGTGATGCTAGCGATAATAAATCACTCCAACTGATAATTCGATCTTTAATTTAATTATTTAGTTTTGTTTATTACCAAATAACCTTTTAATTTTTCAACTGAAATGATATCCTTCATGTCGTAGATAAATCATTGTAAATCAAAATAAAAATATCTGGTCAATATATGATCTTAAATGTGTTCGTAATATAAGTATTTCTATCAAGTGTAGAATCATAAAATAATTAAGAGTAAATTAAGTTATTGTCCTAATTGTAGGTTCTTAAGCGTGTAAAATATCGAAATCATCGAGTTAGGATCATTAGGACACCCACTATTTCCTCCCTCGAGGGTATTTGAACTCCCAACCTATTCCGGTTTCTTCTTTTGTTGACTCTCGTATTTTTGGGCGGTCGACTGCTTATTAAAAGTCTCTTGTTGTGATCCTAGGCCCAGTAACCTTTTCGTCCTGCCTCCTCTCTCGGTCCTCGAATTAGTCCGCCCTGACAATTAGAGCACTAACAAATGCAATTATCCAGGCACCGCCCTTCACTTGTGCTCCATTCCTTCACCCCTTGCAGCACACAATTGCTCTTCATTGGCAACAATTGTAGATGAACCCGTCGTTCGGAGTCACAAGTCCTTTTCCCAGCCAACAAAACAACAACAACAAAAAAAAAACGAATGAAAATACGTGTGCGGAGTAGAAAAAGTCGAGCTCTAGGAGAGAGTGCAAACAGGCAAGGCAAAAGTTTCCCAAACGCGTGCCACATATTAAATTACAACGAAATATGTGCACACGATGATTTGTCGAAGGGCAGTTTGTAATTTGCTGGCATTTTTTGATTTTATCAGCATCGCTGTTATTTTGATACAGTTGTTGGATTCAATGGTCATGTAGTGTGCTATTTAATTGAATTTATCCCGCGCAATTATCGTGAAATTTACTGAACATCCGTGCGCTACAAAATTGGGGGTTTGTTGAGGAACCCAAAAATTCCCGGATATGACATTTATTGTGGGTGTAACGAAACAATTTCCAACATATTTTTAACTTTAACGAAGACAAATAGGAGTTAGAGATTGGCTTATAGAAGTTTTATGCAATATGTTAGTAGACCAATCTGAGCTTAAAACCCAAGAAAACCCAAGGACCAGATTTATTAACTTGGTTAAAAGTATTCATTGACCTATATTATATGCCTTTTGTTCAGATTAATGGGTTTCCTTAACAAATAAGACCCCATGTAAAGGAAATACCAATCGCTTAGGATGTAGACACTTGAGCTTCTGCTACTGCTCTGAGCCGTTGGTCCCAAGGACAAAGGACCCGCAAGGATATTCAACTTTGTGTTGCTTGTATCAGAAGTTAATTTACCGAGAATCAAACTTAAATGCGGAAAAAGGATCTGAGGAGATTTACCGCCAAGAGTTCACCCCCTATTTGAAGATGAGCACGACCTATGCCTCATGTAACCTGATCGTTGACACACTTCAGCTTTGATTTCAGGGAATTATGCTAACAAAAAAAGAAAAAAACAAGAAGACGTCGTCGATGTCGACAGTGCACAAAGGGATTTGCCAGACAAACAGACACAAAATGTTGTAATTGCCCCAAGGAGAGGCACCCTCCTTCAGACTTAACCGCAAAGTGGCTGGCAATTCGATGCGTCAGACGTAGTAACATTTTTATTATTATAAAAATTAGGCTTAGAACAACTGACGGGGCACGTGCAGTACTGGAAATTAAGCAGACTAAATGATGGTTCAAAAATATGATCTCCTTTTGGACTTTGCCATGGGAATCTGTCTTCTCAAATCCGTTGACTTCGGTTTAATGGAAAAATCAATAAACAACGCTCAGAAGACAGCAATGCAGACTTGAAAAAATGCCACCTTTACCTATGTTTTTCGCAATCGCCCTTTAGCACGTTCATGTCAGCAGGTTAACAATGGATGACAACGAAGTGAAGTCTGTGAAGGTGGAGCAAAAAGTTAAGTGAGTTCATCTCAGGTGAGGATGAGGCCAGGAGCGTTTATCTCTGGACAGGTCATAACTTTTAAGCGGATATACAGCTCTGCATGTTGTAAGTTCTAAGATAGTTTTTTCATAAAATAATAATATTTCATATATCAGAACTAATATCTTTCTTTAATGTTGGCCCCCAAAATTGAGATATTCTAATTAAATTCAAAAATATACTCTTATTAAGGAAGAATCTTTTACCTATAAAGCAAGCTTAACAAACAATAATTAGTCTTTATCCCAAAAACAAAACCTAACACCCACACTTACCAATAATTAAGTCTCCAAAAATATAAGTGATTTAAATTCCTTAGGGAAGCAGAGGCATTTTGACATCAGGGGGAGGACATCACAAACCTCTACAACCTGTCCAACCTCTCCAACGATCGCTCGAATGCCATCCTAATGCGCCCGTTTTAGGGCTTTAACCTAATAATGATGTTCGACTTAGTTTGCGTGACTTATTTTATTAATAAAACGAGCAAATTTGTCTTGCTTTTTGGTCGAATGGCCATCACATGCTCTTTCTCTATCGCTGATGTCTCGTTATTGTCTGCTCTCCTGCTCTGTTTTGGTATCCAGGCGACCCCTTCCATCACCGCCAGAAAATGATGTGACCTCTCCTCGAAAGAAAGTTCGATAAAACAGGACAAACATAGTGGCTATAGCAACCCCTTGGTAAGCTCTTCGCTGATTGGTGGCTTGTAGTTAAGGAATCACGCCCTCTTTTAGAGGGTGGCAAGAGCAGAGGTAGAGGCTGGGGTGGTCCTTGTGGGTGGTGTACGGCTATGTTGGAGCACTGATTCAAATTACCCGCAACGTGGAAAAAATATATCAATGAACAAAGCAGGGGAATATGTCAACCCAAACCAGCGAGTGTACAGTTGCGTTGGCTCCACCTAGCAATTATCCTGTCACAGCAGCAGCGGCAGAATCGATTGTTTAATTCAATTATAATAATTGTGGCATTTAATGCATGCACATCATCAGCCAGACAGACAACAATGGCGGCCGTGACACGTTAATTATGACAAGTGGGTGCCAAAATGGGTGGCACAAAATCGGTTTGGCAAAAGAAGGATGGGCCTCACAAAATGGCGCCCAGTGTAAGGACGAATAGTTTTGCAAATTATTTGTGGTTACCAGAGGTCAATTAAACTAAGGTTTTTAGGGGCTAATCGGATGTCCAGCGGATGCCAACAGAGAGATGATGGGTGCTAAAATCCAGTGAGAGCAGGACAACTGTATGCGCATGCAAATCTAGGGGGTGTGTTTATGCGACGAGCATATGCGAAGGGGGATTCCCCCGAATTTGCCGCTCTAAGCGGGCACCGCAAAACGGGCCAACTGCAACTGGATTGTAGATGGGGGTGGCGAAAGTTAAGAACGGGGTTATTTTTTTTGTTTTTGTTTTTTTGTTGTTGGTGTATATTTTCCACAGGATGCAGGACAACATCGCTGGCTCGCTCGCACATGTCTGCTGGCAGCTCGTTTAGAGCAATTTGCTGGTTGATGTGCGGTGATTGCCGCAAACTCAACGCGACCGTCAACGAGCAAACAACATAAGCGCGCGCGTCCCGTCCAAGGACACATATACATATCCTGGCTGGCATATCCTGACTCCAGTGCACCTTCACACCACCACTCCACTCCTTCACCTGCTCCTCCATCGAAATGGCAATGCTTAATGAGGCCAGCTTGAGTCCTGCAGACGCACATGGTCATACCAATGCCACTACGCCCACGCACAGCAAGGCGGCAATGACCAGTGCCACCACAATGCTGACCACAAAAACGCCGTTCTCCATCGAACATATATTGTTTCAAAATTTAAATAGTGCCAACAATAATAATAATAATAGTAATCATACCAACACCATTACCGGTAATTGCAATAATTACGTTCAAAAGAGCAGCAAAAATGCGGTGAAAAGTGCCAAAAGCAGCTTTGCTCACGACAATAATCCACAGAAACATCCGTCGCAACATTCGCATCCGCCGCAATTACATCCGTCGGCATCCGCTTCCACATCCGCGTCGGCGACTGGACGCGGAAATCAAACAGCGTCAGGCTATGGTAGCGAGGATTACGCCAAATCCTTGCACAATACCCAACGGTTGGTTTTAAAAATAAATATTTAAAAATCTCAGTTCAAGATAAAATAGTTGTGTTCTTAAAAGAAAATCATGAATTTGATTTCATTAAAAAGTTAAGGTTAACACCTTTAGGAATATTATGTCATAATCGAGAAAAATCATACCTATGAGTATTTTCGTGCTTCAACTTTTTAAAGAGAGTAACCTAAATCGACATTTATTTTTCGCTGGCGATGGCATTTTTATCTAAAATAAAAAATTGATATATGTAAAAATTTTTTTAATCCCTCGATTTCTAGGTCAAACCACCAATCACGTCCTGGAGCTTCCCACTATAGTGCAGATCAGACTTCTCAGCAATTAGGGTCCGCGGCAGGACAGCATCCGCCGGTACCGGCGCCTCAGCCTCCACCTCCGCCGTCCCTGAATGGAGGAACTGGTGGATCAAATGGAGTATTGTACCCCAATGCTCCCTATACCGATCACGGATTTCTTCAAATGACCCTCGGCTATCTGTCTCCATCGTCGGGCACTTACAAGTCCGTGGATCCATATTTTCTATCACAAGGTGAGTTATTTTATGATAAGATAGAGATATGATCTCTATATCTTTTCATTGGTTTTTATTAGTATTAAAGTATAACATTTTTCAACAATAACGCAGACTAACAACTACCTTATAAATACTAAGTGCAAATCGAACACATGGCGTATGAGTGATAGTTATAATCTTTAAATCTTTATTTTTAAAACGTGTTTAGTTTATAGGTTCAAAGTTCACTTTTTAGCATTTAATAAACTTAGGGGACATTAGAATTTTCACTTAATAAACTTTTTTAAATTAATGAAACACCAGAATAGCCTGCATTGTAAATGACCAATCAACACCGAAAGTTTCAATTTCCATCAACTATAACAAAGTTAATGAATCTCGTTACCCGAACTTTTAGCCAGCCTTTTCGGTGGAGCGCCCTTCTTCGGAGCTCCTGGTTGTGTGCCGGAATTGGCCCTTGGATTGGGAATGGGCGTAAATGCTCTGCGTCACTGCCGCCGGCGGAAGGCCCGTACGGTGTTCAGTGATCCGCAATTGTCCGGCCTGGAAAAGCGATTTGAGGGACAGCGATACCTTTCCACGCCCGAGCGCGTGGAACTTGCCACAGCCTTGGGTCTCAGTGAGACACAGGTGAAGACCTGGTTCCAGAACCGCCGCATGAAACACAAAAAGCAGCTACGCCGGCGGGACAATGCTAATGGTGAGAACTTCTATTTGTTTCATCATTCTATTAAGTTTAAAACTTTTAACTTCTTTGATACTATCAACCTTTAACAAAATTCCCTGCACACACTTTGCTTTATAAATCCTTTTATATATGCAGACTTAATATTTTTAAAGCAAAATTCATAATCAAATATTTCCTTGAAGACAATGAAATTGTCAAGAAAATAATAAAATGGCCAAAGGCTTCTTGAATAGAAGATGCCTGCGGTTTTCAAATTGCTCACAAAGCTTACTTGAAAATAGTTGAGCAGACAAAAGGGTCTGAGTAGTTTCCTTTGAGGAACTTTTGGACTTTCAATTAGACCTTTTGGCTTTTAGCTGGCTCCTTGAGTTGCACAAAGTTTTTCTCAAGTTTCCGAACAAATCAAATTAATTCTAAATGTTGTGGAAATTTCTTTGACTCTTCCATGCCGCAGAACCCGTTGACTTCTCACGCAACGAATTGGGCAAACAGCCAGGCGAAGCCACCTCCTCCTCCTCTGGAGATTCCAAGCATGGAAAATTGAATCCCGGATCTGTCAGCACACCCAATCAGCCTACAAGTGAGCAGCAGCAGCAGCTGCAGATGTGCCTGATGCAGCAGGGTTACTCCACGGATGACTACTCCGACTTGGAGGCGGACAGTGGCGATGATGAGAACTCCAGTGACGTGGACATAGTTGGCGATGCAAAACTCTACCAGTTAACATAGATAGTTCGACCAGGATAGGAACCTGGCTATTAAATTAGTAAAGTTGTCGGTATTTTAATTGGGGAAATACAATCTTTAATTATTTGTTAAAGTATCAGAGAAAATTTAAAGTTCGATTTTTCATTTAGTTTTTAAAGGTTTATGTTTGGAAAATCTAAAGATAATGTTTCTGTTTGCTGGAAAATCACATATTTTAGTGATTGTCAAATTTTTAAGGCTTTACCACAGATATGTACATTTGTTTTATCAGCATTAAAGTGGTTTACCAAACCATGTCTTGGTGTTTACCAGTAAGAACCGAAAGATAGTTCACATCAAATCAACTTAAGACCTTGAACTACTTATTCTTATTGCAATATAACCATTATTTTAACTATTTGATTTTAACAGAGACGATCCATTTTACTCAAGCGTTTTAAAAAACGTCATCTAAACGACAGATAAGAAGATTATTTTTATAAAGTTATAATTGTATTTCCCCAAATATTTAAATTGAAAGAAGGAAAAACTTTGTAAATATTAAAATGTTCTTGAACGAGCTACATTCTAGTCATGTATTAAATATTAAATCTAATCAAATTTAGTGATTGTATTCAAGAACTTCCATTTTAAGATATTTTAGTTCCCTGCGACGTCTTACCCAAAACATAGTGCTTGCAATAAACCAAAAAGAACAGAAGTACGAGTAGATTCGAAAAGTTGTACTTGGTTTGGGAGCTCTTTCTTCGGCGCTGGGCAATCAAATCCAATTGACAACATAAAGTAGCAACTAATATGGTTAAACATCAGGCATTTCACAATGGGGTTGACTGAGACTGCCACGCCCTGCGCATGTCCAAGTGCCCATAGGTGGGCGGAAATAGGGAAAAAGATTGGATTGAATTGGGGTGGATGGAAATGCACTTAACAATGAAAAAATAATTGCGGGTTTTCAGCCAGCCATTTTAGTGAGACAATCAATCTCGAGTGTGGGAGGTAAATGTTAAATGTTTCCAATTGATTGGTAATTATGGGTTAACAGGAATGCTCACGAAAAAATCACTATTAACCGGCAGTAAAAAAAGGTGGAGGAAATTCATTTTTTTAGGTTAATCTTTCTCACGGCTTTTTTAGATTCAAAACCTCAAAAGATCCTACACACTCTTTATGTAAGTACCCCTAGTCTTATGAAGCTATTGTCTTAAATAAAATTATTTTTAGATTTCCATCTAGTTTATACAATTAATATTACCTAACAATACATATCAGTTTTTAAGATCTATTCTAGACGTCAATGAAACATTTTTTTCCATTGATTAAAAATGTAAGTATTAACCTAAATATTTATATATATATTTATATATGTATATTTCTGTTTTCTTTTATGTTCAAATTGGTAGACACACTCTAATCGGACGCAAATTAACAAAACTCGAGAGATTGCTATGGAATGAAATACTATCTGAGGTCGAAGCAATGACAAGGCGCAGTCGCTCTACCTCTGGTGTTTTCCAAGCGAATACATATTTTAGTAAGTAGTACTTTGGCTTATCTTATTGTTGATTAATACGAAAGCAAACTGCCGGAGACGAGCCTCCCTCGACGAGAATGGGTTGGTAATAAAAGTCACACTTGCCACTTAGTACCTATATAGTCATAAAATGTTTTGATTTCATTTAAAGCCCTTTTCAATTGCAATATAGTAGTATATCAGTGAGTAAATCACACTTAAGTGGGTATTTAAGCATTTTGCTAAATTTTTTCACTTAATAAAGAGATTTTAATGAAGCATTTTTCCTTAAACCTATAAATATATGTATATCTCATTAGGCATTCAAAAAAAGTTGATATGCTCCCCAAATGCTTCACTCTCTTTATTTTTAACTCCCTCTTCATTTTTTCAAGCCATATGTCTGCAGTTTATGCTCCCCATATGCACTCTCTTCCACTCCGAATCTCTCTTCTATGTACTTTTCTGTAAATATGTATGCATGTTATTTACAATGCTATCAGTCGCCGTCGCCGTTCAAAACAAAACAAAAAGGAATGTGAGGATATACTCGTAAAAGCCGACATTTCAATGCGCTAACTTTTTAGTTCCTAAAAAAATTGTACGATTTTTGATTAAAAAAATGATTGCATAATTTTTTTGCAAACAATCCATAATTAATTTAATTTTTTTACAGTTAGAAAATTTAAAAAATATTTTCAAAAATGGAATACTGAATTATTTTTATGAAAAAATCATGACAACTATTAATAGGATTATAATCACATATTACTGTTAGATTAATAATATTGACCTGCTCGACATAGCGAATATACCTCCTGAAAGGGGATGGGTAGGGAGTGACGTTTGGTTGGCTTTTTTCCGCTGTCGTCGTGGCCGTGGACTAAAGCCAAAAAGCAGTCTCTTTAGTTCAGCCGTCGACCGCGGTTCGTTGTTTTGTTTGCCAGTCTTACCCGTTTTGTTGTAAGTGAAAGTGCATTTCGATCTCTTGGGTTCTACGAAGCTCCACAAATGTTTGGGTTCAACAAGTAGTGTTAAGGACAAGTCTGAAAGTCATTTAGCTCTCGTTTCTTTGATGTAGATTAATGAAAAAGATATACAAACGTATATTTGTCTATAGATACACTGTTTACTTATAGCCCATGCGTTGGTATATACATTTATTCAGCTAATCGGGTGCTTTTCCGAGACGTTCCAAAAATAAATAAGGGGCACGTGTCGATGTATATAATCGGCCGGCAGAAATATTATTTTTGCGGTTCCGGTTCTATACTTTTTCCATGAAACAGTTCGATTAATTTTTGTAGAACAAACAGGTTATCAGCTAGTCTAAAATCCTAATAACAACGAGACACCACAACCACAAAAACAAATACACGCGCACTCAGAGTGACAAGTTTTTGATAGTGATTTTTTATGCAACAAGCCCCCGAAAAAACCAGTGAAGATAGTGGTCGATAGAAAGAGAGGTCACTGATTTGACCTTCTTATGGAAACACAGGCCCTTGGTCCTACTAATTTGGTAATTGTTTTTATTTTGATGGATTCCCACAGGAACCGCATCATTTAGAGAGGTTACATATTACTCTAACCAATAATGGCGGCCAGTAACGGTGATTGTAAGTGAAGTTGTCTCCTGCTTCCTGCTTCCTGCTCCATTAATGTTTCCTGGCCCCTTTTCTTCCCATGTAGAGTCCTTTCAACTCGCACTACATGTATATTAAACCCGCCTGCACCTCCTCCAATTTGAAAGCGCCCAAACTTGTTTGACCAAAAATTTTAACCTGTTGCTGTGTCAAAATTATTTTGATTTATTGCATCTGCGCACGTTTCATTTTGTTATTAAACCTTATGCTATTCCCTCCGAAATCCTTAAATATTAATTTTTAAAATTCCTTACCCGTTTGTTAATCCAATCCTAATCATACCCAGACAAAGCCAATTCTCGCATTTTATATATTTTATTATAATTATTCGAATAGCCAAAATGAGCCAACAGGGGCCAGTTTTTGACTCCAATGCGATGACGCTGACGCGTTTCGTGTTGCAGGAGCAACGCAAATTCAAAGGCGCCACCGGAGATTTGTCCCAGCTGCTCAACTGCATCCAAACGGCGATAAAAGCCACTGCCTCGGGTATATTAATATATTTACCATATAATTTCATAATAATTATGTTTTAATAACAATTTTGTATAGCCGTCCGTAAGGCTGGAATTGCCAAGCTTCACGGAATCGCCGGCGACGTAAATGTCCAAGGCGAGGAAGTCAAGAAACTGGACGTGCTGTCCAACGAACTCTTCATCAACATGCTCAAATCGTCCTACACCACATGTCTGATGGTTTCCGAGGAGAATGAGAAGGTGATCGAGGTGGAGGTAGACAAACAGGTAAAGTTTTATAAGTATAATTTCTGCTATCTTCAAGCTGTATATATTATTTTCAATATACATATATCAATTTCGAATGTTTATTTTCTTTTTTTAGGGCAAGTACATTGTCTGCTTTGATCCCCTGGATGGATCTTCTAATATAGACTGCCTAGTGTCGATCGGTTCGATCTTTGCCATATATCGCAAGAAGAGCGATGGTCCACCCACCGTGGAGGATGCTTTGCAGCCTGGCAATCAGTTGGTGGCTGCCGGATATGCGCTCTACGGCTCGGCCACTGCTATTGTTTTAGGTCTGGGATCCGGAGTGAATGGCTTCACCTACGATCCGGCTATCGGAGAGTTCATCCTCACTGATCCAAACATGCGGGTACCAGAAAAGGGAAAGATCTATTCGATTAATGAGGGCTACGCTAGCGAATGGGAGGCCGGCGTGTTCAACTATATTGCAGCCAAAAAGGATCCCACAAAGGGTAAGCCATACGGTGCCCGTTACGTGGGTTCCATGGTCGCAGATGTTCACCGTACCATTAAATACGGTGGCATCTTCCTCTACCCGGCCACCAAATCCGCTCCCAGTGGAAAACTCCGCCTGCTATATGAGTGCAATCCAATGGCTTATCTAATGATTCAAGCTGGCGGACTAGCCAGTGATGGAAAGATTAGCATTTTGGACATTGTACCCAAGAAGATTCACGAACGCAGTCCCATATTCTTGGGTTCCAAGGCTGATGTGGAGGAGGCGCTAAGCTACTTGAAGTGATTTTTGTAATTTTTGTAACTTAAGAATAAAGGACATTTTATTTTTTACTAAAAAATTGATTCGAGTCCCATCCCGTTTCTAAAAGTATGCACCAAAAATTGTTTCAAGTCAAACCGGTTCCTGCAAATAATTCCCAACTAATTCTAACTGAATTTAAATGAAGACCCCTGTTTTGAATTACAATAGTTATCGCTTCTCGGCCTTATGGCTAAGATCAAAGTGTAGTATCTGTTCTTATCAGCTTAACATCTGATAGTTCCTCCATTGGAGGACAACAAATGTTAAACTGATTTTTGTAACCAGACGGAGTGCTAGGGGCTTGCTCCACCTCTGTCACGGGTTGGCCCGGTATTGCAGTACCGCCGGGATTTCGGCCCACCTGAATAATAAATAACACTTATTTTAATGTGATAGTAGTAGGGTATTATTAATTTAGCTATCATTTAAATTTTAGTTGGATGAAGTTTTGGGACTTTCTCTCGCGCAATTTCGTTTATTTGCTTTCTTTATCTCCGATTGGATACTATGTATTTGACTTTCCGTTGAAATTACTCTCAGCAGCTAGAGCTATATATGTAAATAAGAATGAACAATTATTTTATGATTTTTTTTGTAGGAAAATATTTTATTTAAATTCTTAAGTTTTTGAAACAAAAAAATGTAAGCGAAATAAGAATTTTATAAATTTTATTTCTGAAGTTTCCAAGCTTTGGAAACTCTACTGGTTGCTTAAGCCAACGAGCAAGCTTAGCTTAGCTAACAAAGTGCTGCTGTATAAATCAATTGTGGTGCCCTCGATGATGTACTGCATCCAACTATGGGGCTTGGCTTCGGACTCTAACGTAATCTAGCATTAGCATTTAGCATTGATCTCTAGTTATATCAAAAATTTTCTGAAATAGTGGAATATAAAATTACTTATTACAATTATCATTTCTGTTTATCAAAAAATAAGTGAAAGGAAAATTAAATGTATATATTTGTTTCGGCTTAGAGAGTAAAAATAAGGTAGAAAACGTCCAAATATCCTACTATATAAATAACAAGTATAATATATAAATAAATACATAGAGATAATAAATATATATGATAGTCACAACTACATCGAAACAAATTTAGTTTAGTTTATTGCTTTCTTTACCTCCGATTTAATACAAGATATGTTTTTGACTTACCATTGAAATTACTCTCAGCAGCTAGTAAAGTAGTATGTAAATAAGAATGAACAAATAGTTTATGATTTTTCTTGTAAGAAAATATTTTATTTAAATTCTTAAGATTTGGAAACAAAAAAATGTAAGCGAAATAAGAGTTATATATAAATTTTATTTCTGAAATGGTAGAATATAAATTTACTTCTTACAATTACAATGTTTATCAAAAAATAAGTGAGGGGAAATTAAATGTATATATTTATTTGACTTACAGGATAAAAATGAGATAGAATAACGTATAAATATATACTATATAAATAACAAGTATTATAATAATAATAAATATATATTTATATATATGAAAACAAATACATCGAAACAAATTGCTGACGTAAAATTTAGCTTAGACTTATACAAAATAATACTACCAAGATAAGATTTTTAAAAATAATATATAACCAGTTTTCCATAAGTACAAAAAATGCAAAGGAAATATGTTACCATTGTTGTTCGAAATCATTAGGTGTATAATAAGCAGAAAACAGTCCTATAGGACAAACAATTTTAAAATAGAATAAGGGAGTTGATCTTAATTATTTGCGTAACTAAACGATTTTACATTAAAAAATTGTACAGCTATTTTTTTTATTTACCAAGAGGGCTGTGCCTCTTGATTAAGATCAAATATTTTTTCAAATTTATAATCTAATTGGCCCAGCAACAAAGTCGCTAGGCCTAACAAAAATTCAGTTTAGACTCATTAGAGTGCTCCTCTCCACGGAAATCTTTAGTAAAAGGCGAAAGATTTATTCGACAAATTGAAGAGAAACCAGAGTGACTTACGCTGCAAGAAAGACTATATCTAGGTTTAATACAAACCAGAACTGCTTGGGAATTATTAAATGTGTGCTTCGGGGAGGAATGCAGACCCAAGACAGCCGTCTTGAACTCGTCAGTCTACCTGTGTGAAGCATTCTAAGGGATGCAAATGGTTATAAATCCATAGATAAGTTGATCCCTGTTAGAAGAACTATTAGGTAAACTTAAAATCTATAATCAAAAAATCTGAAATAATGTTCTTTATCTTGGTTATCGTCTTGTGTAATTTTATTTCGTCACGCTTTTTGGCTTAAAATGTATTTTAAGTATTCAATTTTTCAGTCGGTCTCATATTCTCCACGATGATGGTTTCTTTTCTGCTGGTTATTTTGGCCTTAACTAACATAAGTGAGGCTACACCTATTCGACGTTTTTGCGCCTATACATCCCCCGATTGCTATATGGAGTCTGGTTAATCTTGTAACGCACCCAAAGACCCCAAGGGATTCAAATATCATCTAAATATCATGATTTTGTATATAATTATTGCAAAATTATAATACAATACCATCCTAGTAACTAACCCGTTTGTGATAGTAGATTCTTTTATAAGTGAGCATTTGAATCGGGGTTCCTACCTGAATGATGCAGTGTTACCCAAGGAAGACTTTGACCTTTGCTGGAAACATACCCCTAAATATGCAATAGTCTTTTGGTTACATTTTTTTCCAATTACAATAATTCTCAACTAGTTCTGACTGTAATGTCACCATGTTCCATATTGAGGAATGAAATAGTTATCGCTTCTCGGCCTTATGGCTAAGATCAAAGTGTAGTATCTGTTCTTATCAGCTTAACATCTGATAGTTCCTCCATTGGAGGACAACAAATGTTAAACTGATTTTTGTAATCAGACGGAGTGCTAGGAGCTTGCTCCACCTCTGTCACGGGTTGGCTCGGTATTGCAGTACCGCCGGGATTTCGGCCCAACATATTATAATAAATTTTTAACCAAACATTTTTTCTACAATAGAAAAATGTATAAGGTAAGGTGGAAATGGAATTAACCCCATGAATATGGCAAAATCCAAAGTAAATGCAAGGCTTATGATAAAAACATTTAACTTTTATGAATTATTTATTTGTAATTACTACAACTTTTAATCGCTATAGAAATGTTACAGCTAAAAATGTGGATGACGCTATACTCTAGGTATAGGTAGGTTCACTTTCAAACAAACATTATGTAAAATATGATTCTAAAACGCGTTCGCCTTGTGCTTTGGCACAAAGCTAAAGCCATCTGGCACTCGTCCCAGAAGCGACTCGCTTAGCTTCACCCAGTCAGCTGCGTTGCCAGAACTCATGAGGGTCTCCATTTCATCGCGTCCTCGATATTTCTGCGGTCGAGCGTTGATCTTTTGCGGCGGAGCCGTCTGTAAGGCCTCGGGTATGTATCGGTACAAGAAGGACTGCCATTCAAGAAGGAATCGGCGTGTGGTTTCGACACCCTTAGTGTCCGAGCCCCAATGCTCCAATCCGTAGTTGCAAAACTTTTGCAAAATTTCGTACCGTTGACCAGACGAAGGTGACCAGGCTTGTTTCTCCTTGATCTCTTGGAATATCCAGGGCTTTATTAACGCTCCACGTCCAATCATCACTGAACTAACATGCGGCGCCAAACTCCTTCTTTCCACGTAATCCTCATAGCTAAGTATGTCTCCGTTACCGATCACCGGCATCCGTTTAGCCTTTGCGGCGCACTCCTCGATGTAAATCCAGTTGGCATGCTTGGTGTAGCGCTGCTCCCTGGATCGCCCGTGAAGGGTCACTGCTGAGGCGCCCCACTCTTCGACCAGAGGCAGGAGTTCGTGCGCCACACTCTTGTCAGCATATATGCCAGTGCGCATCTTCACGGTGAAAGGTAAGCGATTGGACAAGGCGGCACAGCTACGCACAGTCAGCTCCAAGATGTTTGTTCTTCGCATTAGGGCACTACCGCCGCCCTGCTGGTAAATAAGATCTATCGGGCAGCCAATGTTGAGATCTATGAAATCCACCTGGGCAGTCTCATAAATAACCTGAGCCGCTTGGTTAATCATGTTGGGATTATTCCCGCACAATTGTACTCCGAAAACATCTTCGCTCTGATGGCGCTTCGTTAGAGCCCATTCCTGACCCATACCCTTCAGTAGAGGCTGAGCACAGGCCATCTCGCCACATGTGATGTCAGCACCGAACTCCTTACATATTCTTCGAAAGGGCAGGTTGCCCAAAGTTGTGAGTGGCGACAGGACGAGTTTCTCACGGAAATCAACGGCTGGCTTTTGGTCAGCATCTCTGCCGGTAGGGAAGTCAACAATTGCGCAACCAGTGAGAGTGGGAGCTTGGGAACTCGCTTCCTTGACTTCCTCTTGTTTTTCCTTCTCAAGTTTGTCTTTGTTGTCAGTAGAGCTTGAGTTTATCGTCTCTGAGCTTGAGTTTACCGTCTCAACAGACTGTTCCTGTTTCCCGTTCTTTTCCTTTTGCTCGTTTTGCTTCCGGGCATCTCGTAGTTTCTCCGCGAGCTTAATGAGCTCCTTGCTGCGACTAAAATCGTATTCATGTTTTCGAAGACGCACTTGGAGTTCTAAAAAAAGATACTAGATCTTATTATTGATTATTAGTACAGGATTCTTTTTTTTAAACCCACCTGAACTAACCCCATTACACGTTGTCGGTGGAGCCTTTTCGTCGTAGTCCTCCCTTTTAAGGTTTCTGCCCAGCTCATTAGTGTGGGCCTTTGCGAAGCGACAACTTACTCCACGGGCACAATATCCCTTGGTGGTGTACACATAACATTCCGGTCCGAGATCCTCTCCCTTGGCGGCTAGGAAGGAATCTAGATCGTGCACATAGCGACAATTTGGCAGGGAACACGGTTGTCCACCTGTTCCATCAATCAGCGAGTGACACAGGTGCGAATAGCGCTCGTCCTTGAACACTGGGCGATTCTATTGGTAGAAAATTATTTCAAAAAAATAAGATTAATACGATAAAATAAAACATTAACTTGCTTTGTTTTGTCCACGCTTGCGTTCCTTTTTATCCCATTTCTTTTTTCCACCGGCTTCTATTTCTTCGCCATCCTCTCGTTTTCTTTTGTTCGTCTCGTTGTTTTCGGTGTTAGCTGCCTCATTGATTTCAGATACCAGGTATCTGTAGGATGTACAAAGTTAATATCTACCTGAATTATTAAAAGTTTTACTTACTCTGGTTTTATATAGCAAATTCCCGGTTCCATTTCACAATAAACAATCGCACGTGTTGGTCGGCTTCTTCTTCTTCATTGTTTTTATCAATCAGCTGTTTAAAGCTATGTAGCTGTTAGTTATCGATAGTTTTGCAGATGTTGGCGGTAATAAAATTGCAGTTTTTTCTTAACTTTATAATCCGGACAAATTGTATTACTCGTGGTGAATCGTGATTAGATTTGCATAGTAAGCACAATCGAAAATGTGCCTTTAGAAAATAGAACTAAATTAGAACGGTATATAAAACAAATATTTCAGCTAGTTATTATATCGATATTATTATGGTCACAGTGAACTTTTAGCTGGTGGGCTCAACACTGTTGTATAATGGTGCAGCTGTTTAAATTCCTCTTAAAATCAACTAAATCTGTGAGAATAGCAATAACTAATTCTGAAGTTGAATTAAATCATTTAAATATTTAGCCCGGCCGAGCCCACTTCCGGCCCACCTTTCTGGACACCCTACGCCTAGCAGTTCGCGGGGGACATGGCGGCAATGGTTTGCCCAAATACGGAGGTGTCGGTGGCCAAGGCGGTTGCGTCTATTTGGTGGCCAAGGAGGGGCTCACCCTTCGGAAGGTTGTCCAAGGATTAAAGGACAAAAGGGTTGCAGCTTCAAGTGGCGAAGACAGCAGCAAGGCAAGCATCTTTGGACGCCGTGGAGTTGACCAGAAAATCGAGGTACCGGTGGGCGTTCAAGTATATGATGATCAACAGAAACTCATCGCCGATCTCGACGAGAACGATGCCACCTGTATTGTAGCAGGTGGAGGAATCGGAGGATGTACGGCCACCAGTTTCTTAGGACGTCCTGGCGAGAATCGCATAGTGAATCTGGACCTTAAGCTCATAGCGGACGTGGGACTCGTCGGATTCCCAAATGCCGGCAAGAGCACGCTTCTTAAGGCCGTCTCTAATGCCAAACCTAAGATTGCAGCTTATCCCTGTGAGTCATAAGGTTTATTTATAATGGTAACAAGGAAGGCATCTTATTTGTATTTTTTCATCCTTGCTTTCTTACCATAGTTACCACCATCCGGCCCCAGATTGGCACCATCGAGTACAAAGACCTGCGCTCCATAACTGTGGCCGATCTTCCCGGACTCATCGAGGGAGCTCACGCTAACTTCGGCATGGGGCACAAGTTCCTAAAGCACATCGAGCGCACGCGCCTGCTGGTCTTCATGGTGGATATATTTGGCTTCCAGCTGAGTCCTCGGCATCCCCATCGCGACTGTCTAAACAACATATATTCCCTAAACAAAGAATTGGAGTTGTATGATCCATCACTGCTGGAGAAGCCCAGCGTCCTGCTGCTAAATAAAATGGACAAGGAAGGTGCACACGAGATCCTCACCAAGGTTAAACCGGTTATTAATGACCTTACCATCGGGCTCGAACAATGTCCGGAAGAACTACGACCGAACCAGGTGTTGAAGTTTGAAAGCATTGTACCTATATCGGCCTTGAACTCAACAAAAGTAACGCAAGTTAAGTCGCAGTTAAGGAGAACATTAGTGCGATTGGCTGAGAAACAGTTTTTAGCAGATGAGGATCAGATTAAGGAGCAGTTAAAGCAGCGCGTTGGCCTAGTGGGTCCCAAAATTACGTAGCTCTATGTCTATATTTAAATAAACTAAATGATACTCTTTATATATATTTAAATTTTCGAATCTGATTCGATATATAAAACATACACTTCTTATTGCCAAAGAAGGTCTTAAAGGAACAAGCGCTAGATAACATTGTATTTGAATTTGGCGCCTAAACTGAGTATATAAACTTCTGAATTTTTTTTACTTCAGCTACTACTGACTATTTGATGCTTTAATTTAAGTTCATTTGATGGTTGCTATTTTTAAAGAAAGTTATTTTGATTTTGTAGTTTTGAAAACATAGTCAAAAAATTTTTAGACTGACGCTGGAATCACCCTGCGGATTACTATTAACTTTTCGTTCAGTGTTACCATATCATTTACCCAACAGATGGAATGCCGTGAAAGCCCTTTCTCCATCTGGTAATACTAAAAAGTTTGTTTTGTTGTTGTTGTAAGATTCGCTGGACGTTTCGTTCGTCGCGCGTTCGGAAGCAAAAAAAAGCTTAAAATGGTCAAAATCCAACGCCCGCCCAAAACCAATAAGATTTGCATTATTGCAGAGCAGTTGCCGCAGTGTCATGTGTGAATTGTGCCAGCAGTGGGAAAATGCAAGTGCCGAAGGACAATAGCAACAATGCCAGTTCGATACATACACACAGACGAGGGCCGATGAAAAACTGGTATATAAAAGACGCCAAAAGCTTGCGAAAAAGAGAGCCAACGCGCCCCTAACTTGGCTACAGGATAATAAAAAGGCGATACAAAATCAGTGGCGACGATTTGAGCGGCAGGATAAACAGGAAGCAAACCGTCCGTGATGTCACAACAACACCCCCATCACGCCCACCCCCACCACTACGCCCACCACTATCCGCCTCCTGCAACGCCCATGTCCCTTCAGCAACATCAACAGCAGACGCAGCAGCCGCATCAACAGCAGCAGCAGCAACAGCAGCAGCACGCCAATTGGTACTCACATGTTGCTTCCTACCCCACACCCCACTCGGCTTTCGGCCCCGCCCCCTCCTGCAAGGCCACCAACAGTAGCAGCAGCAACAACAACATCATGGGTGGCGGAAGCTATGGGCCGGGGGGTGGTGGTGGCGCGCAGGGCTATTATGGCGCCGCTGGCGGTGGCCTCAATGTCAGTGGGACGATGGTGGGTGGTGGGCAGAGTTACGGCCTTGGGGCCAATACTGTGGCATATGCCCACAACCAACTGCTGCAGTACCAACAGCAGCAGCAGCAACAACAACAACAACAACAACATCAGCAACTTCCACAGCATCTAAACCAGCAAAGGTCCTATATGGGCCACGATATCATGACCGGCAGCTATCCCTATATAAAAAGCGAACCGCTGGAGGCTTTCCAGCAGCCTCCTAATCCCATGGCCCCACCCCCGGCACCAGAAGTACTAATAAAATGTGAGTTAATTGCTGAAATTTAATTATAAATATTACAAATTACTTTAAAGCAATAATATGGATGGTCGAAAAATGTATACTCCCATAAAATTGTGTACTTTTTACATAGGGTTGTGTTTTTCTGTATACTTGAAAAGATAAAGCCAGGAGATGACAATCTCTAGGAATATTAATGCTAATAATTCTTTAATTATAATTTACAATCATTACACTAAAAACAACTCAGTATAAAAAGCATCAAAATATATATTCCATTTAAATTAGCTAAGCAAATCGCTGGTTACGCGCAAATTAAATTTCCCCATAGACAAACTTACAGAGTACACACGAAAAATGATTTAATTATGTTTACATAAATTATAAAAAATAAATCAGAAAAAGTATTTGAAAACAAATCCCTTTAAAATAAGCTAGGATATCCAGCAAAATCTATTTTTGCCATAGAAACAGAAACAACAACCGAAATTACTTGGGGGCCATTTTCCTATAAGTAGCGTAATTTCAGCTCCATTTTGGCGTCGAATCAATAAAACGTTTGTTGAGTTTCGCTGAGGTTTGGCGCTTGTTTCGTTCGGATGGTTTTCGGATTCGGATTCGGTTCCATCGCGCTCGTCAACCTACGGCTCTGTATCTGTATCTCTGCCCTGTTCGGTGTTCCGTACCGCACAATTTTGTTCTGTTTGCGCTTCTCTCGATATGTGCGAAAGTACGGTTGGTTGTCAGTATGTATCCGTTTAGCAAATGTATACTCGGATAGATGCTTTATACTACCGGCGTAACCTATTCAGTTCGATTCGTACGCATACACATACTCGTATATCCAATAAGTGTGCCTCTATCATCTCTTCCCTCTTTTAGTTTTTGGAATGGATTGCGGGAGAACTGTCTCCCAAGTTGCATCTTATGTAACGTGTTCCCATAGACTAACCTACAAATACTTTGTTCCGCCCCATAATCCCCTAAACAGTAATTTTAATGGGCGTATGGGCGAGGCCGAAATACGGAGAGCAAAATAAATATTATTAGGTACGCACAAAATACAACGCCCGTCCAAAAGCAATGATATTACGGTAATTAATTAGTTCAGTCTCTCACATATGTTCTGCTTGCTTCATCTTATTCATCATATTCATTGTTTGAAATAATGTAAAGACAGTATATATCTAGGAGTAATGCCGTAATTAAAGTTGAAAATCAAATAAAAGATACATAAGTGCATCTATCTATTAATGAGCTAATTCCAGAAACCCAAAGCAATTATTTTTAAAATGCTTGCTGTATAGTTTAAATGTTTTAATGCCAAGCGGTAAAGAATGTAAATAGAAGAAGTATCTGTTTGTCTGCAGAGCACTCTGTTATCTATCAATTTTGTGTGGGCGCAATTCATTCTTATCAGCAACCGAAGGGAGTTCAAAATAGAATTCGAAACCATAGAAACAAACAATGGATACTGAATTTTTCATCGGGTCAGAGTTTTTTCGAAATATATAAAATAAACTATATGTTAATATTTAGGATATCTAAAAAAACGAAATATTTTTTAGAATAAATATTAAAATATTTGTTCTAATAGCGGAACCCATTGACGAACATTCCTACAAGTCCAACTTTATTGATGATAATACGCCATTCGCTGACTTTAGTAAGTTCAACGAATTTAGCGAGGATATGTTGAGTCCCAAAGTGGAGCTAACAGTAAAAGATGAGTCATATGGAAGGGTAAGTAGGAATGACTTCATGAGTGAAACCTTCTAAATGACCATTCCTTCTTTTTAGAACACTGACAGCTTTCTGCGCCGCAAACAACAATCGGATCGGAGCGCCGAAAGTCTGCCTATTTGTCAACGTTGCAAAGAGGTCTTCTTCAAGAAGCAGGTCTACCTTCGACATGTGGCCGAGAGCAATTGTGGCATACAAGAGTACGACTTTAAGTGCAGCACGTGTCCCATGTCCTTCATGACCACCGATGAGCTGCAGAGGCACAAGCATCACCATCGTTCAGACAGGTTCTTCTGCCACAAGTACTGCGGGAAGCACTTTGACACGATCGCAGAATGTGAGGCGCATGAGTACATGCAACACGAGTACGACAGTTTTGTTTGCAACGTAAGGCGATTCTTTAATTTCCAGTCTAAATCAATATTTTATTGATCATTTGTTTTGCAGATGTGTTCCGGAACCTTTGCCACCCGAGAGCAGCTATACGCCCACCTTCCGCAGCACAAGTTCCAGCAGCGCTTCGACTGTCCCATCTGCCGCTTATGGTATCAGACGGCTCTCGAACTCCACGAGCACCGTCTTGCCGCTCCCTACTTCTGTGGCAAGTATTACACGGGTGGACAATCATCGTCTGCCTCCCAGTCGCAGACGCAGCAGCAGCACCAAGCGAACTACAAGCTACAGGATTGCCATATGGCTACCATGGAAGGTAAGGATAAATCTGGGGAAATATATAAAAGCAAATTACTATAATAAAACTGAATAGTCCTTCAATGGTCAAATCTTCATATCAGACAAAATATTTTGTAAATGTGAAAGTCGAATGAAATACACAAAGTTGAAGCTTTGCTGACACTTGAATATTTTGATTTAAAAGGCTGCCTTTAACATTTGAGCTGATAATTCCAACATAGCATAACTCAAGTAACAATATATTTTGTTTGTGTTGTAACATACAAATGGCAAGCACGAAAAAAATCTTAAATTCTTTTTCAATGTTAGTATGCTAGAATATATACATTTTTACAGCTAGGTTTCCTAAAGTTATAAATTCAAACTAAATCCGTTTTTAACATGTTGTCTTTATTTTAGTGCCCACCGCCCCGCACCATAAAACGAACTCATCCTGCTCGTCCTTGCCCGCTACGGCTGCTCTGAATTCGCTGCTGCAGCAGCGACAAGCAAATGCCGATGGAGCTGCTATGTTTGCCGCATCTGCAATGAAGAACGAGGTGAATGTTAAGCTGGAACGAAGCTATAGCAATTCGACCAGTGAATCATCCTACAGCGTTCAGGAGAGTGGCTACAATAATGCCTATGGAAGCGACAGTTCAATCCACGGAGGAGCGATCGCTGGCCCACAAGCACACTCTTCAACGCTGGACGACTCCGAGGACGCATTGTGTTGTGTGCCGTTGTGCGGAGTGCGAAAGAGCACAAGCCCCACGCTGCAGTTTTTCACGTTCCCCAAGGACGATAAGTACCTTAATCAGTGGCTGCATAATCTTAAAATGTTCCACATACCCGCCGCCAGCTACGCTAATTTCCGGATCTGCAGTATGCACTTCCCGAAGCGCTGCATTAACCGCTACTCATTGTGTTATTGGGCGGTACCTACGTTCAACCTGGGCCATGACGACGTAGCTAATCTGTACCAAAACCGGGAATTGACCAACACCTTTACTACCGGCGAAGTAGCACGTTGCAGTATGCCCCACTGCACCAGTCAACGGGGTGAGAGCAACTTAAAGTTCTACAATTTTCCCAAGGACATAAAAAGCCTGATCAAATGGTGTCAGAATGCACGACTTCCGGTGCAGGCGAAGGAGCCGCGTCATTTCTGCAGTCGCCACTTTGAGGAACGCTGCATCGGCAAATTTCGACTGAAGCCCTGGGCGGTACCCACTTTACATTTGGGTGCCCAGTATGGCAAGATACACGATAATCCCAAGAATCTTTACGTCGAGGAGAAACGGTGCTGCCTCAACTTCTGCCGCCGGAGTCGATCCTCTGATTTCAATATGTCGTTATATCGATTTCCCAGAGATGAGGTCCTCCTGCGACGTTGGTGCTACAATCTTCGCCTTGATCCAGGAGTGTATCGCGGAAAGAATCACAAAATATGCAGCGCTCACTTTATTAAAGAGGCGTTAGGCCTACGGAAGCTATCACCGGGTATGTTAAGAAATAACTAAAAGTAATATAAATTAATTAAAATTTATAATATTTTTTTATTGCAGGTGCGGTACCCACGCTTCACCTGGGCCATACGGACACCTTTAACATTTACGAAAACGAGCTGTGGCCGCCGCCAACGGCTTCCAATAGTCACAGTAGTGGCCTCCAGCAGCACCAGCCGCAACATCATACTTCGCAACACTCACTGCAGCAACAGCTCCACAGCAAAGCTTACCAGCGTCACTCGGCGGCCTCTACGTCGTCCTCGGCCAGTTCGGCTACTTCTCACTACGTGGATCCGGAAATGAGTTCTTCTTACCTCTCAATGGGTGTAGGTGGATCCTCGGCATTGAACGCCACCGACACCATGGACATCTGCTGTGTTCCTAGTTGCGAGAGCAAGCGGCACAACAACGAGAACATTACATTCCATACTATACCGCGCCGACCAGAGCAGATGCGGAAGTGGTGTCACAACTTGAAAATACCAGAGGAAAAAATGCACAAGGGCATGCGGATCTGCAGTCTGCATTTCGAGTCTTACTGCATCGGCGGTTGTATGCGTCCGTTTGCTGTGCCTACCCTTAACTTGGGTCATGATGATGAAGACATTCATCGAAATCCGGATGTGATTAAGAAGCTGAATATCCGAGAAACGTGCTGCGTCGCCGTATGCAAACGGAATCGGGACAGGGACCATGCCAACCTGCACCGTTTCCCAAGCAATGTGTCGCTGTTGACCAAATGGTGTGGCAATCTCCAGCGCCCTGTTCCTGATGGCAGTAAGCTTTTTAACGACGCTATCTGTGAAGTGCACTTCGAGGATCGATGTTTGCGCAACAAAAGGCTAGAGAAATGGGCAGTGCCTACTTTGATTCTAGGACATGAAAACATCGCCTATCCTCTGCCAACACCGGAACAGGTGGCTGAATTTTACTCTCGACCCACTGCGCCCAATAATGGCGAGGAGCAGGGCGAGTGCTGTGTAGAGACTTGCAAGAGAAATCCCAGTGTAGACGACATCAAGCTTTACCGGCCGCCAGAGGAGGCTTCAGTGTTAGCAAAATGGGCGCACAACCTGCAGACGGAGGCTAGTCAACTGACGAGTATGAGGATCTGTAATCTCCACTTTGAGGCGCACTGCATCGGCAAGCGGATGAGACCTTGGGCGATACCCACTCTAAATCTGGCTGGCAACATAGAAAATCTCTATGAGAATCCAGAGCATTCGATGCTGTATAAACGACGAACGCACACAAAAACTAAACTACCTACTTTGGTTAAACCAACTTGGGTGCCCAGGTGCTGTCTTCCACATTGTCGCAAAGTTCGAGCTCTACACAATGTCCAGCTTTATCGCTTCCCTAAGCTCAATCGCTCTACACTTGCCAAGTGGGCGCATAATCTGCAGGTTCCCATGGTTGGCAGTGCTCAACGCCGGCTGTGCTCTGCTCATTTTGAGCCACATGTTCTAAGCAAAAAGTGTCCTGTGCCGCTGGCGGTACCCACACTGGACTTGAACCCACCACCTGGCTTAAAGATTTACCAGAATCCCGCAAAGCTAAAGGCCAGTAAGCTGTGCCTGCAGCGCGTGTGCATAGTGGAGAGCTGTCGAAAGACGCGGGCGCAGGGAGTTCAGCTCTTCCGGCTGCCACATAGTCCCACGCAACTGCGCAAGTGGATGCACAACATTAAGACGCGTCCTAGGGCGGCGATGAGGTCTCAATACCGAGTTTGTTCTCGTCACTTTGAGACGCACTCGTTCAATGGCAGGAGACTAAGTGCTGGCGCCATTCCCACCCTGGAATTGGGTCATGAAGACGAGGACATCTATCCCAACGAAGCGCAGGCCTTTGTCGACGAGCACTGTGTTGTGGAGGGCTGCGAGGCATCTAAGGAACAGGCGGAGGTTCGACTGTTCCGCTTTCCCACAGAAGACGACGATATGCTGTGGAAGTGGTGCAATAACCTTAAGATGAACCCGGTGGATTGTACAGGAGTGCGTATCTGCAACAAGCACTTTGAGGCAGATTGTATAGGGCCTAAGCACTTGTACAAGTGGGCTATTCCCACCCAAGAACTGGGCCACGACGACGCCCAAATCGAACTAGTACCGAATCCCAAGCCAGAGGACAGATATGTGGATCCGGTGTTTAAGTGCATTGTGCCCACCTGCGGGAAGACGCGTCGTTTTGACGAGGTCCAGATGAACAGTTTTCCCAAGGACCCGAATCTCTTCCATCGCTGGCAGCACAACCTGCGTCTGGATCATCTTAACTTCCTGGAACGCGAACGGTACAAGATATGCAACTCTCACTTCGAGGACATATGTATTGGCAAGACTCGGCTCAACATTGGCTCTATTCCTACTCTTGAACTTGGACATGACGAGACGGAGGATCTATTTCAAGTAAATCCGGCGGAATTGCAGAGCAATCTTTTCGGACGGCAGCGAAGATTACACGACGAGTCGAGTGGGGTAAGTATCAAGCAGGAGTTTTCTGAATCCGAAGACGTAAAGCCGGATGTGACCACCATGCGCGATGCCTCAAATTCGAGTACTAGACAGGTAAATTCCCAAACATAAATAACGAACATTTCATTAAAAAAATGTTATTCCTTTTAATCTAGATTAAGTTCAAGAAAACTATGTCTGATCTAAAGTGTTGTGTGCATAGTTGTGGACGGAGTCGATTGGAGCACGGAGCAAGGCTCTTTCCATTTCCTAACGGCAAACAGCAACACCTCAAGTGGCGCCATAACCTCCGCCTTGAGCCCGACGAGGTGGACCGGACAACGCGGATTTGCAGCGCCCATTTTAATCGGCGATGCATTGATGGCAAGCAACTAAGAAGCTGGGCAATGCCCACGCAGCAACTGGGTCATCAGGAGCAGCCAATTTACGAGAATCCAAAGAATATTCCAGGATTCTTCACACCCACCTGTGCTCTAGGTCACTGCCGCAAGCGTAGAAGCATCGACAATGATCTACGCACCTACCGATACCCAAGAAGTGAGGACCTGCTTGAGAAATGGCGGGCAAATTTGCGTTTGGCCCCGGATCAGTGTCGCGGAAGAATTTGTGCGGATCATTTTGAGGCCCAAGTGAGAGGAAAACTAAAGCTGAAGACGGGAGCGGTGCCGACTTTAAAACTGGGTCACGATGAAGGCTTAATCTATGACAATGAGGCTATCAAGGTGGGCATGACTGACGAAGAAGAAGGCAGCTCGGAATTGCCACGGCTGAAACTCAAAAGAGAGCCGATTGACGAAGAGGAAGAAGAAGGGGAGGCTGAAGAGGAGCGAAATGACCAGGACAATGAGGATGAAGATGAAAAAGACGACCACTATTTTGATCCTCTCGAATTGGTTGAGACCTTTGCAGAACATCAAAGCGATGATGAAGTAGAATACCACGAGGATGATGAGGATGATCGAGACGACGAAGAGGATTTGGAGGAGGGTGACCACTTTCTTCCGGATTTGCCGCCCACTCCTCCGATCGTTCCTATGCGTCGCGAAAAGCCTGCCAACAATGTAACGCCCATTTGCTGCCTGAAGCATTGCAGAAAAGAACGCACTGCCTTTCACCTACTCAGCACCTTCGGTTTTCCTAAAGACCGCCAACTGCTGCTCAAGTGGTGCGCCAATCTCCATCTGAATCCTGATGACTGCATCGGCAGGGTTTGCATAGAGCACTTCCAGCCGGAGGTACTCGGTACTCGAAAGCTTAAGCAAAACGCGGTGCCCACTGTTAATGTCGGGCATAATGAACCACTCAGGTACTCATGCAATGGAGTGGATCAAGACCAGGAGCATTCACAGCCACAACATTCGGTTTTTCGGCTTTGGAGCCTAAAACACTGTCGCAAGAGGAAGCTCACAGAACCTCCGGACATTCGCCCAAGCAAGTGGAGGACTGCGAATGTGCAGATGATGCAGAGGTTGAGGATGGAGATGCAAATAGAGAGAGAGATCAAATTGGAGATCCAGCCGGAGAGAGCATTAAAGACGGAGGTGACGACTCGAACGAAGCATCCGAGGGAGAGTAAGCTGGAAAGATGTTGGATCAGCATCTGCACAAACGAGGATGTTAACCAGTTACTTCCCATGCCTGAAAATCAAAATCTTTTAAGAAAATGGCAACATAACCTGAAACTGCCTATGGACACCGTTTTTAGTGAGATTCGTGTATGCCTGGAGCATTTTGAGGAGCAAGTTGTGGAAAACGGAAACCCCTTGGAGCATGCAGTACCCACCTTAAAGCTGGACCAAAACAGTTGGAATATCTACAGAAACAACGGCTCGTGTCTAGTACCTGGCTGCGGAGCTACCTCGGGAACTTTTGAGCTTTGTTGATTTGCCTGAAAATATGGTAATAAAAACCACCTGGTTGTCTTACCTAAGTTTGCCGTTCAGCAGCGATGGTCTTCTTTGTGGTGACCACTTTATGGAGCTGTATGAAAAGGTTGAACTACCCAAAGTTCTGGCCTTGCAAGATTTGGAGAATTTGCAATGGACAGTTGATGAATTTAAATGCGCCGTTCCTGGCTGCTCATCACAAAAAGGGCATGATCTTAATCTTACCCAGCTTCCAGACAAGGAGGTGACGCTTTTTAAGTGGCTACATAACACAAAAATATCGTACGACCAACTGAAACATAGAAGTTATCGCATATGTCTGCTTCATTTTGAGCCATCGTGTATAGAAGAGAATTTCCCGAAGTCTTGGGCTATACCCACTTTGCATTTAAACCATGAGGACAAGATTCATTTGAATCCCAGACAGTCTCAAGGACAGGAATGTTCGGAATCACGTAGTGAAACTCCTAATAGTAATTCCAGGCTAACTCCTCTTAGAATAAAGACGGACCTCTCCTCCTTGGGCAGTCCGTGCGCAAGTGCAAGTCCAAGTCCCCGTGGCAAGATCCGGATATGTTGCATTCCTACATGTGGACAATTTGCAAACAGTCAAATACGGCTCTATCGCTTCCCCACCGAAGAGCATGCCTTGCTTCGGTGGCTGGTAAACACACAGCAACAACCTCGCCTTGCGGATCCTTTGGAGCTTTATGTGTGCCAGGCACACTTTGAGCCCGATGCTATTTGCAAGAAGCAACTTCGCAGCTGGGCTGCTCCAACTTTAAACTTGGGCCACAACGATTATGTTATCCCAAATGCCAAGCACAATGGGAACATCGCTGACGGCCAGGACACAGAGCAGGCGATGATGTTTATCCGAGAGCGATATTGCTCCGTGCTGACTTGTTTCCAAGTTGAAGGTAACGGAATAAGGCTCTACGAATATCCAAAGGAAATGACAACGATAAGAAAGTGGGCATCGGCGTGTAGACATCGATCCATGCAGGCCAGTAGCCATGGATTCAAAGTATGCCAGTCTCATTTTGCGCCGGAGTGCTTTAGTCCTGACACTTTAGACTTGATTGACGGATCGGTTCCCACCCTGGAGTTGAGCAAAGATGATATTGAAAGGCACTGCCTAGTGCCTGGATGTGTTAAGGATGCGTCGGGAGACCGTCTTCGCTACTATAAGGTGCCAAAGACCACTGGTCAGCTGAAAGCTTGGAGCAACAACCTGAAGATCAATGCCATGGACCTCGGACTGGGAGAGCAGCTAATCTGCGAGCGTCATTTTGAATCCTTTTGCTTTGGTGCCAACAAGGGATTGCGTCCTGGGGCACTTCCTACTCTGTTACTCGGTCATGACGAGGAAGTGGAAATGTTGCCCAATCCGGAAAATCTCTGGCAGCGCAAAGCGGAGGTTTGTTGCGCGCCAGGTTGCGGACGCATACGACAGCTTGGAGAGGCTCAGTTTAGTGGATTTCCCAAAGCGTTACCATTGGCCGATAAATGGATATATAATCTCCGACTAAGGGTAACCAAAGATCAGATAGGTAAACTGAAAGTGTGTAGTGCGCACTTCGAGACATCTCTCTTCAATAAAACCGGATTACTTTCGGGGGCTATACCCACCGTGGAGCTTGGCCATTCCTCTCCGGATATTTTTCCAACGGACACGCAAAATCTTGGAAAAAGTCCAAAGTTTTCTAAGAGAACCTTGATGACGGGGGTCGATTGCTGTTATCCGGAGTGCAAGGAATTGTCTAAAAACTTTTCTTACAATCTGCCCGATGAGGAGAATCTTAGGAGAGCTTGGCTACGTCATTTAAACATCGAAGAGCAAACGAATTGCATCGGAAAACTTTGCCCGCTGCACTACGTCATTCTTTATGAGCTCAGTGTCAAAAGTTTTCCAGAGCACGAATCAAATGGATTCCTTGAGGATAATTACCATTCTGCTCGAAGCAACAGGCGCGTTCGGATCGTTAGCTGTGCAGTTAAAGGTTGTGAAATGATTAGACCCCGGGATAAGGTTCAACTGCACGGGTTGCCTCAAAGGAAAGACATCCTCAAAATGTGGGTAGAAAATGGCCAACTAGAGATAACTGAGCCGCAGCAGCAATACATGCTCAAAGTGTGTCGGAATCACTTTGAGCCTCGCTGCTCTTTTGACGAGAGGCGGTTGCATCCCTGGAGCGTTCCTACCCTGCATTTACCATCAAATCCGGTACATGAGATTCCAACCAAAGAGATGTGGCTGGAGATGACAGCCAAACTGACCGAGGATGCTGAGACAAACATGGATTATGAGAGAGAGCAGGAGCTGGAGGAGCAGATGGAGGATGATAGCTCTTTATTAGAGCCCATTGTAAAAATGGAGCACATGGAGTCCGAGGAGGAGAACTCGGAGATGCAGGCCTTGGAGGTGCTTCTGGAGGTTGGCCACGTTGAGCGAATGGACAGCTATGAGAAAATGGACAAATCTTACACGGAACATTCCATCTATCAATCTACTGGAATTCGTAACCAGTACAATGCCAATCATTGCGCCGTTGAGGGATGTCAGGTGACCGCTGAGGACGTAGACGGGACCATTAAGTTGCACAAATTTCCTGCCTCTTCGGAAGCCGCCAGAAAATGGATGCACAATACCCAAGTTAACATGAACGAAAAATTCTGGTGGCGCTATCGCATTTGCAGTTACCATTTCGACCAGGAGTGCTTCCAGAGTGCAAGGATAAGGAAGGGTGCGATGCCCACGCTCCTATTGGGACCTAAACGACCCGACAATCTGTATGAAAATGAGTTCGCATTACAGGAGACGGAAGAGCTTTCTTTGTCAGCAGATGTTAACTTACCGGAGCAGAAGATGCCATCAGTACTGGAGGTGACGAAACTGTGCCTGCCGCCGCCAGCCCCACCTCGTAAGTCTAGCAAGTTTTGTCAAATTGAGGGATGTATGAATCACCTGACCACTGAAAACATGACGTTGCACAAGTTTCCGCATTCTGAGGATATGTGCCTCAAATGGCAGCACAATACACAAGTGTCATTCGATCCCTTTTACCGATGGCGTTATCGGATCTGCAGTGCCCACTTCCATCCGGTGTGCCTGCTCAATATGCGACTTGTCCACGGTAGTGTGCCCACCTTGAAACTGGGAAGCAAGGCACCCAAAGAACTTTTTGACAACGACTTCGAGGCCATAAACCTAAGGCTGGACAAAAAGGCGGGACCAGAGACCAAACGCAGTGCATATCAAAGAGGAAAAGGAAGAGGATGAAAATTCTGTACCATTTCTAGAACCAGAACTGCAGCTCCAAGAAGACCAAGAGAAGGAGGACCCAACTACTAGGCAAATATCCTTATACCAATCGAATTGGAAAAGCCAACTTCGACTTCCCGTGAAGCAAGAGAAGGTAACCTACAACCAGGTCAAGTCGGGTTATGATAAGTGCTCGTTGGGTCATTGTCAGCGGCAGAGATCCCAACACGGCGTCCACATTTACAAGTTTCCCAAGTCAAGGCACCAACAGGAGCGTTGGATGCACAACCTCCGCATTCGCTACGATGAGCGACGTCCCTGGAAGTTTATGATCTGCAGCGTTCACTTTGAGCCACATTGCATTAGTTTGAGGAAACTGCGTCCCTGGGCAGTTCCCACCCTTGAACTGGGTGACAATGTCCCGGAGAAGATCTTTACAAACGAACAGTGCCAAGAGCTTTCAACTGATCGGAGCGAGGCTGAGAGCGATGGCGAAGAAGGAGGATGGCCTGCAGGAAGACGAGGACGAAGAGGATGAGGATGACGAGGGAATAGAACCGGAGGTTCGCATTAAGCGAGAACGACGACCCAAGCTAGATCCTTGGCCTCCTGGCCAGATTCCGCCGTGGAAAGTCAAGCAGTGCTGCCTCCCCTACTGTCGTGCTTTCCGTGGAGATGGCATCAAACTATTCCGGTTACCCAACAATCGCACCTCTATCCGCAACTGGGAGCTGGCAACGGGCATGGTGTTTAAGGAGTCTCAGCGAAACACTCGTCTCATCTGCAGTCGGCATTTCGAACCAGATTTGATTGGGGTAAGGCGTCTTATGCGGAACGCCATTCCCACAAGACATTTAAATCCCCAAGAAATCTCGAAAGAAGCCACAAGAAAGCCGGATCCTCCAGCTCCCATTGCAATGTGCTGCATGGCTGATTGTCATCACAATGGAAATATCAAGTTACACAAGTTTCCCAGTGGTAAGATTATTATTTTTTTAATTTTTAAGTGCATTTGTATAACTTTAATTAATTTAATTTTTTCCCAAAAGATCCCTCGCTGCTAAGACAGTGGTGCCAAGCTCTTAAGGCTAACGGATACACAGAGATACCGTGGCAAACATATCTGCTCGTTCCACTTGCCCACCGACAAGACGATAAGCTGCATTATCTGCGGTGTGGAAAAGGTTCAGCTCCCGATGCTTAACTTTCCGGACCAGCGTAATCAGCGCGCAAAGTGGTGCTACAATCTCAAGATCGAGGCCATACCAAAGTGGGATCATTCTAAGCACATATGCTGTCGTCATTTTGAATCCCATTGCTTTGTCCAGGAAGGTGAACTACGTCCAGGAGCGATTCCGACGCTGCATCTTAACCATGATGACACGAACATATTCCTCAGCGACTATACAGATGGTCCGACGATCAATCGCATAAAGGACGAGCTCTTGGACAATGACGATATGCTGCTGGTTTAGTCTACCCACTAAAGGAATCATTTTAGTCTAGTTTTAGCTGTACCATTTTATAGATCTTTTTGTACATTCATTGTACCAATGCCACATCACGTCTTCTAGTTTTTATCATGTAGTCTCTACCGGTGATTTTAATGCGTTATTAATTCGTAAGTGGCTTAAGGAGTATATGCCATACAAAGAAACAAACAACACACAATGTTCCTTAAGTTTTTGTTTTTACTTTTTATACATACGTACTTTAACTGTGAGAGAAATCTGTTTTAGTTTCCATATGATAAATATATATAAACTAAATATATATATACATATTATGTAATATCCTTGAGCGTATATGTGTAGATCTGTAGATGACCCAATAATAGTTGCAGGTTTTCTAAATATACATAAATAATGAAACTGAAACTATGGGAATTGCTGAGATTGTATTCATTTCCTTTTTGGGGGATATTTGAATATTATTATATTTATATATAAATATATTAATTATTATTTATTGAATATTAATATATTTTATTTATATAATATATTATTTATATATAAATATAATAATAATAATATTTATATATAAATATATTAATAATATATTAATATATATATATATAAATATATTAATATATATCATTAATATATTTATATATATATATATTATAGAATATTAATATATTTATATATAAATATATACATGGCTTTCAATATCGATTAATACATTTCATTTTATCTGTTTTTCAAAACATATATTCCGAGTAGGTTGTATTTCTACAAATTTCTTTAAAAGAAATTATTTAAAAGATGGCTGAAAGCCCAAAAACTTTTAAAAACAAAACTTAAAAGTAATTTAACAGAATTTAATAACGTTGCCTATTTTGGAAATCCTTTTTGTGTCCATATTTTGAAATTGGCGGTTTCAATTTACGATATTCACATAGTCGGTATCTATTGTATAGATTCGAAATAAACAAGTTGGCAGGGTACTCAGCTGATTTTGGTACCAACGCTAAAATTTCGGTGAGTCCCGCAACAATGTTCTCCAATGTTATAGACTTCAAATTGACAATTACTAAAAAAAGTATACCATATTAATTGTGTAATTGTACATATAATCTTGTTTTATATATATATTGTTAGCTTTTAAGTGATAAATATATCGCAGAACTTTAAAATGGAACAAGTGCAGACTAAGGAGGAACCGCAGTCAGATGACGAGAGCCTCCTAATGGAATCGGAGATTCATATTAAATCGGAACCTCTTATGGAAGACGAAACGGAATCGGAAGAGGACTATCCCCATTCAGGTGGATTTCCCTATTAAAGAGGAAACCCCAATGCTGAATAAAGTAAAGCAAGATCCAGAATTTACCAATACTGTCAGACGGAATATCAAGACGTGTTGTATACCCACTTGTATGCAGCAGGAGAGCAGTCAAATCCAGCTCTATCGCTTTCCCAGCCAGGATAACGCCTTGATGCAGTGGCTGGTGAACACCCAGATGAAGCCTCGCCTGGTCAATCCCCTAGAGCTTTATGTTTGCGAGCTCCACTTTGCACCTGAAGCCTTAAATAGAAATTGGTCGGTGCCAACTTTATACCTCGGTCACGGAGAATATGTGATTTCAAATTCTGAACAAGATTCTGAGAAAACGATGAAGTACATCCGAGATCACTATTGCGCCGTTCTTAGTTGTTTCCGGGAAAAAGACGATGGGATCCGACTATATGACTGTCCAGAAGACAAGGAGACGCTGCATAATTGGATACGTCGGTGCGGCTTAAACTCCCTGAAAGTTAATAGTTACGGCTTTTCGATTATGTCAATCCCATTTTTCCGTGGACTGCATCGACACGGAGACGGGCGACTTGTTCGCGGGATCTTTGCCAAGCACAGAGCTTTTCACCTGTCTGGTTCCGGGATGTGTCAAGGTAGAAAGGTCCTCCTGTCGAATTCTTTAAAGTGCCAAGAATCAACGCCCATTTAGATGCTTGGAGTAACAATCTATCAATTTCTCCAGCTTATCTCCTGAGAGATAATCAACGCATTTGCGGACGTCACTTCGAGGATTACTGCTTTAACGTAAGTCAAAAACTGCATACTGGTGCGCTGCCCACTCTATATCTGGGTCACGACAAAGATATCCTGCCCAATCCTGAAAATATTAGATCGAAACTCAAAAAGGTTACTTGTGTGGCGATCGGTTGTGGACGCATCTATAAGTCAGGGGACAATCCGTTCGCTGTGTTTCCAAAGTGGCCCGGTCTAGTTAGCAAGTGGAAGCATAACTTACGGCTGGAATTCACCTACGAGGAATCAAGAAGGAAATTGGTGTGCTATGACCACTTCGAAGATTCCTGTTTTAAAATGTTTGGTGGCATAAATCGAGTACGCTCAGGTGCCATGCCTACCCTGAAGCTTGGCCACCCTCATACCGACCTGTATATTAACAACTTTAAGGTTCGAGGGAAAACATCAAAGTATCTTCCTTCGTCTAATGGAAACAAATACGATTGCTGCTATCCAAGTTGCACAGAGTCGTATAAATCTAATTGTTATGATCTACCGAGGATGGATAATCTACGCAAGGCCTGGCTAAGTCACATGAATATTAAAGAGTCTCCTGCTGAGACACACTATACCTTAAAACTTTGCCCGCTACACTTAATTATTTTGTATGAGGACAAGAGATTTTCGGGGTATGCTACCGGACGAAATTCTGGATAGTAATTACAGCAATGCCCGTAGTAGACCACGAATGCAGAGCTTGAGGTGTGGTATAAAAGGATGTGATACCTTTCATCCGAGAGATGGTGGTCTCTTTCATGAAATTAAGAGGATTAAGGAAGTCCAACAAATGTGGGTGGATAACGGTCAGATGGTGTTGAAGAAAGGATCGTTTAATCGTGTGTGCAGTAAGCATTTTGAACCAAAATGCTACGACGGACGTCGGCTGCTTCCGTGGAGTGTGCCAACCCTGCATTTACCAGGAGAGGTAGTTCATCAGAACATTACCAAAGAGCAATGGCTAAGTTATCGGAAGACGGATTTAAAGCTTTGGGAAGATGAGGAAGTTGATTATTTGGATTCGGACTCTAATGCTGCGAAAATCCTAACCGAATCGGATAAACAACCCAGTGAACAGACCTTGGAAGTTGTTCTAGAAGTGTCCAAGAAGCGCCGCCCCGAGAGTATCCCTTCATCTATCTCCAAGAGAAAGAAGTTCAATTCAAATCACTGCGCCGTTCCGGGTTGCCAAGTGGCCTTCAAGGACGTAAATAGAACTCTTCGGTTGCACAAGCTTCCCAATACTGAGGATGGTGCCAGGATGTGGTTACACAACACCCAGGTTAAAATGGCCGAAGAGTATTGGCCCAGCTTTCGCATCTGCAGTCACCACTTTGAACAGGATTGTTTCCAAGGGTCCAGGCTGAGGAATGGCGCCATGCCCACAATTCAAATGAGTGGTGTATCGCTGGGGGTGGTGATGTATGAAAGTGAGTGGATAGCCAAGACAAGAAAGCCTCCGTCCCGTTTTCCAAGGGCAGTGAAAAATTGCTAATGGTTCGTAAATCTATAAATATTCCATAAATTACTTTAATTGATCTGTTTTAAGTATTTTATTTTAAAAAATTGGAAAAAAGGAAAAATATTTAGTTTTTTGATCTGTTTTTAGTAAAATATTTTGAAAATACATAGTTCATAAATTATGTTAGCATATATAATGGAATCTTTGGCTATATTTTTATTTATCCAAAACCCAAAAAGAAACGTATAATTAACCCTGGGCAAAAAGTGCAGTTTTATTTTCTAGCTTTAAATAAACATATGTATATTTGTTAGCTTGATTTATATATTGTAGCTTGACTTTGTTTGGGAGATATCAAACATTTAAAAGCTGTATTTACATTTAAAAAAATAAAATATGTATAAGTTAAAACTATCTGCCAATTTTTGACCTTTCTTTTGTTTACTTTAAAAACAAGTTAATAATTTTACCAATATTTAGGGTGAGGAGTAAAAGCGTTAATTTTGTAAATCTTAAAACTTGATTTTAATAGGGACAACAAAGATACTTTTACTTTAAAGGGTACAAAAATGAATTTTAAACTAAAGAAACTAAAAATATAAGAATTTTGCTTTATTGCCTATCTAACCTTAAATACCAAGGTGAGTGGGATAGGTGCTACTATTTTCCTGCCTCGTTTGCGGATGATCCATCTTCGTTGTGGGGATAGCTGGCGTCTAGGAAAAGATTGCGATCCGATTTGTTCGACTACACAGAAATACATATTAGATATAAGGGAATTTTGGTGGATGTGGGACCTCACTTACTTCTCGGTATTTTTGGAGGTAAATAGACAGCGGTTCTACATAGTTGTCGAATCCCAGATTGCTAAAAGCTACCAGTAGGTCGTCCCCATTGACCGTCTTTCGATTCTCGGCTACGCTGCGTTCAATGGCTTCGCTACTGATGAAGGATATGAATTCGGAAACACACTCTTGGATGCATTCGCGTGCATCTTTAGCGATTTTGCCATTTTGCGGCACCGGTACCTTCATGATTTTTATGATGTTGCAGATGGGTAGGAAGCGGTCCTGTTCGCGTAGCATAATCCCTCCATCCTGTTTATCCGATTCGTCTGAGAAAGTGAAATTGATTAACTAGCGCTGGAAGTCGCTGTTTGTGCAGCTTAATCCTTACCACCGGAAGCCTCGTCCTCCTCCTTGACCAGCATGTCATTTAGATACTGCTGCGAGTCCTCGCTATTGCTCATATCTCAAGGTTTCCTTTGGTTTTTATAAAAGGTTTGGTTTTGTTTACCTTTAATTTTTCCTTTTGGTATTAGTGCTACGTCTATCGATATGTTTATAACAATAGTAGTATCGGTTGGTCTGGCAACACTTCTATCGATAGACATATTCTGATCGCAGCGGTATAGAGCAGCACAGCGGTATTTATTTCCCTGCTCCTCTCTTCTTCTTTATAATTATATTTGTTGATCTGAGATCCTCAAAGCGCTGCAAAATGAACCAAGATTTTGCGCTAGCCAAGGGGAATATAGACATTGAGAAGATCAAGATGAAGTTGGAGCCGCAGGACGACTTGCCTGGTAGTGCCATCGAAGTTTTAAGCGGTAAGCTTGCGATGCTCTCTGCTCACATGCGTTGGTCTATGTGTGTGTGTGTGTGCTGCTGGGCGTGAGAGAGTATGGGTGTTTCTATTCTATTACGCACTATACCGTTAACTTTAAATATTTTTTTTATAAAAAATGTTGGACATTTGCAGCTTTCAATAAGGTGGAGATATTGGAAGAGGGCTCTGAAATAATAACCGTGCCGATTAGAGATCGCTTGGAATCAGAGGACGAGCGCAAAATCATCGATCCTTAAAATCGATCAGCAACAGGTAAAATTATAACCTCAAAAAGAATAATCAACAAGGGAATGTGTTTAATATCGTTAAATTTCGGTATAAGATAGTTTGTTATCCAATTTAAGTTTTCTGTTGAAGTTTCAAAACTTTCAATCCTATATTTTTTTTTGGTGTTAAAATGTCATTTCCAAATCCTTTCAATAGTACAAAGCTCCCCTAGTAATCGTAGAAGAAAAAGATTATTGACATATTCTACATCTTAAATTTCAGTTATTTGCTGTTTCATTGGAGGACAGCCCAACCCCAAACGAATGCAACATTTGCAACTATGTCTATGAAAATAACCAGGACATTTCAGGACACAAAATCAATCATGAAATGAATCTGCACTTTTGTCGCTTAGGTTGTGGCATCTGGTTAAACTCCTTGGAACAGATCCTTGAGCACGAATATCGCCAACACTCGCAGCCAGGAAATGTTTTTTGTTGTAGGGTGAGTTCTTCTATTCCTGCTTTTTATAAATGCAATAAACGAATTTAATTTAGGTTTGCGATTTCTTGGCCAGAGACGCGGACTGTCTGTCTAACCATATGCAGAGGCATATATATGTTTATCGTTTTGTATGTGCCATTTGTCGTCGCCATTTCGACTCTAAACAGAGCCTACAGTTGCATAGGAAGCATGGTGAATACGCCTGCGGGCGGGTCGAGTACGTGCAGAGTCTCACCGAAAAGCCAGAACTTGTGGCAGTTAGTGCGCCAGTTTCTGTAGAGTCGTTCTGCGATGTGCAGATTAAAGAGGAACCACGTAACGCAGAGGATGAAGAGCACATGCTATTAGAAGACAACCCTCCAATTAGCGTAAAAGTGGAACCCCAGGACGAGGAAATACCGGATATAAACATTAAAGAGGAACTTACGGAGCAGTTTGAAGATAATTCCCTGAATAATTCTCTCTGGTCAACGATACCAATTCCGCTAAGGAAGAAACTGCGCTTACCTGCGTTAAACTCAACAAAATCGTATTCGGACTTTAAAAAGTAATCATACATTGACTGGAGACAATATAATGATTCCTCAGATTACTCAACAAAGCATAGAGGGACAGAAAAAGCCAATTGCATCCAATATTCTTAAAGTATTGCCCAGCAACTGCGTGGTAATTAAGTTGCCTCCCAACACAAAAATCCTGAAGTTGCCACCTTCGACTGCAAAGGAATCTGTTACTATTAGTCTGAGTGACATGCCCAAGTCAACCAGCATCGTTAAGATTCCGCAGTCAATAAGTATAACCAAAGTGAGTTCACTGAATAATAATTCTGCAACTATTCCCTCATCTCCGACTATTCAAACTGTCTTGCCTCCGCAAACGCATGGTCGGGCATCATGCTTCCTTGTCGATGCGTTTAACAAATCGGAGAGCAGGCCCGAATCCATGAAGATAATTACCGAATTTCGCAATCAAATACGATCAATAGAAAAGACATTGCCATTACCGGGAACAGTGCTGCAAGCTTCAAAGCTAAAGAAGGATATCCCTTTGATTGCTCCCAAAGATTCACCGAAGCCCGTTGAACTGATATTGAACCCATTGTCTTTTATGGTAGCTCAGCAGCTGCAGGTCCAGTACCCAGACTACCGTTTTATGTGGAAATGTCCGCTATGTAAACAATCGCACGAGAAGCATTGTGCATTTCGCAGGCACCTGACCAGCCAACACGAATTAAATGAAGAGCAATTATGCAAAGTTAAAGTCTTATTAATGCCATACAAAAGTAAGTTTCGTCAATTTTGGGATTTTTTTTATTTTGGAAATAAATTATATCTCTGTTGCAGTACTTTTACAGGATTCAACAATAGTGGAAACTGACAAAGCACATGTGGCATTGGAAACGGTGGTAAAAAAGGAGTCACAACTGGAAGAATCAACTCCAGATGTAGACAAGACTGTTAATGTGCCTTTTTTGTTAAACTGCACCGAAGCTGTCGCCGCTTTAACAGAACAGACATCGGCATTATCAAATATTTGTGTTAAAAATGGGGTTTCAACCCTAAAAAAAACCCTAGAGAAAACCGGCTCAAAAAACTCCAGAAAGAATAATTCGAAGAGTTCACAGTTTCAGTGTACGGACTGCTCTAAAATATTTACGACTTTTGGAGCCCTACGGATCCATAAGTCGATCCATACGGGTGAGCTGCCGCATAAATGCAACTATTGCGACAAGCGATTCCGAACCCCTGGACAGGTGCGGGTGCACCACCGACGTCACACCGGGGAAAAACCATTTAAATGCAAGGTGATGAATTAATTACCTCATATATAAGTTTAATGGTATTAATTGGGAGCAATTCGATTAAATGTTAATTACTATAATTTCTTTTTACAGATCTGCTCATTGGATTTCACTCATCGAGAAACTCTTATTTCCCATCTATCTCGCCATATTGGAATGAAGCGTTATAAATGCTATGGATGCGATAAATATTTTGTAGTCGTTAGTGGCCTGCGAGCCCATCGTCGTCTCCGGCCGGACACTTGTGGAAAGGTTAAGTTTACAGCAAGAGCCCACGGCCCCCGTGTGCGGGTCATCAGGGGCGAGGTGGTCTTCGAACATCACCCGGAACACAATGGCTACTTACGCAGCGAAGATCCGCTTAACATTTTGTCCCAACGTGATCTAACAGACTTAAACCCATCTAAAATTGTTGAGGATATTAAATAATTGTTATTCTTTCTATTGTTTATTGCTAAAGCTTTGCTTTATATACTTCTTAAATCATTTGAACAGCAGGACAATAATATATCTCGTGTTTTGAAAAAATGCGATAAGAATCTAAAAAATAAAAAGTAGGATCCTGATCCATAAGAGAAATTTACTACAAATTGCCATGAATTTTCATTAATTTGTTAGAATTTAAGAGTATATAATATTTTAAATAAACACTTTAATGATTCATTGAAGAATCTTTTACACATATTTTATTTTATTAATTTAATAAATAGGTTGGTAATTCAGGAATAAGCAATCTTTTTTTATTGAGAAATTTTGACCACGAATTCTGATAACAATTGTAATTAAACATTTTCAATTTTTGTGGTTGGTTGCAAGGGATTTTCCAAGCTAAGAAACTGATCGAGCAAGTATTCATGTTGGGTTAAATCCGATTTTTCGTATTTCTCGATTGCAATGAATAGGTGACTTCGTTGGGATATGGTGGTCGGAGACAACTTCTCTTTCATTTGTCTGGCACCTTCGACGAATCTAATGTAGCATTTCGAGTCCTCGGCTCCAATAGCCATGGCAAGGTCCACTATGGCCAATAAGCTCTTTTCAATATCTTCTCTCTTGGGCGAATGCGTTTTGTTTTACTTCTTTTTGACTTCTATAAATGTACTGGATATATTGGCGATATAAGCGAATTTCATGGCAGTAGTGCCTTGCTTAAGGACTTCCTTGCCGCGGTTAGCATAGTTCTGAATGTCATCAGTTATCGATCCACGGTATTCCACTGGCACACTATCTACCATTGACTGCGTAAATGTAGAAGTTAGGTAGGCCGCATTATGAATTTGAATGTCTAGAATAGACTCTAAAAAGTAATCAATAGATTAAAAGATTTTGGGCATCTTTATTTTATATACTAACCAAAACAGATAGGAAAAATATCAGCGAGCAACGCATCTCCAGCAATTCACTTAATACGACTGAAATATTTTTGAGCAGTGTGTGGATTTTTATACACTGGTGCCTATCAAATTGTGTGTTAATATGCTCTAAAATTATACTAACTTCGAAAAACATAAAGAGCGATTAGGATTTTGAATAAAAATGTAGAGAACTCTCTTCATATTTAGGTATTTGTGATCATAACATTTTTATTATACAATTGAATAAATGAGGCGCACGAATTCTGATAACCATTTACTGACAGTGACACTTTTATTTAAATGCTTTCATTTTCTGTTGTTGGTTGCAAAAGCTTAGGAAATTTTCCAAGCTAAGAAATTCATCGAACAGGTGTTCATGTTGGGGTAAATCAGATCTTTCGTATTTCTCGATTGCATTGAAAAGTTCACTTTGTTGGGCTATGGTGGTCGGAGACAACTTCTCTTTCATTTGTGCGGCACCTTCGACGAAGTTAGTGGTGAACTTCGAGTCCTCCTCAGCAAGCTCCATTGCAAGTCCCATTAAGCCCAATAAGCTCTTTACAATCGACTGTGACTCAGGGGTTTCGCTTAACTTCTTTTTGACTTCTTCTAATGTGTTGCTCATATTTTCAATATAAGCGTATTTCATGCGAGTAGTGCCTTGCTTAAGGACATCCTTGCCGCGGTTAGCATAGTTCTGAAAGTCAGCAGTTATCGGTCCACGATTTTCCTCAGGCACGCTATCCACTGTTGACTGCACAAATTTATGAGTAAGATAGGCCATGTTATGAATTTCAATGTCTCGAATAGTCCTGGCGTAGCTGAAAAATTGAGCTATGATCTCATCGTCCGTTTTTCGAGGAGCAGCACAGGTCAGACTCTAAAAATAATCAATAGATTAAATGCGTTTGGTCATTTTTTTTTAATTGTTTACCAAAACAGATAGGAAAAATATCAGCGAGCAACGCATCTTCAGCAAATCACTTAACACGACTGTAATATTTTTGAGCAGGGTGTGGATTTTTATACACTGGTCCCTATATCAGATAAACGCTTCCCATTTTGTGTATTGCTGATATGCTCAAAAATTGTACTGTCTTGAAGAAATATAAAGAGCGATTAGGATTTCAAATAAAAATTGAGAATATTCTCCTTATATTTAGGTATTTTTATCAACTTAAGAGAGAGAAAGTAGAACATACATTTTAGAAAACGTATAATCAGACAATTGCCCGTTTTAAATAAAGAGTCTTATTAGTTTTTATTTCATCTTTTATTATTTGTTGTCATTCGGTTTTGCAGTGTTTTTTGAAAATGATATACTATTTATATGGTATCTTTAAACATAATATGATATTCTTAATCATACATTAATGCGAAATACATACGCTCATCTGTTGCTTGATTAGTATAATCATTATAATGTTTGCTTGTCTGTGTCTGTGTATGATGTTACCTTTAAAATTGTTATATCTTTCTATTTGGTAAAACATATAAAACAATTTATATTTCAACAAAATTTGACAAGCCGACAAATTTGTATAATATACATTATATTCGTATTTCTCAATTGATTTATATGTTATGTTTAATACGATTGCAACACTCTGCGTGGGTACCTTTATCTAGACATCTATTGTTGCTAGCGCTATAGTTTAATTTAGTATCTTTCTCTCTGTTGTTTTATTCCAAACATGCCCAGCCGGCCAACATTGCTGCAAAATTTACTACTTCCTAACACTTCCGATCCAATTGGCTGGGGCAACGCGCTAAATTTGTTATAACAAATACTTTTATTTCGTATAAATATTTTGTTTACATATGACTATTGTTGTTTAACATGTGTTTCAGCTAATAATTTAGTGTTTGCTTTTAAGCATTTGCTTGCTAACTTTTCTTTTCATATATATATATATATATATATTATATATATATTTTGATTTATAAATACGAGGCCGAATTTAAAGGTTCTGCAAAACAGTTAATCAGTATATACATTATTATGTTGTACCTTATGACCTATTGCCAATATCTCGTTTAAACTTGATTCTTGCGTGTGTCGCCCTATTTGATGGTAAAAATTATATGCTACAGTACATATCTACAGTTATCATTCTAATCTGTTCGCTTGGTTAATATCTATGCCTTCATACACCTTAGGTACAATAATTGTTTAGCTTTTCGATCTAAATTACACAATACATACGTGGCTAGCTTGGGTATCGACTGTGGTATATACAGGAATGTACTGGGGATAGAACTTTACTGAATAGAAGTCGTGGGAATGAGGTTAAAGTTTCAATTAGCTGCTTTAGCTGGAAGTAAGGTCTGTGTCTCCTATTGTTATTCAAAATAAGAACCGTCTGTTAGCTACCAAGACATTGATCAGTCCATCAAGTTCGTCATCTTTTCATTTTTTTATAGGGGAGATCAAAACTTAAGTCAAAAACCTATTTTATAATCTAGCTGCCTTATAAAATATGCACACTATGCAGAGACTCTTGACTAATTGCACGGATTGTTTTATACTCATTTTCCAATAACCTAGGCATAACAACTGATTAACATAGCAGTATTTGATTGATTGTATTACTCATACGTGTTTTTATATTTATAATGGCGATTGGATTTTGCTGCCAATTCGCCAGAAGTTTTCCCATTTACATTAAATGGCTACTACTTTCGACCCTATCCGTCCGTTCGAGATTCGATTTAGGCGGTAAGACTAATAGCTACCAAGTCCTTAGTTCAAATATGTATCGGTTTCCAGTGGTCCGCCCCATTCATGGCCATTCTGGCGGCAGTTCCACGAACAACAAGTTGATTGACTTCCTTCTAACTTCTCCATTCAGCGAGCAAAATCTTGATGCACACCCGTAGAAGTGCATATGGGCTGATATATAAATTTCTGATAATTAAACGTGTAACAGTCTTTTTTAGTTTACATTATCAATAAAATCAAACGCATAAAAAGACCGTGGCCCGAAAAGGAATCGCAATGAGAACATAATCTGCGGGCGGGGTGTGCGCTTATCAACTAAAATTATCCACGTATATAAGTATAGGTGTTATTAAGTAAGTGTGGGCAGTAGCTGGCTATAATACTTTAGAGTTATGATATCCGTGTATATCGTAAATGCGTATTATGCGTAGAGTTCGAAATAAGTATGCAACGAACGCAGGGTCGATGAGTTTTTAGATCTCTAGGCCGGACTTCTCCCTTCAGAGTTGTCCTCAGTTTGTGTAGTTGTCGAATGAGCCCAAGTATTCCAATGCAGCGCGATAGCAGAAGTGGTATTGATCCTTTAATGACATAAAAATAGTTTATAATTATTATTTTAATCATTTCAAAAACCTATTTATAACCCACCTCAGTTTGTACCATAGCTGGACGCTGGGAGCGCAGTATACGCACTGTCTGGAAGACATCGAGTACTCCCTCATATTGCATCCTCTCCAGAACAATGCTCAACGTGATGAAAACACCCGATCGACCCACGCCCGCCGAACAGTGCACAGTGATGGGTCCATCTTGGCCAAACTGTTCCTTGGTCTTGTGCACCTGCCCAATAAAGTCAATGAAGCCCTCGCCCGATTTGGGTACGCCCTGCTCTGGCCAATCGATGAACTGGAACTGCCGGACGGTGCGAGAGGAACCATCTCGAGCATCGGTTACCTTTGACGAAGAAGGTTCAGTTAGTTACCAATTATGAGTTAGCCCAAATCAAATACTTTACTTACCTTGAATTCACGCAGCTTATACTGCGGCATATTGTACTCAGCAATGGGATCCACCACGTAATACTGATAGCGCACGGATCGCTCATGAGGCCAATACTGGAAACATTTCTCCTGCAAGGAAGTCATATTGTTAATGCTCAAGTTGGACTCAATTTTATGCATAATGCATACCCTTCCCATTTCCTTGAGCTTTGTCAGCATAACAACAATAGTAGAGTTGTGCTCCCAGAGCATACGCCAGAAGTCCTCGGCTGCATCCTGGACTGGGCCTTGAGCGGCGATGTAGGCGGATCGGTAGCGATAGCCATCAATAAAGCTGGCGTTGACATAGTCGCTGCCTTCAATGCCATGGATGGGGGTCAGGTAGACGCGACTCGATTCGTAGGGAAGAATGTGGACCAGGCGATTCTTGTGTTTGTTGCACGGAAGATTTGCCGTTACAAACTTGGATGAGTCCATCTTGACGTTGGACAGCTTCTTGAACTCCACCTCCATGCCCGAGATACTTTCGCCGGGCTCGGTGATGAGTAGTTTCTGCAGGTGAGTGTGTAGATTGCGTGCAGGCACCTCAGTCATTCCACAGATAATGGCCTCCAGAATGGCGTCGTGGATGAAGATATACTGATCCTCCGTCTGCACCATGTAGTTACGTTGAGCCCGCAGGCACGTGACATGCCCGTAGATATCGATGATCTTCTCGTGCTTCATTCGCTCTAGCATCGAATCGATTACGATATAACAACCGGTTCGACCCACCCCTGCCGAGCAGTGAACGATAACAGGTCCGGATTCTGGTGGTGTGAGAGCACGACACCGGCGCAGGAACTGCAGGAAAGGAGCAGGATGATCGGGTACACCGTGATCAGGCCAGGCGGTGAATTGTAGCTGCTTAATCTCACGCCGATCGTTGAAGCCTTGCCGGCACAACTGGAACGTCCGGATGCTGTAGGTGGCCAGTTCCTGCGTCTCCGTGATGGTTACAAAGATCTGGCCATAGGTCTCCGTTCCACGTGTTGGCCAGTACTGGTCGCACTTGATGCGTGTTCGTTCCTCCAGCCGCGTCATCATCACAATGGTGGCCGTCTTCAGTTCCCAGCACATGCGCCAGAAGTCCACAAAGGTCTCCTGCAGAGGTCCCTGGGTGGCCACATAGGCATTGTGCTTTCGATAGCCATCGCAGTAGTTGGCATTGATGTAGTCCGATCCGGCCACACCCTCTGACGGTGGCAACTGGACACGGGAATGGTCGTAGGCGGTGACATTGGCATAGCGATTCTTGGATTTGTTGTGCTCCAGATTCGAGTTGTCCCAGGTGAACTGCTGTCCCGGCTCAATGCTCTCGTACTCCTGCGAAAACTTCTGATTGTCGTTGGACTTAAGGCGCTCGATATGATTGGCAAACTCGGATATGGGTATGGGCGGATGGGAGATCATGCCGGGCGTCTGGAAGTTCAGACGTCTCATGTCCACGGGATCACTGGGCGTTGGCCCTGCTCCCAGGTCGGCAGCCATTAAGGGTCGTGTTACTGCCGCTTGATCCGGAGTCTTGCATGGCTGCCGGCGACGCTTGACCACACACAAGACAATCAAAGCGGTGGACACGATGAAGGTGGACACCATCAGGGGCAGCACCACCCACAGGATCTCCGGTTCGTCCTTGTTGCGGTTTACCGAAACCTCCGGCTCCGCAGGCCAATTCGGATCAGGTCGACGGGGCCCCTCGCCTGGCGGAGCTTCCCTCATGTCCAGCGATAAGAACTCGGAGAAGGGACTGGAGGTGTAAAGGTGCTTCTGCGGCGTGTCTACCACTGCCCTTACAAAGATGCGGTAACGCTTCTCCCTTTCCAGCTTACGATTTGTCAGGTTATGGTTTTCATCGCCCGATCCCAGGTGGAAGGTGAACGGTATGGAACGCTGTGGGAACTTGGCTGCGATGTAGGGGGCATTAGGGCGCTCCGGCTTATTCCTGAGCGGAAGCAAGTCATCAGTGAGGAACTGATCGGGTATCTTATGCAGATTCGATTTATCCTCAGGTACTACGACTAAATAATAATGCGAGATCGGTCCATATTCCTCCGAGGCCTGGGGCAGTATCACAAGAATCTCTTCCCCACTGACCACTCCATAGAAATCTGGCTTGACCATGGGCTGAGGAGCAGCCATTTGGGTGGTGACTGTGATCTTGGTGGGCGGGCGGTAGGAATAATCTGATGGAATGGCACTAACGTTCACATTGTACGTGGTAAACGGACTCAGTTCGTTGATCGTATGCGTTTTTACGTAGTGCTTCAAGATGATCTCTCGCTTGGGAACGATCTGGGTCTGTGAGAAACCCTGCGAGTCCACAAACACCTTCATCGCATCAAAGCTGATCTTATAGTTAACCGGAGTTAAGCGAATGGGCGGTGACCAACTTAAGGTCATCGAGTGGGTGCTGACATCGTGAGCCCGAAGATTGAGGGGCACATCCTCTGGCTTAATTCGCACCGTCACCTTTTCACTGAGTCGTCCCAATCCGTTCTTAAACCTCGCAGCAATGGCCACGGCATATTGGGCAAACTTCTCCAGATTTACCAAGTCGGCCGATTCCGTGAGTCCAACGGTTTTCGTTTGCCAATCGTCCAAATCCTCGACAGCGGTCATGGTGTAAAAGATCTTGTATCCAAGCAACTTTCCACGACTTGTTACCGGCTCCCACCAGATCTCAGCCGTTTGCTCCGAGGTGGCCTCTGCCTGCAAGGACATTGGTGCCCGGCCCATATCGCGCTCCGTCTCCACGATCAACTTATCGCTAAAGGGTCCAGCTCCCTGCTTCGTATAAGCCCTCACCCGGAATATGTACTCGGTGTTCTCCTCCAGATTCGTAAACACTGCCTTGCGGAGCGTCATATTCCGCTCGGATCCAAGGCCATGATCAATTTTCTTATGGAACTGAACATCGTACCGGGTGATTATGCCATTCCTGTGCTCTCTGGTAGGTGGATCCCAGGTCACACATAGTACATCCGGAGTTTGGAAGCGAATGGTGATGTTAGACGGCGGTCCGCCGGGTGTACCCTCTGGGGTCTGGAATATTTTCACCGTCTCCTGACCGATACCGATGTGGTTGCTACCCGCTACTCGAAATTCGTACTCTACACCGCGTTCCAGGTTATCGAAGCGCTTCTTGGTCATCTGAGGTCCCGACAGCATCTCCTCCTTTAGTGCCTGATCCTTGACACCCCAGCGAAGTCGATAGCCTCGCAGTTCACCGTACGTCTGCGCCGGACGCTCCCATTCGAGTTCGATCGACACAATCGGCTCCCGCTCCATGATCTTCAGACTCACCGTTGGCCGAACTGGCACACCACCGGGTGTTTTCACCACAATCGCTGCACTCCGGTCGCCATCGCCTTTACGGGTCAATGCGGCCACCTGAATAGAGTATTTGGTATCCGGCTGCAAGCCAGTTACATTGAACTCCATCGCATCCACCACATCGAACTTGAAGGGTTCGTTGAGGAAGCCCTTGCCCTGTTTTGGGAAGATCAGGATGGACAGGGTGTATTAATTTCGAATCTCTGGATAATAACTGGTTAACCTACCTCATCTCGCAGCTCCTGGGCATGTATGTGATAGCCACGGATGATGCCATTGCGATCCTTCTCAAGTGGTGGCTTCCAGCTGACATGGATCGATGTGGAGTTCAAAGGCGTGGCCTTCACGTCTTGTGGATCGCCGGGCACTAAAGGCGACGATGATGAAAACGATGATTAGATAAAAGTACTCACAAAGGCGAAAACAACTTGAGATAGTACTCGTAAAGATAGCTTAACTTATGCCAGGCATAGCCAATAGCTAAGATGATTAAAACTAACTTACTTAACGCTGTAAGTACATGTTTTTAAAGTACAGAGTGAAACTATGTTAGCTATTACTAGGAACTTAAGTCCTAAGAGTATTTAAGATTATATATAGGTTGGTAGTACAGAACCAGAACCAGAACAAACCTAGTTCCAAGTCAATGCCATCACCACATCACAGACAAAAACATTTTTAAGTTTCAAATAATAATTTAAGAAAGTGGGAACTTGAGGAACCAAACAACCAAAGTGCTGCTTAGGTGCTATATAGTTGGTATATATAAGGAAGGGGTTGCTCAATTGGTGCTCAAAAAATGTTAATATTAGGTGCAGTTTATACCTTGATATAGTAATAATTTATAGTATAGACCATTACTTTAGCAGCATGGTGTCAAAAAAGGTACACAAAAATATTGGGCTATCGGAAAGACGACTTGGCTTTCGATGTCCATAGCTCTCGCTTCACTTAGCAAAAAACAAACATGTAAGCATTCAAAAATTTGTTACTTTGTTGTGTGCAAAAACATACATTAGTTAAATCAAAAAGATAGTTCAGATATATATTTTTCTATACACGTATTCTGCTTGTTCAAGAGCATCAAAAATCCTTGACGACCTTTGGTTTGATTTTCCAAAAAAAAAAAAAAAGAAAATGTCGGAATAGAGAAACATATTAAAAAACAAAAGAGATGTTGATTCTTTTAGTTATAGTTATCGGTCGAATGTTTCGGGACCAATTCAAAAATACATTTCTTCGGGAAAGAGAGTATAGGTATAGAAACAGAGATGGTATAGTATAGAATAGTTTAGATATAGTATTCGGCTATAGAGGGCATTCTTAAACGTAATACATAGTCAACCATTAAGTATACTCACTCTTTTTCTCTAAATAGTTTTAAAATGTTTTGTTATTATTATATATATGTTATGTAAACCACCATCCATTAAAGGTTGCGTTCAAAAATCAAATTTCGCAATAATTTCGTATTCACATCAAAAAGTTTCAAAAAGATTTTGGTTTATGTTTTGTTTTCCATTTTGATTTGCATTCAAAAAAAGGTGCACGAAACAGAGCAATTGGTGCAAGGTGCGAGTGGCCAAGCAAAGTTATTTTTGGTTTTGTTTTTTTTTTTTTTTATAGTATGTGAAAAAAGATATAAAATATAGGTATTTAGTTTACAGTATACAGTATACCAAAAAGGGTTACTAGTGCACAAAAATAGTCAAAGTCCAGAAAAAGGAAAGGCGAACAACTTAAGATGGAAAAAGATGATACAAAATCTACATATTTGTTGGCACACCGTTTTGATACTGTACAGTGTTTTCTATGATCTTTTCTATTCAAAAAGATGTGGTAGTTTGTAGTTCTAAGACACCCAATTATTGTCTAATAACTTAAGCTAAACTTACCTCAATTTATATTTAAGTAAGGCTACAATAACAAGCTTAAATATACCTTAAAATAATGGGGGTTTGATTTAGTTAACTTTAATATTAAAGAAAATATCTGTAACTTCCTCTCAGAGTAAATTTCAAATATTTGTATTATTTTAGTTAGCTAGAAATCTCAAATTTTAAAACCTGCAATGCTGAATATATTAATTTTGATAATTTTGTTCATATACCATTCATTATGTGGACAATGATTCTGCTGGCTGGCAGTTCCTTGCCCTCAATCATGGCATTTCGGTTCATTAAAAATGTTAAATAAAAATGCATAATACAAATTATTCAAATGCAACTGACGGCGCAAAAATGTTAAATTATGCTTCATTAGTGTCCTGCAGCCTGGCAGCCCGGCAGCCTGGCTGCCTGGCAGCTCATCTGCTTAACTTTTTGCAGCCGAATGCTGCGAATGGAAGGGGTCAAATGCTGTACTTTTGTTTCATTTTTTGTCATTTCACATCCATTCACGCCAGGTGAGAGGTGCCTGCACACACACACACACACACACACACATCGGTGCACTAAAAATATAAAATAATTAAAATGCTACCGTAGAAGTGTTCTCTATTTTGTATTTCTTTTTCTTCCTTTTCCCCGTGCTCCTTTCTGTGCTGAATGGAACAAACGAAGCAAGGAGCGCGTGCTAAGCTTCCAATGCTCGAGGTGCTCATTTTTTAACCTTTTTTCTTTTCCTTTTTTGATATAGTATATTTTATTTTTTGTGTTTGTTTTTTTTTTTTTTTTTTGGTGTATGTGTGGGCAGGACGTGTGCGAGAGTGCAGCTGTCTGGGTGCACAAAGGGGAATCTCTGGGATGCTTGGCGAATCTAGCAGAGGTAGCTGAGGTAGCGCGGAGGAATGAAAAGCAAGTGCCCGGCTTTAGACAGGTGGAATGCATTTGCATTTGTGCTGTGGCAGCTAACAAGCGCATCACATCATAACGAAATACGCTCCCAAACTACGGAAACACAAAAATTAGTACGAAAATACAAGTGAGGATGATAGAGTTGAGTGTGCCGACCATTGAATACCCTCCCTCTTTATAAAAATCATAAATTATAAGCCAGGAAATAGTCTCTTAAGAACCAATCTTTCAAGATTTGGCTACTAAAGTGTTTTAGGATTTTCTACTTATGTAAAATCTTTGTCTTTGCTATCTTATCCTTCTAGCTAGTACTCGTATAGTTCCTCAGATATTCCTATTGTATGAGATGTATTTCTATTTTATATTATAATTTATAATATGATATTCATTCTTCTTCTTGAATCCTCTTTTTCAATGTGTACCACGCATAAACTTCAGTATAAAAAGAAAATGCTAAAAAAAAAAGGGAATTACATTGGCATGTACACATAGAGTAACTACCATGTGCTGACCCTCTAATGCTGTCTGCCTCATATGCTTTTGCTTGTGAGCCTCTGGCTATAAGTGCAATACGAGGAAACGGAAGGGAGACTAGTTCGGCTTTGAGATATGTGGCCGTTTGCCTCTGGTTATGCCAAATTGAGTACAATTAAAACGAAATTCAAGTCAGTCACAGATAGCTCAATGCCATGGCAGTGCTCTGCTTCTACTGGCTGCTGTACAAGGAGAAAATATCCTTGAACAAACTTAGTTTTTCAAAAAATGATAGCATTACGTAGCCAACCCGTTGAACAGCCTGGTTGGAGCAATTAGGCTGTGAGTAGTAAAGTTTCTCTCGTTACCTTAAGGAGCTTTAAAAATTAAACAAGAAAAATCTAATAAGTAAACCTGAAAACTAGTGATAAGGTTTAATATATTTAAAGATGCGTTATACCTTGTAATCAATAACATTTTCTCACTGTGATGCTGTGCTTGTGATTGTAAACTTCCTGCAGCTAACATTCAGTCATTTACGTGTCCTTTTAATTCACATTGTCTGTGCGCTTGTGTGAGTGTGCCTGTGCATAAGGTGCTGTGCTATCGGTGCTGCAGACTTAAATACTAAGCTTATTATAACATCTAGAGTGGGCTAAAAGATGCCAAGAGCGTATCACAAATAGAGTAAGTGAGAGCGAGTGAGACGTACACTAAGGTGCTTAACAATAAGTACATTTAATTTACAGTGCTTAGCCGAAAATAAAATGAAGTGAATGGGCCACCACACTCAGATGGTGTTGAGCTCTTAAAACACACAAATTGAGTTGGTAGGTACTTTATATAAAGAAAACTGTTTTCTGTTGAACAAGCAAGTTAACAGCTAACAAGCAAATGAAGTAAGGTTTGAAACATTGTTTATGGTTTTTTAATGGAAATTTATGGTTTGGGAATTTATTAGGGAAATAAAATGAAAAGGATATTTAAATGGTGTTTGTCTTGGATATATTCTGATTGGGAAACCAAAAAACATTTGCAAATGGACTAAAAACTTTTCATGGAGGGTCAAACGATGAAAAGTGCAAATATGCAAATGTGTTAACTGTGCAAACATGCAGGTGATGGCAAATAAAACTTAATAAAATGGGTCAACAACACAAAATATACAAAATTATGTGCGTAAATAAAAAATTCGGTTAATTTTGTGCAGAAATCAATTTAAGGATTTGTCATTTGCTGTGCTGGGTCTTCGTTATTTGCATAGCAATAAACAAAAAACCATTTAAAAACGTGCAACATTGCGGGGCTTATGAGAGGCATTCGTGGTGGTTTGGATTGTAGAGATTTGTGAGTATGTGTGTGTGTAGGTTTGGAGAGTGAGAGCTTCACAGGTGACAAAAGTGCAAAAACCGTGTGCCAAAAACCAAACAGATAGGGGCAGAGCTATATAGCTATAGAGCCGTAGAGCTGTATATACTGGGCAAGGGCTCAAAAATTATAGTACACCGAGCTTTTGTAAACGTTATTAAATATGTATGCATTTATGTAAATATCACACATGTATATGTATATGTATTGGTAAAGGTATGTTTTCAGGTGAGCAAAAAAAAAAATAGGAAATCATAAATAAATAGAGCGAAACATTTTGCGCTATTTGCTTTGGGTAAACATTGGAAATAAAAGAAAATTTGTGGGTTTGGGTTTGGGTCTCGGGAAAATGGTTATAGCCTCCATGTTTAGGTACGGGGACAGGGACAGGGCTTGTGTTTACATTTATAATTGCATACATTTAATTATGCAAATAATTAAATAAAATATTTAATGCAAACAACCTAAAATCAAATTTGTGTATTGGTTTTGGGAATTAGGTTGGTTTTCGGGTGCTTACAAAAACTATATGAAAATGCCAAAAATACAAAAAGATTACATTGAGTTCATGGCGATTTTTGGTGCTATACAAATTACCACAAACAATTGATGCATTATATTCAAAAAAGTATATTTATTTATAAAACTCGATTCTTGGTTTATATTAAGAGATATATCTTGGTTTTTTGTGCATTTCTCGAGACGATTGCCAGTCAAGAAGTAAAAAAGAACAAAAATATGTTTTCTTGCATATAGTACACGATACATAGGAGTTCTTCTAAAAAGAGATATTTCTTGTTTTTTTTTTGTTTTTTTCATAAGAGACTTTGTGCAAAAAAGTAGTCAAAAATTGCGCCAAAAAATATGCAATTTCATAGTGCCAATAAGAAAATTTTGTAGATTTTTAAAAAATTTCATTTAAATATACAAACGAATTTTTAGAAATTAAAAGGGTTTAATAAATTGTAAAATATGATAAAGTAATAACTAATTAATATTAATGGTAGGTGGTAAGAGATAGTAGATATTTTGGATTTCCAGCGATCCTTAAAAAAGGAATTTCATGTTTTGAAATAAATTGTTAGGAAAAAATCAGAAATAGTTTAAAGAATATGAAGCCGTAAAGGCATTATTTATCGAACATCTTTTATAAGTCTTATTTTTATTTGAAATTTTATGAAAAAAGGTTCTCTTGATTAATCAAACGTCGGACAGACTTTAGACTTTTCAAATCATAAAACTTGGCTAAACTACAAATCAAAATTTTAGCTGTTTTCAAAACGCTTATTTACAGCTGATTATGTTATAAACGTAAATATTTGTAAACTAAAGAGGAAGGCAATTTGGTTGACAAAAATATGGATATAGATATCATGGTATATATATCAGATAACGCTCCATAGTGATTAGCCGCTCCTGTGGTGAATGCTCCCGATATCAAAATTCAAAAATTGTACAAAATACGTTCGATTAGTTTCAGGTTAATAATTCGTTTTTTTCTGGGTTATAAAAACATAACTTATAGGATGAGTGATAAAATAAAGAGTAATAATAACAACAATTATAATAATAATCATAATAATAATAATGTAAATGATAAGGAAAAGTAAACATAGGACTTACGCATAGGTAAGATCGTTATTGGCATACATACCATCCTCTTGGGTTCGCAATATGATGGGATGGGAACGCGGACCATTGCCGACGGATGTGCCGGCCAGTACCCAGATTTTGTACTCTGTCCAGCGCTTCAGCTCGTCGAGCACAATGCTGGTCATATTGAGGGTCAATGTGGTGGCCTCGTTGTCTTCGCGACCAACCTCCACGAAGAATACCTTATAGTATATGATCCGACCGTTCGATCGTTCGACGGGCGGTGGCAGCCAGTTAAGCGATATCGTCGTCGAGCTGGTAGCTATGGCGGTGATATTTCGAGGCGGTGCACCTGGTACTAATTACATAGATGGGAACGGAACGTATTTGTGTGTGCATTGATTTTTTTTTTTTTTTGAGTTTTTTGTTGGGTTTTATGTGGATTCATTGTTGTTGTTGTTGTTGCATAGCCATGGTTTGGATATGACAGTTGGTTTTTTTATATAATTTTTCATAGCGTTCAGCATATTAGCGCAGAGAATACAAAAATATTTGTCAAACCGAAATCAAAATGGATAACACATGAAATGAAAAAGCCATAAAGCAAAAATAATATTAAAATCAAATGGAATAACATGGTTTATATAGGCATAAAAATATCATAATAAAATAAATTCAAATATCAAGACATAGATCCAATGGTTTATGCAAATAATGTTGACTCCTTTTTGCGTTCGTCAATAATTTGTGCATATTTTTTGGTAACGACTTTTTGAGCTGAAAACTTATCCCAACTACACATTAGCTACTAGAGAAACACCCACATTACATGCTTAGCATATATAAATGAGAATGATAATAAATAAAACTTAACTAAACATTCACACAACACAGGTGCATACACACGGAAAAGACATTCATTTGCATAAACCATGGGAATTTGGCATACTTTACATATAGAAAAGTAAAAGTTAATAAATTGTTTAACTAAAATGTAATAAAAGTGCATAAAGTTATCAAATTTCTAGGTAACTGAACAATCTAAGTAAGAAATTAGCTAGCAGGCAGCAACTCAAATTTGAAATCAATGTCTAAGCTGTAAGCTAAAAACAGTTCCAAAATAACTTTGTGGCTTGTCGTTATTGCAAACGTCTGTGGCACAATAAGTGCCGTGCCACAGACAACCAACCATTTACATTTTAATTATGCGAATATGCAAAACGTGCAAATATGGAAACCAAAAGTGATATTTATGCCACTGCCAAGAACTTTGCACTTCCGGCATTTGTCTTCGCGCCGCTCTATTAAAATATCATTCAAAATCAATTTTCTAGACACTGATGCAGCAGACAAAGACGCAGGACGCAAGACACAGAAACGAAGGCAGAGACAGAGAGAAATATAGGGAAGTTAAGGAATTTTCGGTTTTTGGTTTTGTGGTCTCAGTGCTTCTGGTGCAGAGTGCTTAGTGCATAGTGCATGGTACAAAGAGCATTAGGAATTTTAGCACTTAAATAGTGGTCTAAAGTTGGAAATTGTTTGGGCATAATTTACATGATTTAACACTCGGAGAGCCACAAATGATAAATGGAATATAATCATTGGGGCATTGCCAGAACACACACACTCTACACACTCTAAACTCACATTCAGCATTCCGTAATAGTTAGATTTTTATTTTCTCTCTCTTTATATTTTGCATTACATTAGCGTGCAATTTGATTTTGAACTTAAAATGAAAAGGTGTTTTGTCTGGTTTGGAAATGTTGTTGGTTGCCTTCCATGTTCACGGCTTAATCCTGAGTGTGTGTGATGTGGTTGGTGGACTGTTGGCTATTGTTCGGTGAGTTTTGGTCTGTAATTGGATTTAATTCAACAGATCGCAGAGCGTATTGAAAATATTTCAAATCACGTAAACCAATATTCAAATTCAATTTAAACAGGAGAGTGATTGGTTTCCTTGTGCGATCTGTTAAACTCTAAGTTTTAAATATATTTTTGTTTTATGTGTGTAATGCTAAAGGTCTTATTTTCTATGTATGTAAGAGTATTTGTAATCTAAGTATATTTGTCTGTGAACTGTGTAATTTTGTACAAACTAACTAAAAATGAAGTTGCTATTTGTAGATTATATAGACTAGTTGGCTAAAACTTAAGGCTAACTTGCAAGGAACAAGAACGATCAAATGTCAAACAATAGATATAGATATATATATATATATTTTGATTAGGGTATATATAGTTAAAGTATAAGGCAAGTTGAGTGCATAAAATTCACTGCACACGGGAACACTCATCCGATATCATTTATTCATTGCATTCGCTCACACTTTACCTGTTTCCACGAAGGCAAAACTCAATAAAATGTAATTTCTCACTCAGACACTTTATGGTTTGGGTAACTGAATAATCAACTACATGTTTATAGACACATGTCCTGTGTATCAGGGTTAATATATCGCATATATATATATAGTAGTTATATGTGGTTTTGTATAAAATTCAATCAGTTTCTCGTTGTACTTAAACCTATGAAAATTTGTACGTCTACGGCGTTTTTTTTCGAGCTAACTTAAAGAGTTATACAGAAATTGATGACAGATTGGCCAACTTACCATATTGCTTGGTGCGAACCGGAATGGGCGGTGTGGTGGCCCCCTCGCCACGTTGTGATCTTGCCGCCAGCCAGATATAGAAAAGGGTATCGGGATACAGGCCATCGAGTGTAAAGGACTCCGAATTGGAAACGCGTCTAAAGGAGGGTTTATGAATGTTAGTAGCCTGCATTAACTTGACATAGACAACAAACAAAACTCACTTGTGATGGGGCAGATTGGCGTATGTGTCATTCCAGTAGAGCTCGTAATGAACGATATTCTCGCTGGAATGCGTCGGCTTGGTCCATTGCAGTGTGACTGCGGTCTCGCCGATATCGGTAGCCCGGAAATTGCTCGGTTGCGATGGCACACCTTTGTAGACATATCCCCCGTATTTCATATTCGGGGTTGGTTCCGGGTATTGGTATTGGCCATTGCATTTGGTTTTATTTTTCGGTTTGGTTTGGTTTGGTAATAATGAAACGGAAATTACGGAAATTAAATAAAATACAAACAAATCAATGTGGGCATTTGTTCGTTGTTTTGTGTGTCGATGGATTCATGGCGATAGCGATTCCGAGATTCGGTTGCCAATTCAGAATGCTGCTGCAGGATGATATTGATGAGGTGACACACGCACAGCAATCGCTGCATCAGCATTTTGAATTTCGTATTGGTTTTGCATGAAATTGATTGAGATGTGTCCATCTAGCCATCGAATCAACCAACCCACCACCCACCACCCATCACACTCATCCGTCCCCTCAATCTATGTTTCAATATTTCATCGCTAACCACAAAAACCAGCTGGGGAAACCCGTAGAGAAAATGATTATCAATTTTCAAATTATTTCTGCTCCCCAGGGAACCCCCGAGTATAACCTGTCATCGCTTTGAAGTTTTTTGGTATATTGAATAAATCGAAATCAGTTTTCCCACTGCCAAGTGGCCTTCTCTATATAGTACAGTATAGTATATATTGGCTTAAAGAGTTATATCTGCTTTAATTGGATAAAGCTTCTTGGCTTTTCTGGGGCCACAAGGACAAGAGTCACGTCTGACCCAAAATGGATTTGGACATCCTGCAGTTTACATAACCCCAAGTAATAAGTCTGTGCAGTTCAAAGTTGAAGCCGAGCCCTGTTTTGCTTAGTTATTGTTTCAGTTAAAGCTTCTTAAGATGACCACAAATAGCAGTAAGTCAGGACGACAACTAAGCCACGCCCCCACGTAAGCATCTTAAATATCCTCGGTCAAATGCATTTGCATCATATAATATATATATATATATATATATATATATATAACTGCAATGATTGCAGCAAGTTAATGAATATCTGCCGGACATGGCCACAAGTTTCGGGCCGTGTTTGTGCTCCGACAGAGAGATAAATATTTCATCGAACGGACACACGTTTCGCCTGACATTTTGTATTATAATTAAATAATTGGTGTGATCTATGTGGGCCGATTGAGTTGAGCAATTAAATTGCAAAATGTCCCCCAATTCAAAATGCAATGTTAGTCGATGTGTGTGTGTCTCTGTGTATGTGTGTGTGTACGTTTCATGTGCCTAATTGAAGCTGATTGCCCAATCAATTTGGCTTAGCTTACCTTGCTGGGCCTTCACTTGGACCGGCGTGGACATGGGACCGGCTCCCATTGAGGTGTAGGCCTGAACTCGAACTGTGTAGATGGCATGGGGCGTCAGTTCCGAAACAGTGGTAAGTTCGCTGTTGTCAACCATCTGGGAGTTCCAAGAGGCCTCCGGTTGATTTGAATTGGTCGTGTAGTACACCTTGTAGCCCTGTGTTTGGAGAGGTTTAAAGAAGTTAATAGCAAGTCTATTTCTAGGCAAGATTTAACCACTTTAAGAAGTAACAAATCAGAGAAACAAAATGGAAGCCATTTGAAATCTGGAATCCAAATCCGATTTTCACCTTTCATTAACTGATAAACCGAAAATGATATATTGCCGCTGGGTCGGAGATTTGTGAACCTATAAGGCTCGGCCAAACAATACAGCCTGCCCCGCCGGAGACCGGTGACCAGAGACCACAACGATTGCCGGACTCGGAATGGAGACCTGTGGACAGGTGTCTAGGATTTGCATACGAACGTTAGCCTGGGCATCGGTCGTGCCGTCGCCCGGAACATGGCTAAAGGCATTTTGCCAATTTCCCTTCGACGGACCTCTCCTCCACCTCTCCCCACCGCCATTCCATAACCATCGGGTCTGATGTGACAAAGTGCGTTGGCTGTGTGGACTCCGGGATACCGGTTACGGGTTTTTGGGGTGGCAGACTTTGGGTCCTTTCTGGTTCTCCTCTATGTGTCCGGAGTCCGGATCTTATCGTTTAATATGCGCACTTGATGCCAGGTACTTACGGTCACTTGTCCATTGGGCGTCTCTGGTGGTTCCCAAGTAATAACCATCGTGGACGAGCTCAGCGTGCGCACTTGAACATTACGTGGTGCACTTTCCATTTCTGCAAGGCAAGGAGACAGAGGGGTAAAATGGGTTTATATTAGCATTGTCGTGACAAAGGTTGGGCATATAACAATGGCTAGTAGTTGGGTTGGTTTAACTTGCCCACTTGACTGGGCTAAACGAATGTCGAAAGTGCATTGCTCTAATGAAAACTCATTTGTTACCAGCTTCTGGGGTTCTGGGTTAAACTATCGAATATCCTTTAGTTACTTGCTTAACTACAGATTAATACTCATTAAATCTGGCATCTTTTTCATCATAAATTCTCTAATTTATATCAGTTGTTATACGAATTTAAAGAGAAAAGGCAAATGCGCATAACCTTTATTTGACTGTTTCGTATTTAATTATAATTTCCGCTTCCTGTCAATATTAAATGCGTTTAAAATATGCTGCCCGGGCAGCATAACCTCTACCTCTTCCTGAAAATTCATAAATATGCAATTTTGTTAAATGATTTTCTGGGGCAAATTTCTGCACACAGAACGACAAACAAATGCCATTATCGAGAAACTAGTGAAGCCAGGAGGCGAACAAAATTTTTAGGGGAGCAGAAGAGTCTATGGCATTAGGGCATCGGCATCGGCATCGCAAATGTTTTGCAAAGCAAACAATCCCCATCCATCACAATTTGTTTTTCCCAATGAAAATGCTCTGGCTGCTGCTGTTGTTGTTGTTGTTGTTTTTAGCTTCTGCTTCTGCCTGCCTGGAGATGCGTATTTCATGTCGTTTTCATGATCGCAGGAGGTCAGCTGGCAGCTGGAGCGGGACCGTGTGGGATATGCATTTCCGGGAAAATTGAGGAAATTGTTATGGCGCGTTGAAGCCTGGCGGCTGTTATAGTGAGAATTTTGCATTTATAAACTGATTTTTGTGCGAGTGTTTGTGTTAGGACACCCCACCACCACCCCCTTCCAACCAACAACAATGATTTTCCGCGAAGCATGAATCTAGCTATTCGTCATGCATTTGCATTGTCCGAAAAATTTGTTTGGTCAACTGCATTGTCAGCCGCAAAATCATTGGCGGAATGCGAAAAGGAAAAAAAGACAAGCCATACCGCCCGTCATGAATGGCAATTAGTGGTGGATATCTCCATCACTCAATATTCCTTAGTGTGATATGGGGTATGTAACCCGATTCGTAAGCGATTGGTTAATGGGCAATCAATAAATTCCAATTTCTCACAATTTTACTGCAATATCCACAAACGGTGCAGCGGCAGCAGCGCAGTTTTATCCACAATTTATATCGCAGTCATCTCATCTGTTACCCAAGTGCTGCTACCCCGAATGTGTGTGTTGGCCTGGTCCATTGCTTGTTATAGCCAAGATTTGCATGCAGCTCGCATACACCGATTCCCCGATAGATTCAGGCAAAAATTTTCCTCTTAACCCTTGTAAGTGTCTGTGTATGTGTATTGGAGGAGCAAGCAGGATGCAGAGCATCACGTAAGCTGCATTTAAGGGCATATACATTACATACGGATACGCTCCATTAATATGTATCCTTGCATGCCTGCGCACACGCCTACTCCTTATAGTACCAGCACATAGCACTAAATCGTTGCCCCCATCCTCGTCCTCATCTCCATCTCCCAACCCAATCTCCAATCTGCACCCACATACAAGGAAGGATTCGAGGCAGGAGCATGTGCAGGCCATATATCTGATTACTTGACGAAAGAATACGTTCAAGACTCGTTCAAGGCGGCCCAGCCATCGCAATTGCGAACCACACTTAAAATGGGGGTTTTGATTACGGGCCCTCAAAAACAGTTTCCGTCTTCAAACGTTTCCACACATGTTAATGAGTAGGTTTGCCAAATGCAGAAGAAGCTTCTGTTACTAATTACTAGCAAAACTGAGGAATAGGAATCAATTTCAATTTTAATTTCTATTGACTAGAGCTTTAAGTTTTGTTAAACTCAAAACTTCATTCCCATGGCAAGACACTAAATTGCAAGGCAAATAATCACATACTTTGCATAATAGTACATGTATTATGTTTAATCTCTTAAGTTAACTTTATAAGCAGCAGTTTTTTGGGCACAGCTGCCTGAGATGGCATCACCTTAAGGTTTCCCCCCTTACATTCAGTTAATGCACTCGCCTCCTTTGGGAGTGTAATGTTACTAACCATAAAGAAAGCTGAGGATTATCCACTTGGCTCATCTGCTACCTAAGCCAGTGACACGTGTTAAGCATTGCGTTGACCTGCTGATGATGATGCCCGGCTGGGAGTGGCGCGGGCTCAGGAGCCCGGCTTTAACCGCCCATAAACGTTGCTATCGAAATATTATTTCGGAACGATATTGGGCAAGCGATAAGCATAATTGCGGCAATAAAAGTTTTCAACTTTTGTACGACACGCGCTCTTGGATCTGCTAGTGAAACTCTGCAACTGCAGCTGCTGCTGTTTTATGGAAAAAGTAGTTGAACGAATCAAAGAATACCCTAACGAAGCTAACTTTGATTTTCACTGTCACTTGAAGGACCATTTATATGAGCTCAACAAATTTTTATTTTAAAATCTAAAGAAGATAGAAAAACAGTAAAAATATCTGAGAGCATGCTAACTTATTTAGATTTGTGTTACCAACTCCCTATCAGCACTATCATACCCCACGAAAGAGCCCAGAAAAGGCAGAAGTGGCCGGAAAGGCATGTCAGACAAGCGCACGCTTACGCGGGGAATTGGAAAGGGTTGCAAAAGCGTTGCATGCACCCAGCATGTACGCACCCAACACACCCACAGCAATCCGCATCCAAAACGAACGCATAACAATGCAAACTTTATGGGGATGTTCGAGGTAGGATATCCTCCATGACCACCATTACCACCCCTTTACCACCCAACTTCACTCACATACGTCAGGATATGGCCAGGACCCTGTAGTTTTGGTTCGCAGCTGCGTATGCAACGATTTTTAAACATTGCATTTACCTTTGATTCTATCTAGCTACTTGTTATTCCGCTTTCTTTACTGCTTTTTTATTTTTTTACCCTTTTCACATTCCTCGGGTCGGATTTTCTACTGATGCTGCTGCTGCTGCTGCTGCTCAACAATTGTTATTGAAATTGTTTTGGCAATTTTTTGGCCAACCATAAAATTTTGTTTTCCCAAGGATACTTACTTGTCCCACCGAAAGAGTAATCGCCTGAGACGGCAATAGCGTGTGCGAGAGAGAGAGAGAGGGGAAGAAAGAACAAATAGACATTTTCAAGAAGGGTTAGTACGATTGCCGACATAATGGACCAAGGCAAATAAAAACGGATCTAAGGACGTAGTCTAAATTCAAAATGAAATTGGTTAAAAATCCTTTTTTGCAGCATGTGAAAGAAATTGAAAAGGGGAAAAGCCAGCAGTTAGTTAAATGTTCTTTAAAAAATTGGGGCCCAGCGGCAGCTCATTCGCGATACTCACTTGTCTCACCGGTGGTACATGTCGCTGGAGCCGAGGGCGGTCCACGTCCAATATTGTTCACGGCTATCACGTAGAACTCGTATTCCGTGTAGGGACTCAAAGCACGGACCACATAGTACATGGTGATGATGCCGCTTATCTCGCTGAAGGCCTGGTTGGCGTTCTTCGGCTTATACTGGATCACGTAATACTGCAAGTCCTCGGGACCCTTGTATGACCACTCCAGACGCACTGAAGTGGCGGTCACCTCGGAGATTTGCACATCCGTGGGTGCGGTGGGCAGAGCTGTTGAATGAAATGAAAGAAATTTCGTTAGAAGCGTGAGTTTTATAGATTTCTGAAAGATTTCCACTCACATTGCACTTTAACCACCGAAACCGAATCGATTTGCCCCAAAGTTGAGGCAGCTATGCAAGTGTAGTTGGCGCTCTCCTGGATATTGATCAGTTGCAGGACATTTCGACCGATTGGCATCTCATTCTCCGGTGTCAGATCTTCAGAGCCTAAAGAAAGTTCATAATAAGGATTTGCCAATCATCATATCGTTCCAATTCTCATACCCTTCATCCACTTGACATGCGGCATTGGTGAGCCTACGGCTATGCAGGAGAGATTCAGATTGGATCCCAACATCACCTCACTAATGGTCTCTGGCGGGCGGGAGAAAGTGGGGGGAACGCGACGGACTTTCACATACAAATTGGTTGCCTTTGAGTGCTCCGTGCCAATGGAATTCTCGGCCACACATTCATATTTGCCTTGATCCTCCTCGCGGCTGTTTTCTATTTGCAGGAAGCCTGGAAAAAGAAGGAATTCAAATGTTATATTTCAAATTGTTATTTCTTTCTACAAGATTAATTTTGATTTTATAACATATATCCCTTAAACTTGGCTTGTAAAAAGTACCTAACTCCTATATCCTTATTGGTGGTTACCTATCAACTTAACAGCTGCAACTTCTTGAGTTTTTACCTAGATAGTGGGTTAAGACTACCTTTGACTTAACCAATTGGTTCCATAAAAACCCTAGTACTTAACCCTTTGACAACTTACCTAAGACAGATTTAATCCCTACTACCTGTTAATCGTATAAAACACAAAGTTCCCTGAACACGAAAATCAGAATCATATCCAGCACTCAACCAGAACAGATTGCAAAAATGTTCAACCTGTTCATAATAACCAACCTGCTATACGTCGTGGGTGGCACCACTTATCTGACCACCAATAGCCACATCGATATGCCTATATACCAGAAACGTCCATTAGCCGAACAAATGGAGATGATTGATATCCTAGATTTGGGTGACCGGCCGAGAAGACAAGCCGGGCCCAATATACACAATTCAGCGTCGAAATTCCTGCTGGAAGTCTACAATGAGATTAGTGAAGGCCAAGAACCCGAAGAAGTGCTCCATCAGCGCCACAAACGTTCGTTGGATGATGACATCTTGATTTCCAACGAGGATCGACAGGAGATTGCCAGTTGCAATAGCATTCTGACTTTTTCAAGCCGAGTTAAGCCCGAGGAACTGAACAACGAGTTGGATATGCACATCACCTTCAATACCAATGATGTCCCAGTGGATTTGAGTTTGGTTCAAGCCATGCTACGGATATACAAACAGCCAAGTTTGGTGGAGAGAAGGGAGAACTTCACGGTGTCCGTGTACCGAAAACTGGACAATCGTCAGGACTTCTCCTACCGCATCCTGGGCTCAGTGAACACCACATCCAGTCAGCGTGGCTGGTTGGAGTTTAATTTGACGCAAACTCTTAGGACGTGGTTACTCAATAAGGGTCTGCCACGACGAAACGAGCTAAGGATATCCATTGGCGACTCTCAGCTGAGTACCTTTGCTGCCGGATTGGTGGCTCCTCAGGCCAGTCGCTCCAATTTGGAACCCTTTATTGTTGGCTATTTTAACGGACCCGAGCTATTGGTCAAAATACAGAAGCTTCGTTTCAAGAGGGATCTGGAGAAGCGAAGGGGCGGTGGTCCACCACCTCCTCCGCGTTCGCCACCCGTTGACTTATATAGACCACCGCAGTCCTGCGAGCGTCTCAACTTCACCGTCGACTTCAAGGAGCTGCAAATGCACAACTGGGTGATTGCACCTAAAAAGTTTGAGGCATACTTCTGCGGCGGCGGCTGCAACTTCCCGCTGGGCAGCAAGATGAATGCCACCAACCATGCCATCGTCCAGACTCTGATGCACCTGAAGCAGCCACATCTGCCCAAACCCTGCTGTGTGCCCACAGTACTGGGAGCCATCACTATACTGAGGTATATTAATGAGGACATCATCGACCTGACCAAATACCAAAAGGCAGTGGCTAAGGAGTGCGGTTGTCATTAGCTTGGGCTAAACTTAAGTTGGGTCTTTACTTTGTTTTCATTGTAAATAGAAGTTAATGTATTATATTTTAGAAATAAGTAGAAAGATTTTTTAAAGATTAAAATAAAGTCAAGATGTTAAAGTCTTTTACTATTTGAATTTGAACTTCTAGTTTAGTTTTTTTAAAACCTTTTCTTGGCTCTCAACTACTCCTAAAACTCAAGAAACCTTTTCTTTTACACACCTCACCTATTTGAATTTTGGGTGGTTCAAAGTTTTATGTTTATTTAGCAGAAAACCTTTACTTGTTACGCCCTTTTATGACGCCTTTGGGTTATGGGGGTCGGGGGCTTAACCGTAACAGAGTCGTAAGATCTTAGATTTATCAATAAATTTGAAAGTCAAATGATGTTTGTTTATCTCACATCACTTTTAATAGGCAACCCACATTATCCTCATTGCCCCATAAAAAGGTTCTCAATTCACCTTGCTTTTATGTACAGAATCCATCCACATCACTCCGGGATGAGGACGTGGATGTGCCTGCAACACTGCCCGAGAAGCAACACATGGAAAATTAACACTTTTTATATGATTTTAAAAGCCATATAAATTTTACGACAAGTCACCAACCCCTCGAAAACGTTGCAATCTCCCTCCCTCCTTCTGAAGAGCCAAGGAGACACATACGAGGTGTGTTCAAAAGTAAGGTGACTTCAAATTTCGCGAATTTCAAATTTTTCGATTATCGAAACCTTTTAGAAGTTATACGAGGTGTGTTCAAAAAGTAAGGTGACTTTTCAAATTTCAAATTTTTCAAATTTTTCGATTATCTTCAGTTTTGGGAACAAGAAAAAGTCACATGGGGCCAAATCCGGTGAATATGGTGGCTGAGGCAATATTGTGGTGTTGTTTTTGGCCAAAAATCCAAATCCTTGATCCATATTTTTGATAGCAAAAAACGCGAGCTCCAAAACAACTTGTAACTTTACGCCTCTCACAACCAAACAAAGAGGATGTTCCATTGAAACTTGGTACAGATGTTAGGGAAGAGTGTACCAATATAACAAAACAAAAATGATAATCGAAAAATTTGAAATTCGCGAAATTTGAAGAGTCACCTTACTTTTTGAACACACCTCGTACACGCGCATCTATTAAATATCGAGGCTCGCTTTTCCGGCATATTACGCTAATGTGAATGACAAACATATGGTGGGGGAGGAGGGGCCAGCAGGGGGAGAAAGCCATAAACCAACCGCCTTCACTTTGACATTATATTTATATGGCTAATAAACAATGAGCCACGCGGCAGCGATGAGTAGACAATATGAAATTTACGTAAACAAAATCCACTTCACTTTCGGGGTTTTTGCTACCCGGAAAACCAACTGGTTTTTAAATCAACAGCTGAAAATTTATTTGATAGCCATTGGCAGTTTTTGGCGCTAGTTCAAACCATTAAGTTATGACAGGACTACGTATGTTGTTTCGCATTTTAATTGACCAATAACTATTATTATTTCACACGCTAATTTTGAGAGACATCGTGCATTTATATCCCAGTGATTTGTTTTACTCGGTTTATGATTTATTTTGCAAATTTATTTCATACTTTCCGGGAAATCAGATTAGCATTCTAAATGAACCATGAGAGGGTCGTTAACAGAGTGTGAATTTCTAAGCGTTTTAAACGCCAAAAACTATAACATAGTCCTGCGAATGTGTGTGTGGAAAATTAATCATGTTGAGTTTCGATATTCAATTTGCTCTTCCATACAATTAATCAACAACCTCAATACACACACACACACACACACATCTACCCAAATTAAAGAGTCTCTGTGTGCGTTTGATTGTACATATAGGCAAGCAAATTTAAAATCTGCATGAAATATGACAATTAATTTGCGAAACAAGAGTTTTTCATATACAATATTATCGTTTATTTATTTATTGCCGCATTTTGTGCATATACAGGCGGTATTGATCAGGCTTAACCGGAAAGCTTAAATTACAAAATCGTATTTTCTTTTAATATAATATATATATGCTGGGCTTAATGTTGCGGGCAGTCATCAAAGCATCGAATGATGGAAAATATTTATGATTCCTAATTGACTGCTACACAACATGATTAAGTACTATCTTTGGAATATGTTTTTAAAACTGAAAGTTAAATAATGTAGCTCTCTAAAAAGAGTTATGTATTTACCCTTAAAAAGGAATAATAAATATTCTGTGCCAGTAAACAAATTCCAGAGTGAACTCGACTACAGTTGAGTGAATCATTTTAATGACTTCTGTTATTGAACTTTGGTAAAAAGTATTTAAATCAGAGGGGTCGAAACAGGGTTCATATCTACGATATAATATATTAAATCATTCAATATGAACTCGCTTGTTTAACTTAAAAACAAGGCTAACTCTTTAATTTGAAAACTATTCTCCCCCTTTTAGATAGGAAAAGTAAATCTCAATAGATTTTAAAGATTTAATCGATTTCCCCCGCAAGATATCTTTTAACTACGCTTCTGGCTAATATCGATAAAAAAAAGGAACTACTGGACATCGATAAATGTTGCAAAATCGCTTGGTTCGCACTAAAGCCATGTTTATTGTGTCTATTTTATGTACCTTTCCGTTTTATTATGGTTGTCATTTTGTATTTGATACAACTACAACTACAACTACAACAACAACAACAAGAGTAAGGGGCCAAATAAAAAATAAAGCGACTAAAAGTGATGTATGCTGGGGAGATTTCAGTGCGGTTTTTAGTGCAGCGGCCATTTGGAACTGGCGGATGGATGTTGCGTTCGTTTTATGTTTTGTTTTGGTTTTGAAAAGGACGCTTTGTGCTTTTATTTTGCATTTTTTTGTGCTACTACTGCCGCTCACCTACAACATGCATCAAAGTTGATTGTTGCGAAATTTATTGCATACTATTTGGCCTGTATGGCTGAACATTTATTACGCTTGTTGCACTTCCTGTGCAGCCGGGATTCCCGGGCCCGTCTGGCCTATTGTTTAGGAGCCATTGAACCATTCAAACAGCCATTAAATGCTCCAACTTTTATAAATAATCGAGCACTTTCCTTTTTTGGGCCGCCGTGTGTAGTTCAGCCATCCAAACAATCACTTTTTACACTTCACTCCTGCTGATATCTCAGTCAAGGTAAAGCGTTAAAAAATGATATATATATAATGTAAAAGTATATAAAGCAAAAAAGACAACGTCTGTGGCAAACGTTGATTAAAATTTATGAAGGTAAGTTTCATTAAAACTCTTGGCAACCTTCTGCCAAAAACATTAACGTAAGCCGCACACACAAACACACTCGAGCACACATACACTTTGCGTGCAGAATGGCTGTAGCAATAAAAATTAAGCTAGCATACATCTGGGCGCTCGTCTGTGTCCCGAATGTAAGTCATTTGCCGTGTTTTTGGCCTTGTCTCTGTTCTCTGCCTGCGTGTGGCACTCTTATGAAAATTAAAAATTCTTTCAAGCGTCATAAAAAAGAAATATAAACAAACGGACAGGCTAGCAAAAGAGTCCAGCCGCTGAGAAGGTGAATATTTCACGGCAAAATGTTATTTAACCGAAAAGGGGTTTGCCATGGAAATTATACTTTGAAATTTTAAATTTTCAGGAAAACTTAAAAGTCAACGATATATGTTATTATGATTAAAAAAGTTTGTTGCCATTCACTAAACCCTTGCAATTCAATGGAAAGAAAAGCAAAAACCTCATCGAGTGCCGTGGAATCCCATCCCGAAGGGCCGCCCAATCCGTCCACCTTGTTATGCGGCCGCTGTAAATGTGGCAAGACATTGTTTGCAGGTTAGCTCGGACGTGGCGCACATGTGGCACGCCACACAGCTGCACTTCCGCTAGCGCAGTCATTTTCATATTCACTAACTTCCGCTCGAAACACACACACACTCTCTCACACGCTGTCACACTTTCGTTGCCAAGGCTTTACGGTTCGAGTTCGACTTTGGCTTCAGCTTCAGTTTTGGCTTCAAATGCTTGGCTGCACGCCTAAATGGGATTATTAATTTAATTATGCTTTAATTTAAGTAGTCCTCGTTGTCGTCGTCGTTACAAAGTGACATTTATGGGGCGACTGGTTGGTTGGCTGCTTGGCTGCTTGGCTTTTTCCTCTTCCCGCCCCAAGTTCATCCACATAAAAGTGTGCAAAGTTTCAATTTTGGTAATGCAAGTGACGACGACTTATCGTCAAAACCGAAAAGAAAACCCAACTGACCCCCCGTACCCATACTCAAACCCCTTCCATCCCAGACGAGGTGGAAGTGGAACAGGACATGCCCCCGCTGGGAGAAAGCCGTTCTAGTCATGCACATTTTGGCAATTACTGTCTCATTTTCAACAAAAGTGACTGTCAACTCTTTCGAGGAGCAAGAGGAGCAAGTGACAAGGAGAAGCTCATAATTTAAGCATTAAACTTTTCCCAAAATGCTTTCAAGTTGACTTGCCTTAACTACAGTTTTACGGCTCAAGTAAATAATTGCGTGCAGACCCCATTCCCTCTACCCTCTACCCTCTACCCTCAACCATTTCCTTCTCTCTTTGGCCCACAGGTTGGTCACGTCAAGTGGCAAGGCGATTGTAATGATGGAGCCGAGCAATTAAAGAGTTGTGGAGCTCAGGTCGCAGGTCGAGGGGCCATCATCGTCGCAGCTGTTGCCCCCTTTTTTTGGAGGATGGGTGCGGTGGGTTGGGGTGGTGTTAGGGGTAAGTGGAAAGTTGAAGTGAGAGCAAAGCGGTTGCCACGTGCAAGTTTCGAACAAAGGAAGGCATAAAAATGTCATATAAAAAATAAGACGATGTTGCAAGCTGAGCTCTCTTTCGGTCTCTTGTATATTCGAGTCAAGCTGGTCTCGAGTTGCTTTTAAGTTTTGCACATAAAGGTTAACCTGCTGAGTTATATGGCCTCTATTCGTTGTTTTACGCCCCCGGCAATCCGGCTAGCAATCCAACTCAATATTCAGCTAGTTAAAACTTAAGTATCCACTTGAGGAAAGTTGTATTTAATTTTAACTAGAGTTTTATTAACATGTTTTCCTTATACATTTGGCTGTTTATTTTTCACTTTAAGGAAGGTAGCGAGAATAAGGGGAGCCCTTAAGTTAGTAGATTAAGAAATTAGAAATTGTAATAGACTTGTTGCTGAAGGCATACTGAGTTATTATTAAGAATTCCTACTAAAACTGAAAGGAAATACCCAAGCCACGTATTAAATTCAGTCAAGTACCATTTTCCACTGCACCTGCTAAGGCAAAGGGAACCCATTATCCTCTCAATTGCTCACTGAAAGACCCTTCGTTGACACTTCCATTCAGTTGAGTTCATCTGCTAACACACACACACACAAAAGCACAACCCATTAAGACAATTGGCTCTGGCGAAACCAATTTCTGATAAGCCTCTTTTGCTTAAAAGCCAAATTATGATATTTCAAAGAGCCCAACATTTTTCTGCTACTCCTTTCCGATCCTTTTTTTTTTTTTTGCCAATTGAGAATTTCCACCCTGAGAATGTAATTTCCCCAGACGCTGCGGCAGAACCTTTTCAAAAACGAAAGGAAAACCGTAAGGAAAACAGTGAAAAACCGTGGTCACTACGGCAAAGGTTTCTTTTTATTCCTTTCGTTATGCTTTTTATTGAACAAAAGCCCAGAGGGACTATTTGGCGAAATAAAAATAAAGGTATAATACTCAATAATATTGTCGCTGGTCGTTGGCCCGCCTCGTTCTATTGGAGAGAAGGGGCCTACCCCTTTGATCCATTTCGCTTCGCAGGACTATATTAACTACCAAACTGCCAAAGAGTATGAGCGGTGCCATTCCACGGAGTAATTTTAAATAAATTATTTATAAATGTATTTGTGCACTGAAGTGCGACCGCTGTCATTTGCCTTTGCCATACGCTGAAGTGGAAAATGTTGAAGTCCCAAGGAACGAAATAAATCAGCTGAGTACATTTTTTTTGGGTAAAAAACTATATGAAGAGGTAAAACTTACGCTTTAATATAGCGATTCATAAATATTTAAAGAAGATTTTATATGATTTTAGAATCAAATTCGAAGGAATTTTATAGATTTTTCTACCTCTTTGAGCTCTAAACATTTTCCTACGATCTAACGACTCTTCCCTTTTGTATTTTCCAGTTAAATTTGTACCAAGCCCGAGGACTAATAGTAAAGAGGAGTGTATAATAATCACATTAATATATCCAGCAAGGCGATTGGGTGTTCGAGACAAAGGAAAGGGGGGTAAGGGAACACCATAAGGTCCTTCGGGCTCTCGAGACGTTTTTATTAAAATAATAAAGTTCTAATTTAATTATGGCGCGAACAAAATGAAGTACGACTGCCGCTGAGTTACTTTTCATTTGATAACTCACGTACCCCCCAGAAAGAGGACCAGCTCCGCCCACAATGCGTGTCCCTGCAGGCTCTAATTAGCAGGCGGCGGCCGTATAACCGAAAAATCAACGCGCTCAGGGGAAAATGCCCGGGCTATTGAGGGTAAGGAGTAAGGAGTAGGGAGTAAGGAGCTGAGAGGGTGTACAATAAAGGACCATAAAGTGCTAATTGAATAAAACGGCACATGACTTGCATAACTTATTATGCGAAATATATTCTCGCCACTCGGTTTGTCGTCATTGGGAATGCAGAGAATGCCAGGACGCAGGACGAAAGGGACTCGGATCTCGGAACTTTCTACAATAGAGCTAAAGCAAAAAACCCATCCGAACGAAACCTCACCTCGGGCGAAATATTATTATTTTCATAAATTTAAAGCGCGCTTTAAGGCGCAGAGGTGGGGGGAGGAGGGGGCGTAAGGTATGCCAAGTGGAAGGGAACTGGACGTTTAGGGCACCCAAAAGGATATTTAGCTGGCGGAAATACTTTTACGTTTCGTTTAACGCGGCAAAGATGGTGCCAGTCCGGTCGGATCTTCTGCTCCTCCTTCCTCCTTTCTCCTAACCATTCCCCGCCTTTTCGTGAGGCAGCAACAACCAAAAAAAACAAGTAACTCGGCCCACGTAAAACTAATTTAACCCGCAAAAACCTTCTCCATCTTCTGCTCCATCCACCAGCCAACACGGCCACTTTGGTTCGTGTTGCGCTAAATTAGTCGACCTCCACATCCGTGAAAAGCGGGCAAAAAAAAATGGAAAATACCAGAATCCAACAAATAAGCTTCGGACTACTACTATGTTTGCATGAAGTCTCATCGTTGAAGCGGTAAAAATAATTTCACCTTGGGGAAATACATGTAACAGTTTTTAATTTGCATCGCTGTAGGCCAACAAAAGGCGATGGATAGTTTGGTTTGGTTAGCATTTGAAATGGTTGCAAGTTGTGGAGTCAGGGGGAGGAAAACCTAAAGCAATCTACTTGTCTTGAATAGTTAGTGATGGAAATCATTACAGGAAAGTTGCTGTATTTTTATAGAAAGAACTTCGTCAAGGGGAAAGTTAGTTTCTTTTATTTATTACCTTTTAAATGTGGATAACTTTATCCCTTAAAAAAATATCTTCCTTACAAATTTAAAAGGTTTTTTAAGGTATTTTTTAGCTTGGTGTTTAGTCCCCTAACATAAATAACATAAACATAAGGTGTTTGGACCTTTTCCTATCGCCATCACAGATAATCTCTTTCAACATGTCCTTCAAACAGAATGTACCATAAAAAAGGGAAGCCTAGATAATCTCAGGGCATTTGAAAGTCAGTCGCTGCACGGCGGAGGACTTTCAATGGAGGCCAGTCAATTGTTTGGCAGGCTGTCATTACGCGTAAGCGACCATTTCATTAGCATTGCGGCGCCACAGGAGGAGGTTGGATCACACGGAGCCGGAGCCGTCCAGGACATGGCATAATGTTTCTGTTAACGTTCCTGTTTTTCTTGCCATGCCCAACACGTTCCCATTGTTAAGGCTCGGCTAGGTGGTGGAGTTGGTGGTTCGCTTGGATGTCCTGCTGGAAAACATTTGGCCGATCACCGCGTCCTGGCAATTGAAATAATGCCCATCAAGCTCTCACCCTTCTCAATTTTCCACAGGAGGCCCATTGTCCACCTCCCTCCCTTTCGCAGTTCGCTTGTCAACGTGACCATTATTGATGTCGTTTTAAAAGGCACTCTTTAATGCATATTAATGTCAATATTAATGTCAATATTTGTGTGCCTCTAATGACCAGAGGCTCTGGCCTCTGCAGATGGCAGCTTTTGTGTTAGTTTTGCCCCGCCGTTTGATGTGACACACCGAGCAGATCGCCGGGCTAACGATGCGACCTGACATTGAACATATAATTATCCAATGCTCCAAATGCTGCTGACGCCTGATTAAAGGACCTGCGCTGACATTTTGTTGACATTCGGAAAGTTTCTGAAAGCTGGCAAAAAGGTCTTTCTCATCCTTTGCCTTTGCCTTTGCCTCGGCCCTCCTTTTTAAAAGCGGACAAACTTTGCTCAGGTAAGAGTGTAAGGCTGCTACCTGACAAAAGTCAAACGTTAACTAAGCGCCCAAAAACTTGCGACACAAAGTGCGTCGAAGCGTAAGTAAAGTCCTAAGAAATTCAAATGAGCGTAAGGACAAAAACCAGCTGCGTCTAAAGAAAATAAAGGAGTCGGAACCTGCTTAGAAAGAAAAGGTAAAAGGCAAAAGTCTGTGTATCTAGAATTTTAATAAATGAATGGGCGGACATAATGTAACTTAATATGGATGGAGGTTAAAATAATTGTCTAACTATATCAATAAGTCAATAACTAATTGGTTATTTGACCCTATCAGGTTTCAAGAGTGCAATGCTAATATTTTGTATAATCATTTAAAATCCCCTAATTCATTGATGCTTGTTAAAGAACTCAATAGCTAACTTAAGTGAAAGAATTTTATTTGACAACATTTATTAAGTAAACTTAAATTAAAGCAACTGCAGTACATATCCAACTCACTGAGCTGTACTTACCATCTTTAAGCGAGTAACGGGGATTGCTCATATCAACCTTTGTCTGATTCTTAATCCAGTAAATGTTTGGCGTCGGATTGCCGATGGCTTTGCATGTCATGAGGACCATGTGACCCACTTCAATGACGCGAGTGCCTGGACCCTGGGTTATAACCGGAAAGCCTGCGGGTGTTTTATCGCCTGCAACGAAGAGAAAGTCGCGAATAACAAAAGGGTTAAAAATTATTATGTTGCGAAATGTGGAGAAAAAAACAACAGCAACGAGCGCAAAATGTTCATATGCCAGTTTTGAGGAGCAGGAATTGCGAGGGCAGGGCATGGCAGCAGGACGCCTAGGAGTTTTGGACAAACAATATGGCGTCACACACACACACACACATACGCAAAGTATTGTTTTACATGACTCTTTTATATATACGGAAGTTGCCGTTTTCTACTTTTTGTTGTTGTATTTTGTGTGTGAAAGCTTGGCTGCGTCGTCAGTTGCTTTTGTTGGCGCTTTCTACGCCATTTTGTAAGTCAAACAATGGGATTCCCGCACACCCACACTCATACCCATACCTATACCCACACACCCGCGAACACGCAGTATGCATATAAGTATTTGTGTGTGTGAGGTCAGCATTTACCCCAACCCCCGGTTGACATTTCCTTTGTTGCAACGCTTGCCAGCTTTAAGGGAATTTCAGTTTCCCCCCACCCCACCCATTTTCCCTTTCCCTTCCCCGTTTTTTATTTTATTTCCCTGCTTTTTTGTTCGCTCTCAGCGACAAGCTTAAAGAAAACTCTCGCGGTGGCTGTCAAGTGGCCCCGGCTGCGACTGTCATCTGCTCTCCCAACTGCATCTTTCAAATGAACAAAGCTCATTTACATTTTCCAATTAAATCCGTCGGCGGCCATGGCAATTGGCAAAAACGGAGCACGAAGAAGGGGGATGAGGTTCAGGGTGTGCGGATGCGGATTCGGATGTGAATTCGGATGCAGATGCAGATGAGAAGCAAGCGGATGCGGATGATTCCAGCTGCCATAGCCGTCGAGTCGCCGGCAGCAGCTGCCATTGCATTCCATCTGCCGGCTGTTGCTGGCGGATCTGATACTCTTTTTGCAGGAGTTTATATAGGGTTAGGTATCCTTTATAAGATTGCTATCATAGGTAACTGAGATTAAAAGATCGATGAGTCGATTATTAACGTAACAGCAAACCAGTTTTCTTAATTACTGTTTACCAAGAACCCTTCATTTTCAGCTTGAAAGTAAGTTAGAGTCTCCAATAAAGATCCCTGTTAACGATATCCAAAATATTATGTTTAATAAGATATTTAATCTCAATTCTTAAGTCGAAAGTGGACGATAAGACAAGAAAGTTTGGTTCTATTTTCCCGCCTAGGGTATATTCCCGTTGTTTTAACCCTTCTTGACTCTTCTAAGCCAGCTTTTTTGGCATTTACTGAAACATTTAACAGCGACAAAATCCACAATAAACGGGCACACAGAAGTTAGTTGCAGTCGCTTGTTTTTGCTTTTGGCCTGTCCTCCTCTCTGTTAACTGCCGCAGCCCTTGGTCCTGCCTCCCTGCCCTTACCCGGAATAATCTGGGCAAATGTCTTGCCTCTCACTTAGTTGCTAGGAGCTTTTGCGCCTTCTGCTGGCATCCTGGCTGCTGAACTCTGTGCTGTGTGCGTTTGTGTTCTGTGTTTTTCAGCGTGAAATTAAAATTTTAACACAGAGACAAAAAATGCGGTTGCCTGTGAATATGTATATGCTTTGCACAAAGGCATAAAATGCAAAACTACAGTGGCAACAGAAAGAAGGAAAAAGAAACAAAAAAAGGATAAACAACAGCAGCATTGATGTTGACATTTGACGTTGCCGTCATCATCATCATCATCCGAATCCGCATCCACATCCACACATCGTGTCCCAATGTCCTGATGTCCTCTCTCCTTTCAGCCCTTTATCCCATATTGTCTGTTGCCATTTTCAGTCATTTTCACAACACCCCTTCCGTTCGCTTTTCCGCCGTTTGTCCCGTTGCTTTATTTATTATTGCAGTGTCACTTCCTCGCAAATGCATAACGAAACAAACACATTCACACCCAGGCCAAAAACGAAAGAGGAGAGCACATGGAAAATAATGAAACTGGGCCAAAATTAACAAATAAAACTTTAACATTTCTATTAAACAATGTACGAAAGTGCATTCTTTTCGAAGAGTAAATATGCATGAGTGCAAATAGCAACTAAACTGTGACTAAGAGTGGAAGGAAAAGCTGAAAATAGAAGGGATAAAGCCTCTTTGAAATGGTTTAGTTTTGTCAATTGCTGGGCAGATGAATACCAAAAGTTTGCCTATGAAAAATCATTGAAAAGTCTTTCAGACTCGGTCAAAATTGGATCCCTTCTGTATATATTCCCGCCATAAAGTACTTATTTTCATATCTCTGTATTTAAAGTTAGTAAGTTACCCCAAAAAGGCTTTCCATCTGATTAGCACCCTAAACAAAATCACTAAAGACAGCCCTGCTGCTATTGACAGGCTATAATGCAATGTCATGGGACCTTCCCGCCCGCTGCATAACACTTTGAAAACCTTTCATTATGTGACAAAAATTGCACAGCCTGTTCTGGTCCTCTCAACTGACGACAAGTGCTGCCCCCTGAAAATATCCTCGAAACAACAAAAGTTCACACTTAACACACAGAAACGGCTGGCTGAAACTACTGCTGCCATGTGTGAACGGAAATATTGGCCAAAAATGGGGATGGAAAAGCTGGCCAACACTTAATTTACAGCATTAGAGAGGACTGAACAGAGGCCAAAAATGTTCGTCCTGCCATCGGATGCGTATCCCTCTCTCTCTCTCTCTCTGGCTGAAAAAAGTAGAAATATAGAACGCATGGATGGTTGGTAACACTAGGCGTTAGTGCGTGTCCGAAATGTGATGAAGGCAGAGAAGGGTTTGGGGGATTTATTAAAAAGCCAAAAGCAGTCTGTCGAAATCGTGTGACATTTTCATGCATTTCAATTAAGCTGCTGTCGTCAGAGTGTGTGAAAATGTGAAAATGTACAAGGCTAAATGTTTGAATAATGTTGAAGTTAGGGGATCAAGAACAAAAGTCCGACTAGACGGCACACCTTTGTTGATGATCTCGGCGACAGGTCTTTAATGAATTAGCTAATAAGAAGCAAGAAAAAAGGACCTCACACGCCCATGGGGTGGTTCCTTTCATATGTTAAAAGTGTCTGTAACTGCCTTGGAAACGATAAACATCATTAGCCTGCACAAAAGGGCTTTATTTGCATCTTGTCTGCTTTTTCAGGTGCCCTGACCCCCGCGAGGATGAATGGAAACCGTCAGTATACGAAATCTCAGGGTTTTTCCTTATCGAGTCCATTTGAAAAGGCATATTTTCACGCCATGGATCCATGTTGATTTTCTCTTCTCTTTTTTTATCTTTTGTCTCTGGTCAAAGAGATGGAAAACATGTTGTTTACAGGGGGGAAGAAAGAGGCACGCTGAATGAATGTCAGTCAAAAGAAGGTGTTGCTGGGCATTGGCAAATGCTTAAAGCAAACTCCACTTTCTGGCTTTAAAGTCACCGCCACACAGCGGCACACAACAACGACAACTTGCCACAAAGCATAAATTTGCATATTTTAATTATTCATGCATTTTTAAGATTGATAAGAAATGTTACGACCCGTCGTCCTCGTCGGGTCGTCTGTCCAAGGATTTCTGGGGCCACTATGCTCGGGGCAAGTTAAAATACCATTTTCCATTGGTCAGCAGCAGCAGCAGAAGCAGCAGATCCGGAAAATTTAGACCCCAGTTTGAGCGGCACAAAGTGTGAACTGACATGGCAAAAAGAGTTGAAAATATGATTAAATTGTAGGAAAATAAAGTTTGTTCTATGGCTAACAAATATCTTTGGTCTGCTTTTAGATTTCAAAGCTGAAAATCTAAACTGTTGAAAGGTCTTAAAGAGTTTTCTTTCTTCACAAATATAACAATATTTGTATCTTTGAGAAACATTTTCTGACTTTAAGAAAAGCTAATTATTTTCTTAATACACCCCTCCCCCTGAAAAATGCAATGAACAAGAAAAGACAAAAGCTAAATCAAGCAATATAAAGCAAATCAAACTTGGTGTCAACTTATTTCGGATTATTCTCGGCAAACTTTTCTCCTTCTGAGTAGCCAAGCAATTGAAAACAAATCAAAACCGAGGGGGAAACCGTCTCCAGCCACACAGTTCTCCACAATTGACAATCTTGGGGATATACTATATACTATATATATATATATTTATAGGCCGGAGTTGGGAATCCAAAGCCAAAACCAGAAAGTTCCCCATCGACTGAGAGCAAACAGTTGCGGGCTCCTAAGCAAAGTTTCCAGCTATAGTTAAGGCAGAATCCCAAACAAAACATGCTCGAAAATTGAGTGTTTATTGTGTTAAGTAGACGACACACTCTATCCACACACAGCCAGACAGCCACCCAAGGGGGCTAGAATGGGGAACCCAGTGAAAGCCCAAAGGATCCCGGGAAATGGGAAGTGAAAAGTGTGCGACAAGACGAGCTAAAGCTGAAGAGCCTCTGGCAGAGTAAATAACCGTTTTTTAGTGGCAGGCCGGAACCAAGAAAGCAAAAAAAAAAGACAACTGGCTAAAGATGTTAGACAATGCCAACAATAAAGCCGCAAGTGCCGGCGGCTTCTTAGAAAGGCAAAGAAAAAAAGGGCGGGGGAACCCAGAGCAACAAGAGGAAGTTTCATGCCCAAGAAGTCGACAAATTTGTGGCCAGTCAACACTTCCTGTTCCTGGGAATCGCATGTGGATGGTCTGGGTTGGGTGACCAACTGCATGGACTTGCCTATAAGTGGCATCAAGAAGACCCATTGATCAGCGTAATGAAGAGGCCGACGTTTCCCTAATTGCTGTCGTTCCTAGGCCCACTCATAAAGGCTCAGATGCAGTCACGCCCGAGAAGTTGATGCGGATGAGCTCTTCGGTTTCGAGGCTCAGCGGCGTCTTCGAGGGTCCTTGTAGCTGGCAGCCATGATGGCAGTTAATAGATAATAGCATCGACCGAAGGACCAGCCCAAGGAGCTGAGCCAAGTTGACGAACTGATGGCAGACAGCAGTCAGGCATATAGCAATGAGATGAGTTCAATTTG